GCTCGATGGGCTTTGAAGCTTCAGATATATGATTTCGATGTTGTTCATCGCCCAGGGAGTTCTATGGCTGATGCTGATGCCCTTTCTCGAGCTCCTCTTCCTTCTCCACTCACTTCTCATGTTTCTGATGAACCTGTTGTTCCAGCATCTGTGGATTTTCTAGATGAGGATTCTGTGCCGTCGGCGGTTGCTGTCCTTGACGTTTAGTGTCCACAGGGCGTAGAGCAAGATCTACCTTCTCTGGATGAGGTTCGCGAGGCTCAAAAGATTGAGCCGTGGATTCTAAGGCTTCGAGATGGGTTTGAGAATCTTGCATCACTTGCTGATGACTTGCCTTTTCGGCATTTACATTCTCAATATCGCCTTGAAGATGGCCTTCTTTATTTTGTGGGAACGGATCCTGATGCTCATTTACGGCTAGTGGTGCCTTCGGTGTTTATTCCGCGGTTTCTCCATGCCTACCATGATTCTCCTATTCTAGGTGGGCATATGGGACACCGTCGTGTCACCGAGAAGTTGCACAGATCTTTCTATTGGCCAGAGATGCGACGTGATATTATCCGGTATGTGCGTAGCTGCGTTTGGTGCCAAGCTCGTAATACTCCCCCTTGTGCTGCGGAAGGACGGTTGGAGTCAATTGCAGTTTCTCGTCCGTTTGAGTTGGTGGTGTTTGATCTTATGGGACCTTTTCCGCGATCGACTGCTGGCAATGAGTATGTTATTATTGCTTCTGACTACTTGACTCGTTGGGTGGAAGTTGGTGCTCTTGCTAGTGCCTCTGCAACTGCTGTTGGATACTTCCTCCTCAATCGAGTGGTGTTCCAGCATTCTTGTCCAGAACGGATTCTTTCGGATAATGGTCCTGCATTTATGGCTGAGGTATTTCATGTTTTGACATCTCGGTTGGGGATACGCCACACTTTTACGAGTGCTTATCATCCACAATCAGACGGTCTGGTGGAACGGCTCGTTCGGACATTCAAAGGGATGATTGCGAAGTATGTGAACTTTCAACATTCGGATTGGGATGGTTATTTGCCGTCTCTTCGGTATGCTTATGTCACAGGGGTGCAGAGTTCTGTTGGTGCTTCACCATATAAACTTCTATATGGTCATGATCCAATATTACCAACAGAGCTAGGTTTACCTTCGCGATTGCCACGAACTCCTGATGCTAGGTCATGGGATCAATATTTGACAAGCATTCTTCCACTTGTCCGAGCAGAGTCTACTGAACACTTAGGCCGCGTACAAGTGGGACAACAACGGCGCTACAATTCCCATCATCGTCCACCAGCGGAGTACAAAGTGGATGATTTGGTGTTAGTCCGTTTTCCCCATCTTACGGTACGTGGTTTATCTAAGGGGCTCCTTGCGCAGTGGAAAGGACCGTATCGGGTGTTGCGGCAAGTTGGACCACAAGTTTATGAGGTTCGGCATGACGTTCAGCAGGCTGATCCTCCGGAGATTGTGCATGTGCAGCGGTTAAAACGCTTCATACAGAGGGATCAGGAGCAGTTAATACCGTCTACAGATCCACCGATGCCTCCTCCTGACGTTCCTCCAGATCCCGGCCCATCTACAAGAGAATCCTGACGGCCTTCCATTATTCCGAGAGGAGGGGATGATGTGAGGGCCAAGTGTACGGCTACGATGCCGTATACTAATATTAGCGTAGTGGATTTTGGTAGCCGTCGGATTGGTTTCAATCCGGACCACTCGCTCCTGTATATAAGCTAGGGTTTTTGGGTTAATTGATATGCACATTTCTGTATTCCCTTTCTATATTCCATGCACTCACAACATAAAATATAATAAATTATTTTCTATATACATACATATATATATATACAAACATACATATATATATATACATATATATACATATATATATATATATATATATATATATATATATATATATATATATATATATATATACATATATATCTATACATACATACATATATATACATATATATCTATACATATTGTCACACCCTTGTACCATTTAATCCTACAATAGTTTAAATAAAATTACCAAGAATTGATTCTAGGAAATACAGCTATGCCCAGCTCAAATTAAAATATAAAAAATTAATATTTTGAAGCTTTATATATGCCCAGGCTCCTTCGCAGGGAGATCACACCACTAGCAAAGATGCTCCAATTGGTGGGATTAGGGGGGTGCTGAGCATAATCTGGCCACGGGGTAGTGTCTTTGGGAATGGCCCACCCTGCCATGGAACAGCCCGAAAGAAGGTGCTTGAATTAGATTTATTATTGTATTTACCTTATAACTCTATTTTTTACTCTTACTTTAATTAAAGTAAGAATCATATATACATTCAAAGGTATCTATATTATACTATATATAATTTTATTTTAAACTAAACTTTAATGAGCTTTAATAAAAAAAATTAATATCTTAAAATGTTTTGTAGTTACTATGGGAGTAGTGATTATTGCTTTAATTTCAATAATATTGTTTAGAATTTCTTTTGCACAATATGAAGTTGGAGATGTAGGTGTTATAAAGAAAGAAGCTGTACATATTATCATACAAACTCTTCTAAATACAATTAGTGAGATACCAGATAGTAGCCTTCCAACTATGCAAAGTATTCATGGAAGTATAAATATTGAATTTGAAGATACAACAAATATTGTTATTGGATATGGTATTTTTATTTTTCGAACAATTGGGGAAATTTGTAATATAGAATTTGGAGAAGATGAAGTATCAGGAAGTGTTATACGAAATTTATTAAATAAACGTTTACAAGATTCTACTTTAAAGATGTTAAATTTTGCTGCTTCCTTTATTATTTTAAAACATAAGTATTTTAATATTTATTATTATGTTAGAGATTATAATCATCAACAAAATAGAAGACAACAAATGTTTGTAGAACATCCAAAATGCAGCATATTTTCAAGTATTTTAATTAGTGGATATACTAATATGCCTCATCAATATTTATTATCAACACAATTTCTAATTTCTTCAAATAGAGAGGCTTATTTATATTTAAGTATTGATTGTAAATTACATATATATAAAGGAAATAATAATTTATGGTCTTCAAAAAACTTAATTGAAGGAATTAATTGCATTTTAAGAGTACAAGAAGATGGAAATTTAGTTTTATACTCTGATAATAATAGAGTTGTTTGGGCTTCAAATACATACTGCACTTATCAAAATTGTTTTAAAGATACATATTTATTTATGCAAAATAATTGTAATTTAGTTTTATATACTACGCATCAGAAAACTTTTACCACTAATCCTAAAGTAGAACTTGTATGGGATTCCAAAACATTTTGCTAATTTTATATTTTATTTATTTCAAATTAATTCTTAATAATTTTAATTTTAAGATCATAATTATAATCACTGTGAGATTAATAATTACTTACTTATATTTAAGCACAATTAGTTTCAAAAATACTAATAATTATCACCAAAGATAAGCTTGAGTATGCTTATAGTAGAGGATTATAATTGGTGGACAATAATAAGAGTTATAGCATTGTTGTGGTCACACTTCTATGCAAGTGGGGGTTTGGGAAGATATATGGAGATAAAATTGAGGCATTTTTGTGTCAGTGGGAATTTTAGAACTCCGTAGTTTAGCTCTAGCTGAAATGACACTCAAAATGGGGGGATCTAGTTCCAAAGAACTCAAATCAAACAATACGAACCACTAGCATCATTGGTCTTGTGAGTGTTTTCATTTGTTCTTCAATGAATTTGGATCTAACTGAAGAGTATCAGGTGCAAATTTAAGTTACTTTTATAAAGGCATGCATCATCTTGTTAGAGGTAGGATGGGTTGTAAGTAGACCTTGATGATGGAGAAATGACCAAAAGAACGAAAATAATTTATAAGTGTGTTGTGGTAAAGCCAATGCCTCTTGTGCTTTAATAGCTTTTTATTGGCATTATACACTACTTTATCACTTCTTAGCACTATCTTCCTTTTTGTCTCCCAACGAGACAACACTGCGTTCCTCCATTTCCTCAAATATTTTCTCTGCCTGGTTTAGGTTTCCAGCTCGAACATAAGCGACCAGCATCGCTGTCTACAAGACGTTAACAGAGCATCTCTCTTGCACACCGCAAATGCCCTATATGCCAGGATCAAACGAGAGATTCCTCCGGCGTCTTTGGCCATGGATAGTGTCGTGCCCAATCTGATAAGCTCCAGGCACACATTTCGATCGTGTTCCACGCATTTCTTGTGCTCTTGGCTTGTCATTGGAAAGGAATCCAGTGTCAAGAAAACGAAGTGGCTTTCCTTCACTTAAGTATAGTATATCTTCCCTGGAATCGAACCTTTTGACGCAAGTACTCTTATCTTTCAAAGGATGAGTTTGATTGAAAATTCTCAACACCTATAGAGAGCTAACGATGTGTTCGAAGAAAAGTTTGATTTGAAAAATCCTGAAAGAGACGACAATGTATGTACACCTTCACAAGCTGCCAAAACATCTTGTAGCAATCTGAAAAGGAGAGACAGAAAAGTTCCACCATCAGTGCTGAAAGCTACTAGCAACGAGAAAGTGAAAGAAACATGGAGCTTACTGACCAGTTATTACCAGCGAACAGTGGCCAGGACCCGCGGGGTTGAAACGGCGTCGAGAGCTCTCGTTCGACGATCAGGTGGAATGACGGAGAGGCTTGTGATCCGTGCTCCACCCTCGGAGCACCAGCCATTTCGCTTGATCTCGAGCATTGGAGGGCGATGCTTCATGTGCTTGTGCAGATCTCCATTTCCATTACACTCGTTGCCGTTGACGTCTACATGAGTGAGGGAAGGGGTCTCCTCCGGCTTTGATGCTTCCTGGCTCAATGCCTCCACAAAAGTCGTTGCGAGGCTCGCTGCTTCATCGCTCACGGAATCCTTGTTGGCCTTGAGGAACTTCTTCTTTGACTTTTGCTTGTGAGATTTCATCTCGCGGGAAGAGTACTCCACCTATTTAAAACAATTTGGACGACAGTGATGAACGTTGAGCACTGCGAAGTAGACTTGTTACCTTCACTCTGGACATGTCCACGCCTTTATCCTTGAGAGTGTTGAGGAAGTATCTGAAATCCTCCTCGGTCGGCCGGTAGTGGCCGCTGTGAGCTTCAAGCAACTGTTGTTGACAAACACATCATACATGAGCTTCCGAGCTATGGAACTTAACTATTTGGTACCTCCAAAATGCCGTTCATTAGAACCAGTCGGCCAGCCGCTGTGGCAGCTCCTCCTGCTAGAAAGCTCGAGTGCTGAAATTTCCCCTTCTTTTTCTGCGCATATGAAAGCATGTCAACTCCCTGGCGCAAAGGCGCTCCATAAACTAAGTACCTGGCCTACGTATATCCTTCCAGTCGTGCTCATCACAAATATCCACTTGTCGTCATCGTCCACCACGCCGGTGTCAATGATCTTCCCGTCTAAGTATCTCCACACCCCGTTTTGTATCGACACTTCATACTCTTTCCTTTGCCGCTGTCAAAGACACGACTTTTAGTCAGAAATAGAGCGACCACGCGTTCGCAAGCACTTACAGGGCCAAGATAATCTATCTGGTCCTTGAAAAGCTTCGCTCGAGAACAATCTTCGTGCTCGACTTGCCTGCCCTCTCCCACATCCAGCCTGTTTCACAAGCTCAATAAGATTTCGCTGCAGGGAGAAGCAGCAAACATACCAGTAAAAGAAAGGCTCGGTTGTCCCACTCGAGAACCAGATCTTATAAAACTTATGCAAGTTGTGTCCATAGCGATGTCTGGCATCAATCTGCAATGAATGCGGGTCATAAAATAGAACAAACAAAATAAACGACAAGCGTACAGCTTCCAGCCAGTGTTCGAATGCAAGTTTTCTTGCGTTTTCGTCCTTGGACAGGCCCTTTCCGAGCTGGATGAAAGAAAGCAACTCACAGCTCAAGATAAGTCTGAGAAATGACTACTCCACTCACCTTGGCCGCTAGTTTCTTAGCACGAATCCATTTGTGGGACACATTTTCTTCGCGCTCCTGGTCGAACTCGATGTTCTGTCTCAGGATAACTCCTTCTAGGACGTTCCACCTAAACTTTTAAGTTAGAATTTATGGGCCATGGAAAGTGACTCGGTAGAAATTGGTTCTAGTGTTCTTGCTTACCATCCATAGTCTCTGGCAATCACTGCGCAATCCGCGAGCTGCCGCCTCCGCCGATAGCCGCGATACGTCTTCTGCATCGTGATCGCAGCATCGTCTTGAGGACTAAGCGCTGATCGATCTGGAGAGGAGCCAAGGAAACCTGAGAGAAAGAAAGAAAGAAGGCGACACCCACCATAGTTCCGGACGGAGTATGGCGATCCGCTCAAATCCCAGAAGAAGCGCCTCGCGGTCTTGACATCGACGGACAGATTCTTCTCCATGCCCGATATTTCGAGAAATCCCGCCCACAATCGCCAATGCCGCCACACAAAAATCGCCAAGATCACGGCTCAGCGCCCAGATCCTCGTCGCCGCCGCGGTCGTCCAGTCCCTTCCTTCCACTGGGGAAATCCTTGACCTGGAAAGAGCTATCGCGAGGATTAAAATGGCGCTGGCGATCAAAGCCGGGCAGGCGAGTCAAGGCAGCACACGGATTCTTTTTCCAGCACGAGGGAAGAAAGGAAGCTCCCAGCTATGAAAAACAAAACCTGGTCGCCAATCACCATAGCTACATGCGTACATTGACCGTACCACGGACCAGCATGCCCTAAAACCTCAACGCTGGCGTAAGAGTGGCACCAATTCCGCGACAAACAAGGCAGGGTTGACGGCCGCCAAACAAGAAATCTTTATCGACACCGAGTTAAAAGAGAAAGAGAGACCGTTTATTTTGACCGTTGACCGATAGCGTGTGCCCGGTCGCCGCGTTGACCCCGGGGAATGGCCTTGGTCTTTGTGGCGCCTTCCAGCAACATCCAAAGAGTAGAAGCTTTCAAACAGGTATGATGGATTCCAAGTCTATGTGTCATGATAAAACTTCCATTGTCCTTGATGCCAACCGGAATCATAGCTTTGATTCATCATATGTATCCTCTGGCTAGCCACTAGAGCTGCAAGCATTTAGACAAAGATTGATCATATCAAAACTATATCATAGTAATAAAACTACTACTATTATCGGTGAGGATGATGTATTTGATGCTATTATGCTATGACAGTGGCAGACCGGGACAGAAGCAAGGGAGAAGAAAAGTACGATTTGTGGGGCTTTTTCTTTTCTAATGATCGGGATCCATGCAACACACCCTCGAAGAGAACCCAAGTTTCTCGCCACTCGATCACAATCATGCTGGGTGAGATTCTCCTCGCATCTGAGTTTGAGAAGAATTCCCAAACCAACCAAGTATTATTATAGAATCCATAGATTATTATATAAGAAAGCTTAGATTGAAACAAAGAGAAGTTCGTCGAGCTTCACACCAAGCTCGTCGTGGAGTGCTTACTGCAAACACTAGGAGGAAGTTAATCGAAACGCACAAAAGGTTTCCTGGAAGAACTATAAGATAGAAGATCTCCACACCGCAGCTAGCACAGCTTTAAGACTTTAAGAAAACCATTCTTATCTCGATGGCGATGCTGACGGCGATGGAGTGGACGATGGTCGCTTTATCCATTTTTAAGTTTGAAGCATTCAAAGTAGCGACGAGCAGCTGCTAGTCCCAGTGCTGCCTGGCTTTTCATCCCAATAAGAAAACGTTTGGAGGGGCCAAGCCTTGGAAGCCACACACCTGGGAAGTCTGAGGATCGCCCGGAGAGGAAGCTTGCGTCCATGGCATGGACAGAAAGCCCGGCTCTTGCTCCATCCTGCGCAACTCCTCGGGAGCCAGGCAGATACACACGTCGATGTCCCCAGAGCCCCTGGCACCTGTGAAGAAGGTGATGATCCCGGCCCATGCTAGCTTGCCAGGCCTCACTGCAACAGGATCACCCCAGCCGTAGTTTATGCCGTAAGCTGGAAACTTTGGCGAGCTTACCACCACAAAGTTGTTGTCGAGGGCGTAGTCGGCACCTCGAAAGTAAGCGTTGCCTTGCTTGTCACACCACTCGAGCAGCGACTTTATGTTCCCGTCTGTGGCACCTGCAATCGCTTGGCTTAGAATCCGGACTCCATGAGCGGTACCTTTCTCGGGACTCAGCAGCTCGCCGGCACGGGACTCGGCGTAGACAGCACACACCGCGTTGCCAAAGTATCCATCCGGGAGGCACGGCACCAGCCGCTTCCTCACGTCCACCCCGACGAAGAAGCGTGTCTCCTCCGACTCCTCGAGCCCCCGAGCTCGGACTAGACACCGCCATATGTGCGCACACAGGACGCGGAAGGACGACACCTGCTGGATGTCCCCGTTGCTGCCGGCCATGGCCTGGAGCTTGAGCCTCCGGATGAACTGAGCCGAGAAGCTGTACATTCTCTGCTGTATGTTGGAGAAGCCGATGGGTGCCTCCATGGAGGCCGTCGCGGGGATGGCGAAGTAGCGAGGCAGGGAGCTCATATAAGTGACTGGCGGCTGCGATATCAGAATTTCCCGGGAGTGAACCGGCGGCAGGGAGATGGACTGTCCGCAGGCGACTTCGGACCACGACTTCATAAAGTGCCAGAAGGAGTAACCATCTATGAGGAAATGGTTGTAGGAGACACCAACCGCTAGACCACCACTTTTGAATCGTGTCACCTGGGAAAACATTCGTCGTCGTGGTCGTCGTCGTCGAAAAGAAAAAAATAAAATGGAAAACAAAGAGCAAGTGAGTACCGACAGACAGGAGATCACAAAAAACTTAAATGCGTACCTGAACCGATACCGGAGCTATGTGTGGAGCATCTGCAAGCTCCGAGCTCTCCACATGAGCCAGCTCCGAGCAGAGATCCATGCAGTGAGGCGAGGCGAGGAAGTCGCCTAGAGACTTTCGGAGCATCGCTGCCTCAATGAAAGGGACACCGGCGTCGTTGCAATTGATCCTCGGCTTCTCGGACTCTCCATCGGTGAAGCGGCCGGCGAGGGGATAGAACCGGACCAGCGTCTCTGCCAGGCTGCCCTTGAGCTTGTCGACGAAGGAGTCGTAGTTGTCGAGCGAATCCAAGTCGAGCGAATAGAACAGTATCCTTTGCATGCAAGCCACATTCCTGTTGAGAAAATCCAAGCTGGTGAGCGGTAGGATGCATCTGCGCGTGAGGGAAGCCGGCACCACAGTGGATATCGAGTGGATATGAATGCTGAAGTCGCTATCCATGGTTTCCGCGGAAGCAGCAGCAGCACGCACTAGAGCAAAGGCGAGGCGAGCCAGTGACACGAGCCCAAGGTCGCTTTAAGTTCAATGAATTCGCCTCTGCTGTGATCTAGTGTCCATGTCACAGTAAATCTCCCTGCTCTCGAGCGGTCGATATATGGTTTCACTTTTGCTGCCTGCTGCTGCCTCGTCTGCTGGTTTGTACCAGTGCTGCCGGCTGGTGTTTGGGAGTCAGAAAACCAGCGAGAAGAAACTGTCCGATTCGGCTGGAGCTGCTCCTGCACACACACAAGCGTCGACATAACCGATTTGACAATGCAAACTGATGCGAAAAGAAAAAGCCAGTGCAGTGCCAGTATTACTTACTTGGCGGAGGGAGAGAGAAAAGGAGCAGCACACAGTTCCAAGGAAGAGAGAGGCTCTTCGATATGTTGCTGCCCGCTGCTCGCTCGCTGGAGAAGCCAATAAGGCATGTGATGTCCTGTTCGGTCCTGTCCCACCTTCAACTGGCGTTGCCATGAAAAGCAGTGAGGAACAGTCTCAAGTACATATTCCTTCCTGCTTGAATACTCAAATATATATATATCGCTCTCTCTCGCTCGCTTACCAGCCTCGGAAAAGCAAGCCAAACAAACAGGTCCTGTTCTTTCTTCGTCTCCTCCCCTGTGTCAAATCATATCTCCTGTCATTCATACCAAAGCTTGTCATGTCTACATCCTGCATACAATGGATACATACATATGCGTGACATCCCAGGTAGCTCCTCTCGCAGATTCACAATCCTGAAACCCCCGCAACGCAACTTTCAGTAGAGAAATTACTTCTAATTATAACCCACAAAGCTCTAGGAGAATTGCAATCCGGGAGCTACATTTGGCATGTGGAGGAGAGATTTCTAATTCCGGGATGCTGGTGGTGGTGGTGAAAAGGAAAAGTTTATGTAGCTATTCGAGGAAAACGGGGGAATAATAACGAAACTACTATGCCTCAACACTGCCGTAACCAATGCAAAAACAAATGACCTCCAAGACACAAACAAAAGAATGCAGCTTTCCCAATCCTACGTTTAATAATTGAAATGCATCAATCAAGTCGGGAGAATGACTACTGAAGTTTAAAAGTCAGTACCCCCTAGAAGAGACGCAATGCAAGGAAAATAGAGGAGCTGAAAGAACTAGCAGAAGAGCAAGTACCAGTTTTTGAAAGAAGCAAAGCTCCTCGAGCTCAAGACTTTCACGTCCGTTTCGTTGCTTTTCTCCTGGCCAAAGTACTCTGCAACAGTCCAAGTCCGAAAGATTATGAACACACTTCAGCAACCAGACACGGATCTTAGAAAAATAATATGTATCTAGCTAGGAAGAACGTACCATTAGAAGAAGTACACCGATTGGATCACTTTTTATTTGCATTGGAATAGAGCGAAACAGTACAGCACTGACACGAGTTGCAAAGCCCGATTAGGAATCATAGCGAATAAGTAAGATCGAGTTAGGCCTATAGATAAATTGACCTGGAAAATTCTACACCTCATGAGCATGATTATAACTCGCTCTGTAAACGCACCTGATTTCTCAGGTTTTGGGAGTCTCGCTACCTGTCGCGCGAGGTTTCTTGCTAATCAATCTGCAGGCTGCAGCCAGCGAGAAGAAAAAGATCAAACATGACTTGAAAAAAACATGGACTTGAGGAAACTTACGCTCCATAAATGTTCAGTCAACGATGAACCCATGGCCATTCGTCGTTGCTCCTCCCGTCCCCATAGCACAGAACAAGTGCCAAAAATCACTAGGACTGTACCAATTAAACTGAAAAAAAAAAAACGATCATTGATACGGGCACGTCTTTTTTGCAAGTGATACGTACCTGCCGAAATGAAATGGCTGATGTAAAAGAACTGCAGCAAGAGTACATGTAAAAACCATTCTCAGGGGCTGATAAACAGCAACTATGACCGGGCCACCCCGAAAAACACCCCAGGAATAAGTTCCAAACGCCAAAGCTGTTCCAATAAAACCCTGAGCGAGCAGCGAGGAAAAGTGAGAACTGTTCCATCTCCAAATGCAAACAAACTTACAGCGTAAATCACACAATAAATTTGCGAGCCAGGCTCCAGAATCCACTTGGAGGTATCTCGTTCAAAAATGGCTGACAAAATACCAAGCTCTAAGACTCCAAATAAACAAGAAAAAGCTGCAACCGAAAGCGGAGCAGGATAGCGTGTCAAAATTGGAACCTGGAATGTCAAGTTTAAGGACCGATGCAAATGCAGGAGTCAGTACAAAACTAAACCTGTAAGATGAGGTAGATTCCCAAACATATGCTGCCAATTAAAGCAATCGAGCTAAGCTGCCAAGACTCGCTTGACACTTGCACCTGTAGGAGATTGTTTGTCGGGACAGCCAAGGATCTCAGAAGCACAGGTCCTTTACCAAGAGCGATGACTACTGCACCCAGACAACTGAGAAGAATACCGAGAACTTTTGCTTTTCCATCTCGTCTTCGCAGGTGAATTTCTTCGAGCCTGATTAAAGAGGTATTAGAAATAGAAAGAAAATTATCTCAAACTACTGACCAGCATGCCCCGGCTAGAATTAAGGTAAAAAGTGGTGTGATACTCTCAATTGCTGCTGGAATTGATGGTGAAACCAAGCTGGAAACTGAGCTAGAGCTCGTCACATACGTCACTTGATTGATCACGACCCTGGAGAAAGGAAAGACGTAATTCATGCATGCTAAAAAAAATTCTGGACATACCCGATAGAGCCGAGAATAAACAACCGGCAAGCAGTCGAGAAGCGTAGTTCCGGACGTTGATCTCTGCCAAGAATCAGTCCAAGAAGGAAAACCAAAACAAACAACATGTTTAGAGCTTTAGAAAAGGAGGAGGAGAAAAAAAAGAGCTGCTAGGTACCTCTCATAGAAGAAAGCCAATGGCGCGAGGATTAAGAATCCGATGCAGTTCTGATAGAGCGGAAAAACAAAACGACCGAGAGATCCAACGCGTGAAGTTTTCAGAAGAATCGTGAATCCGGCGCTTCCCAACTGCACTATCGCGAGCGCCGCGTTGAGATAGCTCTTGTCTGGCGCATTTTGGTAATACGAGGGCAACTCCGCCATTTGATCGCTATCGGCAGGAGCCGCAATCGAAGATCCTGAGCAGTCCCACGGGAGCACTCGATTTTTATTCCTGAGCAACGAGTGGAGAGATTCACTGCGAGATCTTGGATGAGAGAATGCGTACCAGGTCGATAGAAAGCCCCATCGCTTAAAAGCCCTAGTCTCGCGGATTTTGCCATGAGAATATACTTCTAGGCGTTAGAGCATCTGACACGTGGCCGCATTTGAGCCAGGGTTTTAGGGTTCCAGCTCTGTGGTGGAATCCATGGCTGCCTCTCTCGTTGGCTCTTCGTCTACCTCCACTACTCGATCATTCCTAGGGTTTACGCCTAGGAAGCAACAACAACGGAGATTTTCGCTCCAGATCGTCCGGGCCATCAAGGCGCCAGAAGAATGCAACGAGGAAGAATGCGCTCCCACCAAGGAGGTAAATATCTCGTGAAACAATTCGTGAGCCTAGAACATTTGATCCAGGACCGAAATTTTCACTCGATTGATCTCTAGGTTGGGAGCTTGAGCATGGACTGGAAAGCCGAAGAGAACACCAAAGTGGTAGGAACTTTCCCCCCAATCGGGAAGCAAAACAGGGTCACAGGCTATGTCGAGAAGGATTCTGCCGGTCAGACCAACGTCTACGCAGTCGAGGTACGTAGAATCGATCAAAATTCTTTCCAGCCGCTGAGATTTCCTCCCAAAATTCCTGCTCCAGCCCCCGGTTTATGTCGCGGAATCGGCCATTAGCACTGGATCGGCTGGAGCATCGTCTCAAGGCAGCGAGAACACAGTCGCGATCATCGCAGGGCTGGGAATCGTCACAGTGGCCGCCACTGCTGTGATTCTATCCCAAGAATCGGCTCCACCGCAAGCAGGGTACTCGGGGCCTCCTCTCAGCTATTACATCCAGAAATTCCAACCATCGCCCGCTCTCACCCCAGTCCAGATCGAGGAACCACCATTGATTAGCGGAGAAGAAGAAGCTCCTCCTCTTTCTCAGTAGTAAAGCCCTACATTTCCCTCTAAAAACGAAAGATTTTTTTTAAAATCACGCTTGACGTGTCACGTAACGCCACGTGTCACACGCAGGACCAATGGCGGCGGATAAGCTTATCGTCAGACCTAGACCGAAGCTAGTAACGAGATCCAAGCCTATTAACCGAGCTCACATTTGTGGTAGAGAGAGCGTCTGAGCTATGGCCGCCTCTACTCTCGCCGTGAGCACTGTGAGCGCTGGGGCATTCCTTGGCCAATCCGTTTCTGTGAATCGCGCCTCAGTGAAGCCAATCGTGGGTAAGTCGTTCGATGCTTAATTCGAGACTCCAATCCAATTCTATGGGAATTTTGCCCAGGATTGCCGGCATTGCGAGGCGGGAGGATCCTTTGCTCGGCCGAGAAGAAGGAATCCGCAGCATCTGGCATCGCTGCATCGTTTGCTACAGCGGCAGCTACCTTCGCCGCAGCTCATCCTGCTCTAGCTCTTGTGGATGAGAGATTATCGACAGAGGGCACTGGGCTTGGATTGGGAGTGAGCGATGGATCGCTAGCTTGGATTCTCGTCATCGTTCCTTTCGCGCTGTGGGGCTTCTTCTACAGTTTCTCTCAGACGCTCCCCAGTGGAGAGGACGATGGAGGATTGTCGCTGTAAAATCACTTGAATATCTTAAATGTAAAATCTAGCCCGCCATAATTTCAAGGTTTCTAGGGTTCTTCATTCTTTAGTGGAATGGCGATGGCGCTCCCGCATTGCGCCATGGTTGGGAGATCTATCTCTCCGCTAGTGAAGGTCAGGAAGGTCTCGATTTCCAGAAGAGTCACGGCGTGCGCTGTTGGGGAAGGAGAACGCGCAGCATTGAGGCAAGATCGCGATAGTTCGAATCGAAATGGAACAGTCTATGCTCGAGCCATGGATTCCATGCCTCCGGAGGGCTTTGCAGTGCTCATGTCCTGTGGCGTGGGGCTCTTGACTGGAATCGGCGTCGTAGCATTCAACTACACAGTAAGTGATCTTTCTTGGAGAATTTTTTCTCCCAAAATCTCAGTGTTTTTCTATCCAGGTGCACGAAATCCATGACATTGTGTGGCATGGAGTTCCTCGAGTGACGTGGTTTAGATCCCAGCCGCTTGCCGAAACTTGGAAGCAGATTATGATTGTGCCTGTGGGTGGTGGATTCGTTGTTGGTTTGATCAACTTCCTACAGTCCTGGATCGATCGGAGCGACTCCAAATTGTGGACAAAGGTACAAGCTCTTTCGAGGCCGCTCTTAAAAAGCGTAGCTGCTGCTGTGACTCTTGGCACGGCCAATTCACTGGGTCCAGAAGGCCCGAGTGTGGAGATCGGTGCATCGGTTGGTAATGGCATCGGCTCAGCGTTTAGAAGTAGCCGCGAGAGAACGCTAGCCCTCAAGGCTGCCGGATCTGCAGCAGGCATTTCATCTGGTAAAGTTCTTCATCACTTTTAAGTTGCTTGACATCTATACGTTCTTGTGAATTTTTGCAGGACTGTTGTGATTTATATACCTTTGTGGTATGCTGCAGGATTTAATGCAGCTGTAGCCGGGTGCTTCTTCGCTGTTGAATCCGTGCTAAAATCTTCACTTGCTGCTGATTCGGCTGGGTCTTTAACCACTGCCATGGTTATATTAAGTTCCGTTCTTGCCACCGTTGTTTCCCAAGCAGGACTTGGAAGCGATCCGGCTTTTAAGATTCCAAGTTATGACTTTCGATCTCCCGCAGGTATGTGACAAAAAACTTTTTTGGTGCAAGTTTGAACGGCATTCTGTGCAGAGCTCCCTTTGTATCTCGTGCTTGGTGTCATTTGTGGAGGTTTGTCGATCTCCTTGACAAAGTGTTCCGCAGCCGCTTCTTCTTTATTTGACAACCTGCAGAAATCAACAGGCATTCCTTCAGCGTTTTTGCCACCTCTTGGGGGATTATGTGTTGCAGTGATCGCTCTTGCGTACCCGGAAGTTCTCTACTGGGGTTTCGAGAACGTCGATGCAATATTAGAGTCAAGACCCTGGGCAAGAGGTCCGCCAGCTGATCTACTTTTCCAGATTGTCGCAGCAAAAGTGGTAGCTACATCTCTGTGCCGCGGTTCTAGACTCGTTGGAGGTTTTTATGCGCCTTCTCTCTTTATTGGAGCTTCTCTGGGGTCAGCTTATGGTAAACTAGCAGGATACATTATCAGCCACGCGAATCCTATGTATCATCTCGACGCTTTGGAAGTGGCTGCGCCGCAAGCATATGCGTTGGTAAGCTACGTTGTTTTATCAACGTATGTAACTTAAATTGCATCGCAGGTCGGAATGGCAGCAGTGCTTGCGGGAGTCTGTCAAGTGCCTTTTACATCTATTTTGCTGCTTTTTGAACTCACCCGTGACTACCGTATCATACTACCTCTCATGGCAGCGGTTGGTCTATCATCGTGGATTGCCTCGAGCTATATTAGCCAAGAAAAGTCTGGATCACTGGATGCGACGAGTTCAAAGGATGATAAGGAGGAACTTTGCTACGTTGAAGAGTCGTTATGCGTGACAGATGTTTCTGAAACCAAGCTGGCTAAGGAACTTCTCGTATCGGCTGCTGTTCGGGAGGACTACCTCGCAGTTACTCCAGATGCTAACGTTGAAGCCACGCTTTTTTCGATGCTTAGAGAGAAGAAATGGTGCGCGCTGGTCATTGGAAGCAACAAGTGTCTGGAAGGTATTCTTACTCTCGGAGACATCCAGGAAGAACTTCGAAAGCCTTCTGAGGTATGGACGGCAATATTTTCAGGCTGACATTGTCTTTCTTTCCCAGGTTCCTCAAAAGAAAGTATCTGATATCTGCAGGACGAACGTCGTTACTGCAAAGCTCCGTATGAATTTGGAAAGTGCTCAAAGGCTTCTAGCCAATCGTGGCTTGAGGCAGCTTCCTGTTTTATCAGAAGATGGACAGGTTGTTGGCATCATCGATCAAGATGCGATTAAGCTAGCTTGCAGGTAAGAAGTCTTTAAGGTTTTTTCATGACAAGGAATGCATGCTAACATAATTTTCTGCCAGGGTAGAGGCAACAAAGAAGCTTCTGCCTATGCAGTGAACTTGCTCTCACTCGAAGTTCTCGGAATGTTTTAACGGAAATGGTCGGCACGGGTTCCACTTCTTTTATATTTTTCAAGAACCGAGGCGTAATGCGACCTTATCTTATCAGCGGCGAGCCGTAACAGACATGGATTATGAAAATCCTTCGCACTCAGTGGGTCGTGGGCACGGACGGAAATTGCTAGAAAACTCGCACGTCTTGGGATCCTGGTGCGCTGCTTCAAGCCCCGGGGTTAAGCTTTTCCGCATGCTTCTTTGGATCGCCTCACTCGTGCTCTCGCTATGGCGCTCCAGGGCTTAAGAAGACGGCCCTGTTTCTTCTCCATGGCGGATGGGGCGGTCAGATCAAGCAGGTAAGCCAGTGAGGTATTTCAGGATGCATCACCACCAGCAGCAGCAACACGGTCGAAGATCATGTTGCCACGGTTTGAAGCTGTGGAGGATAGTGTGGAGCATACAGGTCCTTCTGGCAATGCTGGTGGTAACAGTCATGGCTACCAGCCTGGTGCGGCTCTACTTTATGGGTTTCTTCGGCAAGGACCATGCTCACTTCTTCAATCGTCCTTGGTCAACTCTGGGAGGGGACACTCAGCACATTGACAGGCAAGGGATGGTAGTGGGTAGTCCTCAGCTAGATTCACTAGTATCAAGTGTCAGCAGTCTCCAGGGGAAAGTAGGCAAGGCTATGGAGTCGATCCAGGAGAGCATGACTACGGGACAGGGAGAAAAATCGCCGGAGTGGCAGGAGCAGAGCAGGCTTCTGTTGGACGTTGCTGTCGCTCTTGACCAGGCCAAGTCACTCCTCATGCAGCTCAAAATCACTGGATGCGTGCAGCAGAGTACGGCAGCGTCCAAAGTCCAAGACAACAAAACCTCGAACTTGGAGTCTTCTAGCTTCGGCGTGGAGGAGATTAACAAGTACCTTCTTCCCAGGGAGCATAGGCTGGAGCCTGGAAAGAAAAACTTCATGGGAGGGAACGCAACGTTTCCGTCCGTCGGGCTGGCCTGTGCTACGTCGATGAAGGCAGAGCTGGAGCAGTACATGGACTACGACGTCGGAGATTACTGTCCGGATGATTGGACGCTGGGACAGAAGCTCTTGGTGCATGGATGCGATCCTCTTCCTCGAAGGAGATGCCTTGCCCGAGCACCGCAGTTATACCAGAAGCCACTAGCTGCAAATGAGTCGCTGTGGCGGATTCCGGACAGCCGAAACGTCCGATGGAACAACTACAAGTGCAAGAACTTTGAGTGTTTGGCTGGGAACAAACCAAAGAACGGCACTTCAAACTCCTCATCCAGCAAGGGCTTCTACAAGTGCTCCGAGTGCTTCGACCTCCTTGGATATGAGAAGTGGAGATGGGTGACGGTGAATCTAAGCACAAGCACGGCTGCGGACTTCCGGATCTCCGATGTTCTGGCGCTCAAGCCCGCGGGGGAAATCCGGATTGGAGTCGACTTTAGCGTTGGGACAGGGACGTTTGCTGCCAGGATGAAGGAGCACAACGTGACAATCATCTCGGCCACTCTAAACCTCGGTGCACCCTTCAACGAGATGATCGCCTTGCGTGGACTCGTCCCGCTCTATCTCTCCGTCAACCAGCGCCTTCCTTTCTTCGACAATACACTGGATATATTACATACGACGCTTTTTCTGGATGGCTGGATCGATCACATCCTACTGGACTATATTCTCTTCGACTGGGACCGTGTTCTTCGTCCGGGAGGTTTGCTTTGGATCGACCGTTTCTTCTGCCCGAAGCAAGACATTGATGACTATCTTTACTTCTTCCTCCAGCTGCACTACAAGAAGCATCTCTGGGTGGTTACTCCGAAGCTGGACAAAGATGGAAAAGAGCTCTTTTTCTCGGCCGTGCTAGAGAAACCGCCCAGGCCCTTTTGACATCCAAGTAAATCTCGGTCTATTTTACTTTTTCGCTTTTCATATGCGTTCTTTGTAGAACATACACACAGGCAAGACAGAGAACAGTTATCTCCCCTCCAGTGGAGCAGTATTATACCTCCTACTCAAAACTGCAGCTGTTTCCCACTCCAGGGAGCTCTCCAGCAGCTTGGAGAGCTTAAAAGTTACGTCTTTCGTATTGGGCCGCGCATCCGGATCAGCGTCCACACAGGATCTCGCCACCTCCACAAAGTTGAGAGCTATGTCCCAAGGGACCGCATTGTCCAAGATGGGATCAGCCCAGTGCTTGAGCTTCTCAATCTTCTCATCATTGTCGTCACCAGCAAACCCGTCGGTCAGCTTCACAAACGCGTCGGCCAAGTACTGCTTTTCCGAGCCGGTGCCCGTGCTGAGAATGGCCTCCCGTCCCGTGAAGAGCTCCAGCAGTACAACGCCGAAGGCATATACGTCCACTTTGGTGGTGACAAAACCATGCGTCAGGTACTCCGGAGACATATATCCCTGCGTTCCGGCAATGTGCTTGGTGAGAGCCGCATCGTTCACCAGTCTGGCCATCCCGAAGTTGGCAACTTTGGCACGCAGATTGGCGTCCAGCAATATGTTGCTGCTCTTCACGTCCTTGTGCACGAAGCTGGGCTTGGTGTAGTCGTGAATGTACTCGAGGCCCGTGGCAACGTCCATAGCTACCTGGAGTCTCGTGTTCCAGCTCAGGAAAGCCGAAGACACCGACGCCGAGCCCATGGGAGCGTTCTCTATCTTAGACATCGCAGTAGCGGCAGGGGTCCTGTTATGGAGGCAGCTGCTCAAGGAGCCATTGTCGGCATACTCGTAAACCAGGAACAGCTTGTCGTCACCGCTGCAAATTCCAATCAGCTTCACCAGGTTGCTGTGGTGGACTTTGCACAGGATTTTCAGCTCCTGGGACGTGGTTCCTCCCTTCATCTCCTTGATGGCAACCAGCTGCTTCCGGAGTATTCCCCGGTAAACAGAACCTTGGATGAGATGAGAAGCACTGAAGTTGTTTGTGGCGTCGCAGAGCTCCTCATACGAGAACACGACTGGCCTCTCCGAGTCGACGAGGCCATGCATCCCCGCAAGGAGAGGTGCGTGCGGAGACGGCTGCTCTTTCGACGGCTCGGCGTAGCTGCTGCTCACGGAGCTCCCAAACGCGCCAAAGTTGCGGTCATCCTTGCTGCCGCCGTGGCCATAGCTGGACTTCTGCAAGGACGCCTTCGTCACCTTTCTCGGCCTCCGCCTGTAGAAGATGACGAGCGCCAGGACGACGAGAAGAACCGCCGCTACGCAGGCCACTGCAATGCCAACGTACATCCCAGTGTTGCTGCCGGAAGACGACGAAGAGTCCGGAGAAGGAGAATTATTTGGGGGATTATTCGCGGGAGGCGGAGCCGCCGGCGAAAGCGTCTGGCGAGGCAGCGGTGGCGGGTCTTGGCTCGCCCTTAGCAGCAGTGTCGTGAAGGCTTGCAAGTTGGAGTCCTGGACAGCACTCCCGGACACCGTATTATCGGAAGCTAGCCGAGTCCGTGAAACGTTCCAGGCCCTGGCGATCCCGTCCAAGATCTCCCCCGGCCAGATGCTGTAAGTCACCAGCGACGTCACCCCCGCGGCGACTTGTGCGGAGCTCGGGCATGCGCAGCGGATGGGGAAGACTATCGAATCGCCAGGCTGCAAGTTCGTGGGAACCGCCAGTGGGTTTGCGCGCTCCACCGCCTGGTACGTCGTCAATCCTTGGAAGGTCCCGTTGGAGACGAGATAGAGCGTATCTCCTGACTGGATGATGTAGGTGGCGTTGAACTGGGAGCGTCCGGAGGCGCAGGAGCAGTTCAAGGGGATGAGGAGGACCTGGTCGGGGACGAGCGTCGCGGACTGGGCGATTTGCGAGGCCTCGGCGAGCTGCTCCACGCTCAATCGAAAGCGGAGGCCGACCGACTGGAGAGTGTCGCCCTGGAGAGCTCGGTACGCTGCGTAGGCCTGGCAGGAAGTGGAGTTACTGACGCAGCTATAGCCCTCTTGGTCGGATTCGATGTAGGCTTGCTGGGCATTCGCGGATGGATCGCTCCATAGCAGCAGGAGAACCAGCAAAGCGGTGGAGATCATCCCGAGCAGTGGCGATGGCGATCGCCGCAGCGGCATCGGAAATCTAGCCCCCGCGATCGCCATTGGAATGGGAAAAGATTTAGAAGTCACCCACCTATGTCATGCGGCTCGAGGCTAGCAGCGAATCTTCTTCCACGGAGCGTTCGTCCTAGGCGATGGCCGCCATAGCCAGTCCTTCCAATTAGCGAGACAGTGTTAAACGATCCAGTCAACTATGGCGATGCCACGCTGGCGGGGCTCCATTGGGTCGTACATGTGCCGGGGCTGACACGTAACGTCTCGAGCTTGACCGAACACCGAGTGGGATTTGGTGCCCCATTCAAGCACGGGTCAACACGGCGGGAAGTTTCGACAATTACAAGGGAAGATTTGGAGATGTGGTCGCAATTAAACAGTAATCTTTGTCAGATCTATTGGCTCCTCAATAGGATAATTTGGTTCTTGACAGCCATGTTTATGGTCTTATAATTGCCCAAAAAAATGCCACATTCCTATGTATTGCAATTGCCCCCAATGCAATGCCAGCAAATGCCACATTCAGGCAAATACTATCTCTCAATATACAATTTTTATTCCCCCAATGCAATGCCAGAAAATGCCACATTCAGGTAAATTATAATACGTCTTGCAATTTCCCAATGCGCTTAAGACTTTGATTCATTACATTTCCTGAAATATTCCACTAATACAGCAAATACCCAATGTGGGTATTACTTGAATGATTGTACTTGGTCTTCTACCGTACAAGATCCACATGCATGCATGCATGCGTGCATGAATGTGCTTTCTCTCTTCCCTCGTCTCGTCATGGCTCCATGATGACTATTATTGACCACGATACAAAGATGGCGCGGCCATGCATGGCTCTGGCGGTCCCTCCCATCCGACGGTACCAAATCGCCAGGAATCAATCTGCGTCCGTCGGTTTATGCCTGTCTTTGCGTGTCATCCATGTCCCTTATTCCTGCTGCACAAAGCTCGGCTCGGAAAAACTCTCTTTCCATTAAGAAAAGAAAGGGCTTTTCTCGTTCCGATTGATTCCTCTTTTGCCAGCGATGATCTCTCATCCGGCCTTGTTTATGCCTTTTTATTGAGCTTCTCACCAACGGGAGGTACAAAGGATTCTCCAAACTGCTAGTAAAAAAATTGTGATCTTGCAACGGTGTTCGAGGCATTGAGCAGAGCAACACAACACTGCACAGGCTTTGGCGGCAGTGCTGCCTCTTTTCTCCATTGTTTCTTTTGGTCATTGCCATCTTCTCGTGGATATTTTTTTTCCTCTTGATTGATTGACGCGGTGGTGGTGTTGTTTTCTTTCTTTTCTTTCGAATTGGCATCCGTAAGCCTCTGCATATCAAGCTGCAATCAGTGCAGATAAAGCACAGGAATCATTTTGTAGAAAAGCAAAAGGCGGGTGTACACACACGGCGCGCTGCAGCAGAGTAGTCACGAGATTGATAGATTACCTCCAATCGAACATGGGCTCCAACGAGACAATTGGCACTGCCCGAGAAAGAAAACACACTTAAAAGAACGTTGGTGAAATGGTCAACTCAAAATGCCTTGAAATGGCATTTGCTGGCAGCGCCACACTTGGCTAATCACAATGACATTTTCGAATCAAACACACACAAAAAGGTAAACCCGGTGATCTATCTAGACAACCCCAGATGCCAGAGTCGTGAGAGTAGCAGCGAATTCTTTGTGGGCTGCTCCAACTCCCAGGAAATCGTGCGTGAAAGTGGTGTCGACGCTGCTGGAGTTCGGGTTGAAACTCCCGTGTTGCTGCTGCTGGTGCGGCTGATGATGGTGATCGCTAAACATGACCATTTGATCCGTTAATCCATGGAACTGGTCACCACTGTTGAAACTTTTGGAATGCTCCACGCTGTTGGCGATGGTGCTTTCGTTCATTGCCGCTTGCCACAAGCTATAAGCCGCAGTCGTAGACGATGTGGAAGGAGACGACGAAGAGGAATCCAATCCTGCTGGCCTGGCCGCAGACAAGTTACTCGTCGTCGCTCCCATCTGCGAAGCCTTCAAAAGCAATGCCGTGGCTGACATAGCAGCCGTGGTACTGCCCGGGAAGTGTGAATGCGAGCACAAGAGCTGCGTGTTTGCTGCCGATGACAGCGAAATCAAGCTACTGTTGCTGTTGCTGCTGTTTAATCCTCGTTGGCTGCTCGCGAGCTCCGTTGCTGATGTTGTCATCGTACCACCGCTGCTACTGTTGCTGTTGCTGTTGTTGCTGACCGAGAGGATGGAAGTTAAGTAGCCACCACCACCACCACCGTGAACGTTGCCTGAATGCTGCTCAGCCACCAAGCTCTTCAAGAGCAGTAATTGTTGTTCTTCGTGATCGTGACACTCGAGCTGTTGCTGATCTTGCTTGCTTCCAGGCGCTGACGTCCAAAGTGACAGGCCGGTTGACGCAGTCGCCGGCCAGTGGTGACTCTCTGTAGTTTGAGGTGGTGACGAGTCCGATCCGATGCTCTTGGAGACGACCGAGTCGCACAAGCTCTCGTTGCCGCCGGCGGTGTTGTGATTGAGCAGGCTTTGCTGGGAGGAGAGGCAGCTTACGCCACTGGACGCGGCATCTGGCTGGGCTTGCTGGGCTTCTGCTTGCTGCTTCTGGGCCGCTGAGATTCGAGCACTCTCCTCGGCCAGAGCGTCACAGAAAGCTCGGTGTGTGATAAAGCTATCCCTCCTGTATGAACAGTTCGAGCGATTCATGATGTCAAGATCATGGAAGAAAATGGGATCATAGAAAACTGCATCCATACCTCGAGAACAAAGTGCCACAGTCGCAACGATATTCTCTCGTCCCACACGTCTTGCAGTGAGCCTTCCAGTCGGACTGGACGGCATACTTCTTGGAGCACTTGTCACACTTCCACTTCTTCTCGCCGTGCTTGCGGCAAAAGTGCTTCTTGATGCCCGTCAGGTCGCCCAGCGCTCGAGACGGGTCGTGGTGGACGCAGCTGGGCTCCGGGCACACATAGACGCGCTTGCGAACATCTTTGCTGCTTCGCTGCCGGAGCTTCCACGGCAAATTGTGGCCCCGACGGTGGAGCTGGAGGTTCTGGTCTCGCTGGAAGCCTTTGTTGCAAATCTCGCAGATAAATCTGTTGGTGGCCATCAAGGTCTTGGGAGACAAGGCGATTACCTCGGCCTCCGGATCTGGAAATAAGCCACACCCCACTGGAAGTTAGCACACCAACTTGGTGATGAATCGCTGCTGCAGTAAAAAGCTTTCTAAAGAACTTAGCATGGAAGAAAACTTTACGGGAAGAAAGAAAGTGGTGGAAGAAAAGGAGGAAACTTTCCGGCGAGAAAACTTACCAGGTGTTCCAGGGAGGCTTCGTTTTCTCTTGTAAGCAGCGGCAGCGGCGGCGGCCGAGGAAGCAGTAGCAGCAGCTTGGAGCGAAGCCACCATGAGATGCTGTTGATGGTGACGATGATTCGACTGATAAACATCACCGGGCGACGAATCACCAGCAGTGGAAGCCGAGGTTGTCAAATTGGAGAGGCACTCCACGTCCTGCCCGTGTTGATGCTTGTTGAGCTGCTGCAAGCCATGGTACTGCTGCTGCTGCTGGTAATCGTGATCCCTCGTCGAGGAGTGGAAGCCAGCACCACGAAAGTTGTAGCCCCGGCATGGCAAATTCGCAGCCTCCAGGCCGGGAGTTTGCCACCAAGAGGGATCTTGAGCAGCCGGGGACGCCATAGCTGGAGCTTGGTGATCGGGGACTAGAAGATTTTGGCAATGGAGCATCGACTCCGCGGCTATCGAGACGGTCGTTCTCTCAGGTGATATACCTCGGACGATCGAGGAGATCAAGCTCTCATAACAAGCAAGCTTTCATAACAAGAACAAGACAAGCAAGCGAGAAAGAAGAAGAAGAAGCACAGTGATGATTATGAAGAGCCACGGGAGAAGAATCCATAGCTTGGACGCTCCATTTGGCTCCGCCCTGGTTAAGATCCAGCGAAACAGCAGTGAAGGGGTCTTCTTCTACTTGTCCTCCACTGCCCACCTGTACGAAAACCGGCACATAAATTTGTGACCACGTCTTGGCCCAAAAAAACGGTACGAATCCCACCCTTGTCTTTGTCGCATCCGTTTTGGCCACCCTCGCTTTGGCTTGCAAACAAAGCAAACGGAGTTCTTCTCCCTGGCCTGGTAGAAAATCAGTTTTTTGGCTTAGAAAAGAGAGGAGAATTTCGATCAGGAGAATCGAATAGAATGTAGATGGTGGCCAAAACAAATTCTCCATTTTGATCTACAAAGTTGGCAAAACAAAATGGAGGAAGCGACACACAAACACGCACACACACAACGCATCGTTTTTTGTTGGTATTCTCATAGCCGAAGCACACGACAGGCCCGTCTTATTGCATTGGATTCCAGAAGAATTCAAGCGAGCGAGAAAATTTTGTCCTTTGTGTGTTTTTTTTTCTTTCCTTCTCTCTTGGTGGGTGTCATGGTCTCGTTTGTCTCTTCTCCAATCTCGCATCAATTGTCTCGTTCCGAATTTTATGATCGACGTGAAAAAATGTTGAAGTTTTTTTGAGCCATAATAATAGTAATTAATATCAATATAATAATCCAGGGTGTAATCAGCAATGTAATGATGGCCGTGCAATGTCAACGTTGCATCATTCAACAAACGCACATACAGCGGCAAAAAAAGAATTGCTCGCACTCATACACACGCAACCGCGGATGATTATAAAATGCCCACAATGCTTTCATAAAATAAGGAAAAAGATCAAATCGCCCAACGTTGAAAGTCAGACGGGGTGATGATCATGGGATCCCCAATTTTTTTGTTAGGAAATCCCTCTAGTGCCGTACGTTTGATCGAGACTTTGAGCAGCCATGATCACGGGGGGAGATTTGGCACTCGTTCAACGAACGATGATCAGCCCAATCTTCATTTTATTCTCCTGGTGCCACCCAAGTAAGTTCTTTTATATGCACTCTGGCGACGCTGGATGATCCCGATGCCAAATCTCCTCCCTCGCCTTTGAGAGGAATAAACTTTTCCTTGTTTTACATTGATTCCCTTGCTACAGAAAGGGAATATAACACTTTTCAATGCGCCACCCGTACAAGCAAGGTATGATACTAGTTGAGACTTGTATAACATATTTAATCTTCTAATTCACAAGTATACTAATGCATGGGCTAGATCTTGCCTCGAGAATCGCTTTAAGATGGTGGTGGTGGTGGCGCTGTGTGGCGGTGCTGTGGCAGAGAAGCACTTGTACCAAAAAAGAGAGAGTTCGGGTTTAGATAACTCGGACAAGTAGTGGTGACAACACAACAAGCGCTTCAACTCAAGAGACTTGGATGGAATCAATCGGCGTGAACAAGTATTTTAAAATGGCTCTTTGGCTGAATCGATCAAGGTCCAAAAGAAAACAAAGGAGAAAAAAAACCTCTCTAGTCAACGAAGGCTAAGGGCCCTGTTATAGTCAGCCACTGGCAAAATCTTGGAAACATTGCCATGCACAGAGAGCTATCTATATACCCTGCTTCGAAGCGAGATTCTCTCGTTTGTCTCCTTGTTGCTTGTCTGGTTTTGTATGTAGCGTTGGCTAAACCATATGAAATCCAAACATGTCCAGATCAAAGCTTTCTTTCGTGGTATTTTTTTTCTCTAATCCCGCCACCCCTTTAGATTGCGATCGCACTGTAGGAATTTGGGGCATTTTTGTTGCGAGCCAGCCAGTCGAGTGGTGCAAAACGAAAGGGACACTGTTCTTCAGCTTTAGGCCTTGTCTGTTTATGCCTAGGGAATTTCTCTCCGTAGCCAACTTACAAAAGAAGATACAAACACGAAAAAAAAAAAGAGGAGAGACAAGAGCTCGACAAAATAAGCCTCTTCCAAACAATATGATCTTAAATCTTGGCTCGAGGCCATTGTTTGCACGCACTCCGGGGTTTGATCACAATCTCAAGTGATCCTTCTCAGTTGAAGTTAATACGTGATCGAGAAAGACAAAAGGCGCAACCTGCCCACCCCTGTCTTTGTCTACATTCTCCCAAGCACACAAAAATCCATAAAAACTCGCGAATGGGACGACACAACAAGGCAAAGCTAGCAAGCAAGCAAGCAAGAAAACAAAGCTGGAAGTAAAGCGCAAGAACAAACAGACGGTATCCTTCTGGACAGCAAATGCCCGCTTATATGCAAATGCCCGCTTATGTGCTGTTTTAGATCTTTAGAACGCAACACTTCACTTGTTCTACTTCCATTCTCGGTCATCTAAAGCTAAGATTCCCCACTAGATATCCAGTCAAATAGATTCCTCCCAAGTACTTACTTGTCTTGATGGGGTTGTTTGACCAGTCAAACTATTACTTTCTCCTGGCATTTAAGCTGATTTACTTCCTGGATGGACCGTGGGGTCAGTCAGAGAATAGTCCACGATCACCATCATCATGACGTCTAAGGGGAGACAGCCCTAAATTATGAGACCTTGTCTGACCCAAGAGGTCCACACCTTCAGTACCCACAGTCAGTTCCATTCCTTCCAGTGACAGTGAGTATGAGTGGGCTGCCACTAACAACGTTAGTAGTAGTAGTAGTATAGTAGCATAGCTCCTGTATGTTTGCCCTACCACCTTCTCTATATCTATAAGTTAGCATAGTACTTAGTACTACCTTTTCTTTTAAAATGTAGAGAAATTATGGATGGATGGACACGAGAAGGGCGGAGTGTTTGCAGCTGATTAGATCTTGCAAGACGGTTCCAGCACTGCGTGATGTGCATTCGAGGATCACGGCTCTGGTGGATCCAGACGATGTGTTTGTGTGGAACAAGGTGGTGGACGTGTACGGGCGGTGTGGAAGCCCAGAGCTGGCACGGCAGACTTTCGATGGAATCCAGAACAAGGACTCTTTTTCGTGGGCGATTCTTCTCTCGGTCTATGCCCGGAACGGGCATGTGCACGACGCCGAGCTTGCATTTGATCAAATCCCCGCCAGGGACACGGTTTCGTGGAACTCCATGCTTTCTGCATATGCCCAAAGCAGGCAACTTGAAAGCTCGACGCTCTTTTTCTGCGAGATGCCAGAACACAACGTGGTGTCATGGAATCTAATGCTTAATCTCTATGCACAGCGTGGTTCCGTAGAATCCACGAAGAAATTATTTGATCAAGCCCCAGAAAGAAACTTAATCACATGGACTGCCATGCTCACTGCATATACTAGGAATGGGTATTTAGAAGAAGCAAAACATTTGTTTCATTCTATGCCGGAGCACGATCTTGTGTCTTGTACAGCTATGCTAGCAAGTTTTTCACATTTTTCTTGTTTAGAAGATGCTGAATCTCTTTTTGATAAAATGCCGGAGTTGGATCTAGTGTCTTGGACAGCCATGCTAACAGCATATGCCGGAGCAGGGCATCTTGCAAAAGCGGAGCAGATCTTTATCGACATGCCGCAGCAGAATCTTGTCTCGTGGACAGCTATGGTAGCAGCTTATGCGTCTGCCAGTAAACTTGAAAATGCTAAGAAGGTGTTCGAAAATATGCCAGAGAAAAACGTAATCTCATGGAACTCTCTCCTTGCAGCATATTCCCAAAACGGGCATATTGAAGAAGCAAAGCACACGTTCGATTCAATGCCAGTTCGGGACCTCATTGCGTGGAACTCCATACTGGGCTCTTACACGGGAATCGGAGACATCGAGTTTGCGGAAAGAATCTTCGCTCAGATGCCCGAGCGGGACTATGTCTCGTGGACATCTGTGTTGGGAATGTATGCCGAGAATGGTCAAATGGCCTTAGCGGAACAAATCTTCCATGGAATGCCCTTTCGAACCTTGATTTCTTGGAACAGCCTCTTGTCCGGGTATGCAAAGAATTCCCGTCTGAATCAAGCAAGGGGCCTCTTTGAAATGATGCCAGAGAGAAACTTGTTTACCTGGAATGCTTTTCTCGCAGCATTTGCTCAAAGCGGTCATCTTTCTCGCCAGGCGCTGGAGTTTTTCCACCAGCTCAAGACGATCGATCTTCCCGACTCCGTGTGCTTCGTATCGGCCCTGGTAGCTTGCAGTCGCTGCGGTGACATGGAACTCGCCAGATCGATCTTCGTGTCAATGGGCTTTGATTTTGGAATCCAGCAAATGATGCAGCACTACTCGTGCCTGGTGGATCTGCTCAGCCGATCTGGCCGAGTGAGGGACGCGCGCAGCGTCGTCGCGGAGATGCCCTTTGCGCCGCGCATGATGGATTGGCGCTGCCTGCTGGGCGCGTGCAAGAGCCACAAGGAGATAGAGACCGGATCTAGAGCGGCAGAGAAAGCGCTGGAAATTAACGCCCATCACGCGGCAGCCTATTTACTCGCAGTGGACATGCTCTAAGAGCCCAAAAAAGTCAACGTAAGTCAACGCAATACTTACGAAGTAAGTCCTCCTTGATACATTCGAATGCTTCCTCTAGAATGGGCATCGAGCTTCTCAAATCCGCCAAGAACTTGCCAATGCTCCAAGAGGCTCACTCTCGCCTCGAATCTCGTCTCGCCACCGATGTCTTCCTGTCCAACATTCTCATCCAAATGTATGGGAAGCACGGGAGTGCCGAGAATGCGCGCCTCGTCTTCGACCGCACCTATCCCAAGGACAAGTTCTCCTGGAATCTCATGCTCGCAGCTTACACCCGAAATGGGCTCCTCCGCGACGCCTCGGATCTCTTCGAGAGGATGCGAGACAAGGATCTCGTCTCGTGGAACACGCTTCTCTCGGCATATGCCCAGAGAGGGCTTCTCGAAAAAACCAAGCGCGTGTTTGATCTTATGCCGGAACGAGATCTCGTTTCGTGGACTGCTATGCTTACGTGCTACACCTGGAATGGTTTTCTTGAGGAATCTAAGAGTATCTTTGATGCGATGCCTGAAAGAGATCTTGTCTCATGGACTGCGATGCTCTCAACATATGCCCAAGACGGGTATTTGGAATACGCAGAGAAAGTCTTCAACGAGATGCGGGAGCACGATTTAGCATCGCTTAATGCAATGCTGTGTGCCTACTCACACAGTCTTCAGATCGATCAAGCAAAGTCCGTGTTTGATTCGATGCCGGAGTGTGATCTCGTTTCGTGGACTGCCATGCTTACTGCATATGCCCAAAACGGGCTTCTCGATCAGGCAAAGGAGGTGTTTGATAACATGATGGAGAAAAACTTGGTGTCGTGGAATGCAATTCTAGCAGCGTATTCGCAAAGAGGACATATGGAGGAGGCCAAAATGTTGCTGGATCAGATGCCGGAGCGGAACATGAGCTCCTACAACGTGATGCTTTACGGGTATGCTCAGAAAGGACATCTCGAGTTTACGAAACACCTCTTTGACACAATGGTCGATCGGGACTTAATCTCCTGGACAGTCATGATCTCCGCATACTCGCTCCAAGGCTACCTTGACGAAGCCAAGCATCTCTTCTACGGCTGGATGCAAGAGAGAGACTTGGTCGCGTGGAGCACAATGCTCACGGCCTATGTCGACAATGGACACCACGAACAAGGAAAGAAGGTGTTTGATGCAATGCCGGAGAGAAACGTCGTGCTGTGGAACTCAATGCTCGCGGCTTACTCCCACAAGGGAGAGTCGAGCTTGGCAATGCTCTTGTTTGAAACCATGAAACTCCTCGCGAGACCAGACGAGGTCTCGTTTATCTGCGTTTTCCTCGCGTGTAGCCATGCCGGTGACGTTCAATCCGGGTGGTCGATCTTTGTGTCAATGAGCATGGACTTTGGGATAAAGCCTGTGCGGCACCACTACAGTGGAATGGTGGACTTGCTGTCAAGATCCGGGAAGCTCGAGGATGCCGAGGAACTCATCTGGACAATGCCGTTCGTTCCCGGTGGACTGGACTGGAGATCCTTGCTGAGCGGGTGTAGGAGCTACAGAGACGACGAGAGAGCTGCCAAGGCGAGCAAGCAAGTGATGCAAATCGAGCCCGAGCACTCGGCGTCCTACATCCTGTTGTCAAACATGTTCTTGGTGAACAAACGCAGCAACCAGGTGAAAAGAAGGCTGCTCCTCGAGCTTGCCAGCTAGGAAATCGAAACTACTGGAACGACTGACGTAGAAACTCCATCAACCATCTTGCACGTCCGACAAAGGTTCGAAAGCGTTAAGCGTCCAAACGAGGACGTCCCAAACGAGGAGTGACTCAACACTCCACCATACTCCAAAGTCATCCAAGTCAGAGAGCTATGAGGCATTTCCTCGTTTTGTTTTGAAAGAGATGCTGCTTCCTGCGGGATTCTGGAGAAAAAGCGCATGGTACATCCACTTAGAACTGTGGTGGCGATCAAATAGGTTCACAGCATCGTGAAGGTAGACTAAGTTCTTTGACCATTTCTTTAGCCTTTTGGATGGTAGCACTCAGGACAATAAAAAGAAGAACCTCCTGGCTGTGGAGAATCGATAATGGCCTCTACTCGGATGGCCTCCACAGCCATCCTCCTCGCCGCCTTCCTCGCCTGAGGTTGCAATCCTGGAGCTCGCGACGGCATCACAATCACCACCAAGTTCATTGTCCTCCTTTCATGCTTCTTGTTCACGTTCCTTCGCTACCTTCAATCCATCCGGTTCGTCAACCATGTCGGCTTTTTTATCAACGTTCGCTCGAGGATCACTCCGGACTACGTTGCTGGCATCCTTGCTCCAAGATCGAACTTCTTCACCGCAAAAACCAGGGGATACTACTTCGCCTTCCCACTTTTGTTGTGGGTGTTTGGCCCGGTTCCTCTCGTGGTTGCCTGTGTAGTGCTCGTCCGGTGTCTCTGGTGTGAGGGAGAGCTCTAGACTGGCCAAGAAAGATTACGTTTTGACAAACACATTCTCTGTTTGACTCAGATGAACATTGGCTAAATGCGGGTAATAGATTTCTTTTACTTCATGTCAAGGTGGTACAGGAAAGGGATAATGACGAAGCACGCCATGGCGAGAGGAACCGGGCCCAGGATCCACAAAAGTAGTGGGATCGTAAAATAAAAGCTCCTCGATCCGGCTGCCTGGAAGTTGCAAGCCTTTTCGAACAGACTGGCGACGTATTCCGGCGTGACAAACTTGGAGAGGATCTCATCCCCGGGCGTGTTGATGAAGAAACTGACCTGGTTTAAGAACCTCACCGATTGCATGCAGCAAAAGAAGCAAACCATGAAACATCCCAGAAGCAAAGTCACCTTGATCGACATGGTCGTCTCATCCTGCTTGGTCTTGCCGCCACCGAAGCTCTCGAACACGGGCTTTCTGAGGCCGTAGCTATACGACGTGTTGATGAAGGCCACCGATCCGGAGCACAGGAGGATCGCCACCGACGCCCACAGGATGGATCCCATCATCGAGTTTCGCAAGCTTTGCACTGCAAGGACACTCTTCTTCTCAACATCCTGGCGTTTTCATGAAGTGGTAAATGTGATGTGCTCTTAAAAGAAACTGGCTAGAACTCGAGAGCTGCTTACCGCCATCATCGATCGAACCCACGCTCGTCGCCCGACATGGTTGGCCCCGATCACCGTGAGGAGCGGCTGCGTCTTGTAGATATAGAGAAAGTAGCCATGATACGTCGCGAGGGTTGCGAATCCAAGTGGAACCAGCCAGAGATCCCAGTCTTTGATCATGATCTGCGCTTGGAAAGTTGGATTTTGGCGAAAGGACAAGCCACTTTTCCCTTCGAACACCAAGACAACAATACACAAGGGTGTGCTGATCAAACGTTTTCAAAGCCTCCAAAAGTGAGCCACTCAGTGGACTGTGGTCGGACCCATGAAACAAAACAAGACTTTATTAAATGAAGCCAGATTCGATGCGCAATGCGCACATGTTGTTGGTTGACACGGCATTTTCTCAAGGTCAGCAAAACCATCGTGCTACGCGTCGCTCAGATTTTATTCTGTTTTATGTTTTAATAAACATTACTTTCCATTTCGTTATTGTAGGTTTAGAAGAACACTCATTTCTATCTTCCGCTGGGGATATTATCGAATGGCGGCGGCGTGGAAGCAGTTATATTTTGATGTCCTGCTGGTTCCTGCGGGATTGCTTCTGTTGTTGGCTTACCATGTCTTTTATTTCTACAAGGTGAGGAGGCATCCACTCAAAACGGTGGTGGGGGTCAATCACTTGGGAAGAACGGCCTGGGTTCACAGCATCATGAAGGTACTCCTCCTCTTGCCCTAAAATTCCAATCCCCTCCTTGCTTCTCCCGCTCTCTCTCACACTCTTTTTCGCATTCTCTCTTGTGTTTTCTTGTGTGTCGGTGGCGTGCGTGTTTTCGTTTTTGGAGGTGCTCTGGGAAGGAAATGAGATATCTTTTCCTAATGCAAAGCTTCGTGCTTGGATCCTGGATTGAATCATTTCATTTCCCAGTTGTGCTTGGCATTTCCGCGGCATTTCTGCCGTGTGTGGTGTGGGGTGTTTGCACTCGTCCTGCCCAAAAGACTTTGGTCAATGGGATGGAAGTATCGAAATGGTATATTGCTTTGTCGTACGCAGCAATCCTCGTGAAGCTTTTCTCTAGCAGTAGTTCCACCTTGTTTTCCGCTTTTGACTTTCGGGAAAAAGAAAAACCGTGCCTGGTATAAGATCACAAAGATTCGTGAAACGTGTGTGTGTGCAGGACAATGACAAGAAGAACATCCTGGCTGTCCAAACTCTCCGGAACTCGATCATGGCCTCGACCCTCATGGCCTCCACCGCCATCCTCCTCAGCTCCGGCCTCGCCGCATTTCTCAGCAGCAGCTACAGCGTCAAGCGGCCACTCCATGGATTCTCAAGTACCGTCACCGTCCTGGGAGCTCACGACGACATCACCATCGCCACCAAGTTCGTCGCGCTGCTTGCGTGCTTCCTCTTCTCCTTCATTTGCTACATGCAGTCCGTCCGCTTCACGAATCACGTCGGTTTCCTCATCAACACTCCTGTGACGAGTGACTCCAAGATCACTCCCGACTACGTTGCCGCAGTGCTTGCGCGGGGATCAAACTTTTACACGGTCGGGACGAGGGGGTACTACTTTGCGTTCCCGCTGCTGCTGTGGCTGTTTGGTCCCATCCCTGTTGTGGTGGCCTGTCTCTTGCTTGTCCCGTTTCTCTACCGACTTGACTTGGTGACAGATGATCAGTGCTAACTTGAAACTCAACTGGTAAACCCCTCGTTTACCAATATTTTATTATAATGACTTGTAAGAAAAAAATAAAATGATTAATTAATGCAACAATAAATTTCCCATGCATTTATTTTTATTTTTAAATTACATAATATGTTTAAAAAATTAAGAAATAATTATGTTATGTAGTTTTAAAGAATTGAATTACATTCTCCAAACTAAGGATTTAAAATGTGTAATATATGGATTCATTCTAAACTACAAAAGAAGTATTTTTCATAAAATTTAAAGTAGCATCAAATTAGCAAACTACAAATATATTATAAAAGATAAAAACATGGTGAATAATTATTAGTAATAATTGATTGATGCAATTATGATATATCTATTTCTTTTAAAATTATATTAAATATATAAATTAAAAATATTTTTTTAAAAACTTTTTTTAACTAACTTCCAAGACAAGAGGGACATAAATTTTACTTTAAACTTCTTAAAAACATTTATATTATATATGGGTTGTGATGACTAACAAAAAAAAAATTAAAATAAATGATAAAAATGTAAATAATGGAAAACATAAAAGAAATTTTGAAGAATAAATCATCTTATATTTATTAAAGATTTATTAAAATTTGATATATCAATTTTTTATTATAGATAAAAAATTATCTTCTAAAGTTTTAAAAAAATTTATAATTAATATGAAATAATACATACTTTTAAATTTTATAATTTAAATAAATTAATATATTTTTAGTTTTGAAAATATTTATTTTTAATCTTTCTGGAAAAGCAAATTAAGCTTAATTTTTAATGTTTTGAAACAGTAAAGTTCATAATGTTTAAATAGAATTAACTTTATGAGTGCATGAAATATAAAAATGAAATACAAAAATGTGTATATCAATTAATCCCAAGACCCTAGTTTATATAGTGGAGTGGGTGATCCAAATTAAAACCAATCCAATGCCTACCAAAATCCCATTATGTTAATATTAATATATAGCATTGTAGCTATACACTTGTACCTTATATTATCCACTCCTTTTGAAATGATGGAAGACCATTAAGGTTTTCTTATATATAAGTTAGGATTTAAAGGAACATCAGAAGGAGGTAACAATGGATTTGTAAGTGGTGTTAATTGTTTCTAATCTTTTTGTACAAAGTGTTTTAGCCGCTATATATGGATAATTTCTAGAAGATTGGCCTGCTAAACGTCATGCCAAACTTCATAAACTTGCAATCTAACTTGCCATAACACCTGATACGATCTTTTTCACTGAGCAAGAAGCCCTTTAGATAAACCATATATTGTAAAGTTGGGAAAACAAACAAACTAACATTAAGTGATCCACTTTGTCTTCCACAAGTGGACGATGATGGGAATTATAATGCCATTATTGTCCTACTTATATGCGGCCTAGGTTTTTGGTAGACTCTGCTCAAACAAGTGGAAAAATATTTATCAAATATTGATTTCATAACCTAGCATTAGCAGTATGTGGCAACTGTAAAGGTAAATCAAACTCTATTAGTAGTATTGGATCCATATAGAAGTTTATATGATGAAGCACTAATAAAACTCTACATCTCTGTGATATACGCATACCAAAGAGACAACAAATAACCATCATAATCCAAATGTTGAAAGTTCACGTACTTCGTGATCATGTCTTTGAAAGTTTGAATAAGCCATTCCACCAAATCGTTTAACTGTGGATAATAAACATTTGTGAAAGTGTGGCATATCCCTAACCAAGACGTTAGAACATGAAATGCCTTAGCTATAAATGTGGGACAATTATTCGAAAGAATTCGCTTTAGATAGGAATGCTGAAACATCATTCAATTGAGGAAGTATTTAATAGTAGTTCTAGATACACTAGCAAAAGCACTAACTTTCACTCAGCGAGTCAAGTAGTTAAAAACAATAATAATATGCTTTTTGTCAATAGGTGATTATGGAAAAAGCTCCATAAAATCAAACACTACCAACTCAAACAAATAGGAAATTACAATTGATTCCAACCGTCCTTCCACAACACAAAAGGGAGTATTATGAGCGCTTGACACTAAATATAATTACATATATATTAGATAATATCATATCACATCCTAGCCAATATTATGATTTGTCCCCATAAAATAAAGAAAACCACCCTTAAGGCAATATTAAAAATATAAATGCCAAAATGGGAAAGTCATTAGTAAGTGATATAAGATTATCAAACCCATTGTGAAGTCTTCAAATCCATGGCTCAATCTTTTGAGCCTTGTGAATCTCGTCAAGAAAAGGTAAAATTTTCTCTGCACCTTGTGGATATGAATATTAAGTATAGCAACTACTAATGGCATGAAATCCTTGTCCAAAAAATCCACAAATGCTGGAACAATAGGCTAGTTAGAAACATGAGAAAAGAGCGAAGAAGAAAGAGGAGTTCAAGAAAAGACATTAGCATTAACCATAGAACTTTATAAGTGATGAATAACATTAAAATCATATATCTGAAGTTTCAAAACCCACTGAATAGTACAACCAACTAAATTCTTCTATTTCAATAATGAAGTAACAGTAGCATGATCACATTTTAATAATGTTTGAGAACCATATAGATATGCATGAAGTTTCTCAAAACCCAAAATTGTTGTTAAACACTCCTTCTTTATTATGGAGTAATTCACTTCTACTAGTTGTAATGTATTGCTAATATATACAATGAGATGGCACTAACCAGACACACTTAGGCTTTTTTGCATTAACACACCTCCAAAATTGATATAAAAAATATTCACGTGCAAAATGAAAGGTTGAGTGTTGTGAATTATGAGCAAGCATTCACGGATCTCAAAGAGCTATTGACAACTCCTCTGGTTTTAGTATATCCTAACTAACTAGATGAAAGATGGCATTGATGACTTCAACAACACTCATAATGATATAGTGCAATCAAAAAGATGATTAACAAAACAACCAAGATACTGCACCTTGCCTAGAAAGCACTAGATATCATTTACACACTTTGGATTAGGGAACTTTGGAACAACTAAAAGTTTGTCAAAATCAATTTGTAAATTCTCATGAGAAATATGGTACCTAAAATATATATTTAAACATGCACTTTGACCACTTCAACTTTAAACTAACTTCTTGTAACCGATCCAACACTTTACAAATATCATGAATGTATTCCTCCTATATCCCCTTTGAGTGGATCAAGATATCATCGATGAAGTCAATAGTCACCTTTGGCATATCGTAAAGAACCTCATCTATCATCCGCTGGAAAGTTGTTGAAGCATTGTTCAAACCAAACGGCATCACTAAAAACTTATAAACCAAATGGTGTATAAAAAACAACCTTAGAAATATCTTCTTTGGCCATTGGTACTTATCAGTACTCAAAAGCAAGATCTAATTTGGTGAACTAATGACTTCTCCTTAGATGATTTAAAAAATTAACAGTGTGAGGAAAAGGGTATACATTTGAGATCATCAATTCATTTAATAGATGATAATCGATGCAAAAAGGAATATCCCATTAGCCTTCATCATAAGATAAAATTCACACACTCAAGGACTTTATAGCTTCCGAATAACACCCTTTTTCAATATTTTCTTGATGTTTGCACATAAAATTTTGATCTCTTTGAGTGATCGATGACAAATAGAAATCTTGATTAGATGAGCAACCCCAATTGAAATGGGATGATATATTGCAATCTTAGACCCAGACAATAAATCAAATTCAAAGATACTGGCATACTTTTTCATGAGCTGGTCAACCATTACAACACAAAGACCATCAGAGGGATTGAAAGAGGGAACAGAGGAATAGGATGAAAATATAAAAAGAAGTAATGGGAAAACAAAAGTAATAGAAGCAAAGGTAGAAACAAAAGGACGAAGAGGAATATAAATAAGAGGAATGGAAGAAATATAAAAAGTATGAAACAAGGGAGAGAAGCCTCAAAGTCACATTTGGTATGATTGCGCTGTAATCAATTCATACCAAGGATGATGTCAAAAGCTTGATTTAGCATTACTTGCAATAACTGCAGCTCAAACTTGAGATTACCCACATGCATAACTAAATCTACCTCATCCCATGCACATGCTTATGTATAGCCATTGCCATATAGAATGAAAATTGGTTCTACCACATGATGCAATATAGACGATAATGTGTGATAACATACTAAGCAATAGAAGATAAACTTGAGCTTATATCAACTAATATGAAGAGAATAATAGAAGACCTTTTATTATAAAAACGAGTTTGGAAAATAAACACTAGATGAATTAATGTTAAGTGAACCCTTTAATGATACTCCTAAAAGAGAGATACAAGGGTTATTAATTTATTCGCACAAGGACCCTCTACTACTTGTGCAACTTTTCATTTCCCAGAAGCATCTCTGTATTCAAACCTTCCATTGTAGTAGCACCAATAGGACATTGTTTATACCAAAGTCTCCCATCAGGAAATGGAGGTTGCCAATCTAGAAATCACCAATAATGCCGATAAGTGTAATTAACTTCATCACATGCTAAATAGTGGACATCATGACCACGACCACATCCTCACCCTTATCCTTGAATTAGGGCAATAGCAACATCAACCTCCATTGAAACAAGACCATCTCTCACAAAAAGTGGAGTTGAAGGATGTGTAATAAAATGTGGAAGAGGTGGTATCTCATAACATTGTGCCAAATAAAGAGTATCATCAAAGGTGGCTCGAGCAAATGCATGCATAAATCTTACAAGATCTTAATGAAGTGTTGGCCATAACATTTCCAACTTAATCCACTCCAATATATTGAATTTCACATGAAATAAGAGACTTTAGAAACAAATGCTAAATTGCATCACATACTCAGATGACTCTTGATGAAGACAATATGATTGTTAAAATGTATCATCACAATTGTTAGCATATCCAAATATACGTTTGAAGGCATTTAGGAGAATGCTCCAATCCTTATGAGTGGTTACACTTAAACTATTGTACCATTGTAATGTGGTCTCTTGGAGAGATATGTGAGAAATTTATATAAGCGCCAAACATCATCCCAAAAATAATACGTGGCAATTGTTATAAAGTAATTGAACCAATGATACACATCATCCCCAATATTCCCACGAAGAACTCCAGTTGGACTCGAGGATTGGCAATAAAAGCAAGAGGAATTGTAGCACACACTGTAAATGCCACTATCAACTAAGTTTGATTATTCAATTACAACTACATAGCATCAAGCAATTGCACCAATTTTTGCTCTATAATCAAAAGAGGAATAAGTTACTACTTTACCATGAAAATGAACAAAACGGAAAAAAGTAAAAGAAAAGAAATTGAAAAAGCTACAAGGAAAAAGAGATTTAGACAATGCAAAAACTAGATCTAAAATAGAATCTTAAATTTAAGCACTTCTTAGGGATAATCAAAATTACCCCTCAACTTCATCAATGTGAGTGTATAGAATATTGTATATCAATTAGCCCAAAAACCATAACTTATATACAGAAATAAGTGGTTTGGATTGAAACCAATCTGACAAATACCAAAATTTTACTACGCTAATATTAATATATGGCATTATAGTATAAATAGGTAATTAAAATTTGATATTTATTTCACCATGAAAATATGACAAAAAACCTTTAATATATGGAAAAGTAAAATCAAATAGGTATTTAAAAGTTGTTATATTATAATATTATTGAAACATTTATAGTATTATTTAGTATAGTTGTAGTGACTTTTGTTTTATAACTAACAAATTATTATTATGAGTGAGAATCAATTACTAAATTAAATAACATTTATTCTAATTATTCTCAGTCTAAGAAGAAAATTTTGAAGTACTTATAAAATACATTACCATTTTTATAAATAGTCTTTATATGTATATTTCTAGAGGTATTTCTTTTACAGAGAAAGCTAACAAAAAGATGAAGTTGAAGACCATATATTGTAGAATAAGCTGCTAATTTATATTTGATAACTAAAGGTTTTAATTAAATTTTTCTTATGACTAACTCTTATATGATTTTTGGTTTGATTTAGAAAGCCTATAAAGTAAGAAATATACCTACTTCTTTTAATTTTTCCTTTCGTTTATTGGTAATCAATATTTAATATTAAAATTCTTTATTTATCACTAATAAACCATATTTAACATCCATATGAGTAAATTTAAAAAATAGATTTTTCACATAAATTTAGTTCATCAGGAATTCATTCTCACCAGAAACTGCAGGTGTACATGAGTAGTTTCAAAGTTTTAATTTATTTTAACAAATGTTATAGTAAGATCAACAATTATATCTAGACTTTCACCTTTACTTTTTAATTCCTTGACTCATGATTATAATATGATTCTTAAAGAGAATTCTCCATACATGGAACTCTTGGATAAAGAATCAATAAGCAATTTTAATAATAACCACATAATAATTTTGGCCACCATCCAAAACTTTTGCTTTGCTATAAATGCAATTGCATTAATGTGCACTATATAAAAATCTGTTCTACTATATAATTGACATGGTTTCTTAAACTCTATCATCAGAATATATGTAAAAGATGTGCGAGATAACCATGCAAAATCATCATTGCTCCATGAAATAATATGCTATTATCTTTTAGTTTGTTGAAAGATTTATTCACATGAAGAGTGTTTTAACACCTTCCATACAATAACTGCTTACTAGATTAATTGATTAATGAATATTCTAAATATCCATTAGGATTATATTATAAGATAGTCCTTTATATTTAAAATTTCTCTAATTTATCAATTATTTTTAAAAAATTAAAAATAATAGTTTAGAACAAATTATTTTGGCTATGTGAAGTGCTATTATATATGTGAAATTTATTATTTAAATATTCAATTTATATATTTGTTCGATGTGAGATATTGAAATTACAATTACTGAATACCTGAGAAATGGGTTAATCTCATTGTTCTATAAACTGTTATATTATATGACTTTGATTGGTATAGAAGCTATGAACCACAATGTTGGCGGAGGGCTCGTTTTGGTAACAGGACATGAAAGTCATGCCTCTCTCTCATGACCTTTGCTGGATTATAAAAGCTCCTATACAAAATCCTTGTGTTTTAGAGTCAGCCTGGGAATCCTGCAGAATGCACTGTTGGCGCGTTGCATTCCGGGAAACTTAGTGACAGAATAATCGGGCAAAATGTCATTCGGAAAATATGCGGAAATGAAACGTTAAAGCGTGAAGGACGAAGTAAACTCAAGCGACTACCTTTCTCTACCTTAAACGTCGAAGATAGATAGAACTTCTTTGTCTTTTTCAAGAATGCGATGGACTCTGGCTGGAACTTGAGTCGAAGTACCTCGAATCAATTCTTAGAAGTCAATGCCTCCATAGAGGGATATGCATGCAACAAGTCGTAGCTAGCTCGAAAAGCTTTGATACAAATTCGAGGCTTTAGCAGTGTTGCTAGGTTCCGATAGAACAACCAACGTTCATGATCGGGGCTTGTCTCTGGAGGTGCAGAATAGAAAAAGCCATCATTCTGGCTTTAACTCGCTTTCGTGCAAACATTTCCCCACAGTCTTCCAAAAGTTCATCAAGCTAAAGTAGGAAGAATAGATCTAAGCTCGAGTTTAGCTCCAGTCATGGCTTCGTATTAATATATTTTTGATTGCAGATATACAACAGAAAACAGAAAACAAAGCAGGAAATCACTAGCATATACCAGATGCCATCAGGATAGGACAGCATCAAGTCGAACAACACATGTCACCTCTCGTAGTGGCTGTATGAAGTCTGTCTCGACCATCACCTTGTAGTTAAGACTCCGATAAACCGAGCAATATCTTGTACAGTGCGCATCAAATCTGCTGTCCATGTGATCAGATAAGTCCTGCTGCGAAAGCACACAGTTATGCAAAACGAACTTACTAATGCATGAAAATGCAGATCTCTCAAGATGGAGAGCTGAGACAAAACTTGTGGCTGACTTCCAGCTCAAGAACTCGTAATTCCTCCAGTCTCTCGTATCGCCAAGCATCAATTCCTTCTGTCTCTCGCGCCTCTTGTCTCTTGCTACCCGAAAACCTCGTCCTGGTTCACCTGGGATCTGCACGACAGCATCACAAGGGTATAATGTGAGACATCTCCAAATTCCGTGACTTTCAGTGTTTCCAGCGCCGGGGAGGATGCAACTACACTGCAGAGACATTGGTCGCCTAGTTCTATACCATGGTATAAACCTTGCGAACCCGCAAGCTCCGAAAGAGAGAGCGATCGCGCGCTCGGGGACGAGACCGTCGCATGGGAGTCACTTGACTGTTACAAGAGACCGAGACCTTATAGTTCTTTGAGGCGCCTTTGTATTCACAGCAACGGAAGATTAAATCACAACCATTAAAGTTAAAGCAAAAACTCTAAGCCATTGAAACAGCATAAAAAATAAAATATACCTAGATATGACTTTTCTATGCTAGCTTTTTTTCTTAAGAAATTTAGGAAAGCGTCTGTAGATAGAGATCGAAGTGCTAGTGATGAACACATGATTCGCCAACATGGCAGTGCATTCAACGAGAAAGATTCCCTAGTGATGAGACACAAAACACCATGTCATATGAACTACAAGCTAGCCAGAGATAAAAATGTGAGCCGACCGACCATGATCCATGAAAAAATGATTACGCTGGAATCTTCCCCTGTTTTAGGGCTTGGTGGGGAGAATCTTTGGAATTTCAAATCCGGCATCTATCTGGCGCTTGTTCCAAATGGTTTGTCCCCCTTGCACCCCTCAATCTTTTTCCGAAACCAAAGCCACCACTCCAAATTGCGCAAAAGATTTCGGCTCGAATAATGATAGATCCCCCAGAGAGACAAGAGCAAAGCAACAACATCAAGAGGGTGCATCGCCTAATCGTTTGCTTGGATTTTGTGTAGGGTCAACTAAGAAGGGCGTAAATGGACCTCCATTTGGGCGCTTTTCCCCTCTTTCTTTTGCTGTCGTGATCGAATGGACGTCATATTGCTCATCGCCTTCCAGAACTTTGAAGAACCCCGTAACTTGGATCCCTCCTTTGTCTAGTCCAGTAGAAAAATAATCATTGAGCTGATTGAACTTCGTCATTTGGATTTCAATCAGTCCCGTCCTTGCGAGATTGGAAGTCCCTGGAGATTGACACAAAGTGATGAAGATTTTAGTGGGGAGAGGATGATCAATCATCCATGCGGAATATTTGGATTTGGCACGCAACTTACTTTTGTCAGCCCGTGATGGACATTGTTCTTTTCTAACATAACATGGCTCTATCACGAGAGGACATCTTACAAGTCAACAAAGGATCCGGTCCACCACCTTTCCAGTGTGGGCTTAGGGCATTCCATTGTCTACGCGCCTGCCATCGATCAATCCAACCGGAATGAGCTTGTCACTTTGCAGAAGGGAAAAGTTGGGAGTGAGTCCGCAGCTTTGTTTCTAGTCGTGTCGACTGTAGTGTAGCCCACGTCCACCTTCAAGGAGAGCTCGCCGTTGTTCGTTTGTAACCGGCTGAATCTAGAGAAGATGACAGCATCATCTCAGCCGTATTACCACCTCCAGATTCTTGTACCTCTTTGATGTCTCCGTCGTCACCCCCTCCTTGAATGAACAGAATGGGCCCTAAGTATATTGTCTCTTGTGTCCTGCGATCAGAGCGTTGTTCCATTTTCCATCACATGGTATGTACAAACAAAGCAACCCATGAAAACTTTGTAATGAAGTGTCTCAGAAAACTCCTTCTCTGATAGCAACTCCTCATTTGTTTGGAGCTCTGCTGGATATAACATTTGGTGTCCATGGCTCCTAGAGGAGACAAATCGGTACTTGGAGTGCTCCTAGCTCCGCCATGGAATACATCACATCAAGGAGAGCCACAGAAACACAAACATATAAAGAAAGAGAGTGAAAAAGCCATTCATTCGAATTCATGAATACACATATCCATGAGAACGCACTTTTGTGTTGTCTTGTGTGTTGTCTGTCCGTCCAAATCGCTAGAAAAATCACAGCTTTGCCGAGTAGCGCGCTCAGTCTCGCGCAGTACCGTACTGCTCTGGCTGTGCTGGGCTGTATGTTTGTGTCCCAGTCAAACAAATCGCAGGGGCATATTCCCGCCGTCCAGCGTTTTTTATTCCCTCCCAGATCAACTGTTTCTTGTGACATGATATGTTAGAGCGTGTACGTAGCATGGAAAATCCCCGTGTGTGGCAAATTGGGGTGGCATCCGCCAAGCGTGTAGTGGTATTTGGAATGCGGCAGGGACACAGCCCGTCTGGAAATTCTCCTCGAGATCCAGCGATTTTCACTGGGAGATTCGTTGCTTGCAATGGGCAAAAGGCGGATATTCGTTTCCTTTGCCTTGAATCGAGGGTGTGTTGTATTTGCCCAAATGCCCAAGCAACGCCAATCATAAACAAATGCCCCGACAGAGCATCTCTTACATTGCGGAATTCGAGGACACACCGAATGATCACCTCCTAGATCAATCAGCGTCTATAACAAGTCTATGATATATTTTGGTATTTGTATGGTTCGAGGATGATGACTTCATCGCGGCTCGCAATGTTCCAATTTGGTGGATTGATTGATCAAATCATCCTCCCGTTTGACGGTGCGTTGATTTTTTTTCACCTGGTAAAATTACTCCGTGTTTTCCGGTAGTTACATGGACAGGCCACCCATCCGGGTGACATACAGGCAGGCCGCCACTGCCAATGCCCACTGCCATGCTGGATCCCGCCGTGGACAAGCCTGACGCGTATATACGCACCCAGCTACGCTAGCTGCTAGGTGAAAGTTTTCTTTCACCTGCATAGCCGTGGAAGAAGAGATTGGGCGTTTCACGTGAGGGCAGTAACATCCAGTCGCGCAGTACGTAATAGACGTCCAGCCATACGTATGTACATATAGGTGGCGGTTAGGGTTAGGGCTTAGCTGACGGTACTGCCACGAGGCGCCAGGCTTTCCTGCCATGTGGCAGGGGCACATTTCTCACTTTGACCCCTCCGTACGCCGGCCGGGAAGTTGTCCTCTTCTTGGGTAACTGACCGCGACATCCGCCGGCCGGGGCGGCGGGGACGGAATACGTTTTCCCGGTCCGGAATATTCCCAACATCCAAAGAGTGCTTTGTGACTGTGTGTGTGTGCGTAGCGGCGTTGTGTGCGTTCCTTTTTCCCGCTTGAAGAGGCTTCATAAATACTGGGCGAGGGGCCCTTGTTTTAATGTGGCCCGCCATTCACGGACGCTCCTTGCTCCTTCCTCTTCGCAAGAGCTCTAGCTCTCCTCCCTCTTTCTCTCTCGCTCGCTAGGGTTTTGTGTGATCGACCCATCTCTGCCGCCTTCTCCAAGAATGCGCGATCCGCCGGACGAATCGCCGCGACAATCGCCGCCTAGATTCCGCAAATTTCTCACAGATTTTCTTTGGTGTGATCTGGTGTGGCTGCAAGCAATGCTATGGCGTGCGTGCTGTTCTTTTGCTTTCTTCCCCCTCTCTCTCTCCCCCTCTTCTCTTTTTCGTGCATGATTGTGCGCTGGGGCTGCTGGGGGAGGAATCTACTCAGCGTGCATCGGCGTCAAAGATTCCCTCTTTGGGACTCGATTTTGATGGCTGCCTTGTCGAATTCTGGAAAAGCTTAGTGCGGTCTAGTGCTGTCCGTGCCTGTGATCTCGCCGTGCAATCCCAGTAGAAGAGAGAGTCGTCGATCGATCGATCGATCGATCAATCAATCAAGCTTAATCTCCTCCTTCTCACTCGTCTGAGATAAATCGTGTCAGCGCGGCAGCCATGGAAGTGGTCTTCTGGTCCTCGTGTAGTGTCCTTGTCTGTGACACTCTTTCATTATTACACCAGCGCAGCTTGAATGAGCTATGGCGCGCCTCACTTTTTTTCTTCTCTCCCATGCTTTTCTTTCCAATTCTCCTCTTGAGAGAAATTCATGAGAGATCTGCCCGTCGTTTTCCATGGCTTTGCATTGCTTGCTCCGGACTCTTTGTTTCCAAGCGTGTACTGCGCTTGCTTGCTTGGAACATTTCTTCTGTTCTTCGTCTCGATCATGCTTGATTTGCTCGTTTTGTAACAGCAGGCTTACATGTGTGCTGCGTTCTTGTGTGTGAAGTGTGGCATCTAATTCTTTAAACTTTCACAGTCACTACACACATACACACTCTTTGGGCGTTGCAGTTTCTTCATCATACCATCCTGGCAAAAAACTTACTCGCCATCAAGGACGATTGGATCTGGATGTCTGAATTCCTTCAGTCGGGGAAAGTCAAGGCAATTCATTGCTTGGTAGATGCAAGGTCAAGTCAGGAGCTGCGATGAGATCGACACACACAGCCAGCAACCGCAGCCAGCAACCGCAGCGTTCAGCTTTTCCATTGATGATGATCCATCTCCGAGAGGACTGGAACTCTTCTTAAATGCATCACTTGATCAGCTCGCTCGCTCTCCTATTCTTAACGAAAGCAAAAGGAAAAAAGTAAAAAAGAGAACGATATGAACAACGGAATCGAAGAACAACAACAAAATACAGGTTTCTTTTTTCCTTTTTTTTTTGCTCTTCTCACACGGGAAGAAAGAAAAACTTACATTCTTGTCATGTTTTTAGATCCTTTGATGAGGACGGCTGAGTTGTTTTAGATCTCCGCTCGTCCGCTGCGCGATCACTTCCAACGAACGCTTCTCACTACTGAATGATTTGAAAGGTAAGAGTGTGACAATGTGGGTCGGGCTCTTGCATTTCTCTCCATTCTTTTCTTCTTCATTCTCTTGAAGCTTTTGTGGTTCTTCCATTCTTTTGTGTTGGAGATCTCGTGACTGATTTCTACAAGGGAGGTTAGTCTTTTGTTTTGATTTGGTCGTGCGCTTCCATGAGTGTTTGAGTCCTGAGTGAGAGCGCTGTGGGGATTAGCACCACTCTCACCTCACGATTTAGCAGCCGCAGTGTCAGGGAAATCTTTGATTACTTCCTGGCTACGTTGTTTTCCTTTTTTTTTTCCTCTCCCGTCTCTCGTCTCTCGTCTCTCAGCGTCTCTCGTCTCTCTTTTCTCTGTGCTGCTGCCTTGCTTGCTTGGGCTGGTGTTTTAATCAATCCCGCTTCTGTCCAGTCCGGGAAGATTTGATTCTTACGCTCCCCAAGACTTGTCTCTTGTGGTGCGCACTCTGGAGTTTGGGGGGCTTTTAAAAAATTCCCCGATATATACAAGTGCTTGTATGCACATATAAATAATTTTTCTCTTTCCAGAGGGAGCTCTGTGGACACTGTCAGTAGCCCACTTGGTTCACTTGGTATTTTATGGCCCCTCTTGTGTGTGTGTTTGATTGATTGAAGCTCGCCTCGTCCAGGTCTTGCGCGTCCAGCTTTGTTCGCGAATCCATCATCACTTTGCGAGGAAATCCAGGTCCAGAGCATGGCTTATGTTTGATCAAACTTGCATTGCTGCAAGCGACGTACTGACCTGGGAACGTTTTTCGCTTTTTCTTTTCTGATTTCCCGGAGTTTGTCCAGTGAACCGGCCAGCTGAAACACACGGACGCGTTACGTTTGTGGAGAGCTTGCCGACGGACAAGCAATGCAAGCAGCGGGAAATGTGTGTCCACGGAATGATCCATGGCTTCGATCGGAGTGGCGAAAGCAACAAACAATCCCTGCCTGGCTCCCTGTATGCCACCTGAGAAGCCCACCGAAGTGTTTCGGCAGGATTCCTAGCTGGCGTGCGGGGAGCCATGCAGAGCTTCTCTCTTTCTCTCTCAAAGGCTGCCCGAGGGGGATGACACACACTGAAACAATCCGAAAGATCTTCTCAAGGATCTGCAAATCCAAGTCTCTTTGACAAGGTGACAACCAGGTATCGAAATCTTTTCCTTTTTCTTTTTGTTTGATGCGTGTTCTTGCTTTTGTTCTCCGTTTTTCCCCATGTTTTGTTCTGGGAAATATGGGGGAGCTCTGCGATCCTCAGCCGCTTTAACTTTTGCTGGCAGGCAGCAAGCAACAAGCAGCCCAATGGCAATGCAGCAGCAGTTCAGTACCTTAGCATTGCAATGCCAGCTTTTTTTATTCCTTTCTTTTTCTTTTTCTCTCCTGCAGTGTGGCCATGGCTCTGCTTTCTCATGTGTTTTTTGTGTTGTGTACAGAACTCAACTTCGCCAGTCGCGCGGGAATGGTGTAGATTTGAACATGCTAGAATATTCTGGTATATGCTAACATCCAACGGCTCCAGGTTAAACTTGTGTTTATAGCTGATAAACATATCTTAAACCCAGAACGTTCCATCACGATCATTAAAGTTGGAAATTATCCTTTAGAACAGTTTACTTTAATTTCGATAAAAAAAAGTATAATAGGAAAGTTTTCTAGGGCATCTGAGAACTTCTTTGCGCGAGTAGGGTTTGCACAGCATTGGATAGATCCGGAGTGGCGGAATGGCCGCTGCCAACATCGGGATGATGGACAGCGCCTATTTCGTGGGGCGCAACGAGCTTCTGGCGTGGGTGAATTCGGTGCTGCAGCTCAATCTCTCCAGGGTTGAGGAGGTATGGCCGCATTCTTGCGTTCTTCTTGCGGATTTCTAGCTTCCCGTGACAATGCTGCTTCCAGGGAGGCCCCATTCTTCCATTCTCTGGTGTGGTGTGCGTATTTTTCTCTTGTTTCTCATCTACATTTCATTCCATTCCAGAGGAACACTCTCCCGCCATCAGATCTATGCTCTAAGACGGGACCTAAGGGTACCTCACATCGTTTTGTTTGCGATTTGTTCCTCGTGCATCTTAGAGCTTCTCTCATTGCTCTCTAGCGAATAAGAAACTTACCCTCGCTTTTCTCCTTTGCAGGCGGCCTCTGGTGCTGTCCACTGTCAATTGATAGATTCTGTCCATCCTGGTGTTGTTCCGATGCACAAGGTCTTAGTCGTGGTTCTTCTTTTGTTTTGTACACTAAAAGAAAACTTTTTGCAGGTGAATTTTGATGCAAAGACCGAGTATGAGATGATTCAGAACTACAAAGTACTTCAGGAGGTCTTTAACAAGCTTAACATTAACAAGGTGCGTTTTTTCTATACTATACTTTAGCGGTGGGTCTCCGTCTCACGTTGCGTCGTGCTGCAGCATATTGAAGTGAACAAGCTTGTCAAAGGCCGGCCCTTAGACAACCTGGAGTTTATGCAATGGATCAAGAGATACTGCGACTCTGTTTCTTCGTCTCCAAAGTCAGTCCGCTAGAAAGCTCTGTATAGCCTTTCTCACTGGATGATGATTTCAGCTACAATCCCGTGGAAAGAAGAGAAACTTCTAAAGGCGGTGTTGGTGCGGGGAAGAAGGTTGGCTACAAACCATCGAGTTCGAGACCTTGCAGTGCAGCAACAGCTGTTCGTAATTCAGGTGGGTATGGTACTGCCTACTTCATTTTATTTGGCCTTCGTTTCCTAAACTTAGCACTGGATCTTTTCTGCAGTTAGCAAATCTGCTAGACCAGGAGCTGGTTCAGGAATCATGGTTCCAGGCTCAGCTCAAATCAAGGCTCTCAACGAACAGGTATTGACAAAACTTTTGCAAGAGTTTTTATTCTACAAGATTTATCTTTTAACGAGCAGGTTGCGGATTTGAGGCTCTCGGTGGATAGCTTGGAGAAGGAACGGGACTTTTACTTCGCCAAGCTCCGAGACATCGAGATCCTGTGCCAGAGCTCAGATGTGGAAGGTCCCGAGGTAAGCTCATACAAATCTCACACCGAAGCTAAGCTCCTTCCTTGGATCAAGCAGATCATTCCAGCAATCCAGAAAATTCTCTACGCGACCGACGAGAACGCTGGAGCTACTGATGGAGAAGAGCTCCCTCCGGATTTAGCCACCGACGATTACAATCCGGAATCCGAGGCTCACGATAGCGGAGAAGCTGCTTGCGACGACGATGATGATCCATCCGGCGAGAAATGCGTCCCGCAAGTGAGAGTCTCATGTAGTGGCTCCTGTCACAGTGACGAGTTCCTCTCATCAGCATCTCCAGTAAGTGTAAACTAGACAAAAATCTCAAGGAATAGTTCCACCCAAGTACTCTTTGTAACTCGAGTTCCGTACGGGGGTGAAAAGAGGATAATATATGTAAGTTTTACCAGAAAGAAGGTCCTTCGTCCGTACGCTAGTCATGCTGTTGTGTTCGTTCAATGGGCTCTTGCCGCGTAAGAAGGAAAACCCTATGTATGAGGTGAGGGCTTTTGACTCGATGGAGCTATGGCGGACAGCGTCGAGGTAGGCACGGGGTGGCTTCGCCGCTAGAAACACGCCAGGGATTCGATTCTAGCCACTAGATCATCGCTGCGTCGCGAAATATTTCGGGTGGATCGGCGGCATTCTCTAGCAGGGACGATAAATCGGTGGAGATGGAGGCGCTACTGATGGATTTCAGCCAGTTCGTCGAATTTGCAAGAACAGAGCCAGGCATGGCAGGCACGGATCCAACGATGGAGATGTGCCAGAGCAAGCAGGCAGAGATTCCAGCCGCTGGAGATTTCTTTGCCAATGGATCGACTGGAGCTTTCCCGAGCGTGTCTGGGACGGATTTTCATGGATCCATGGGAAATTTCCAGAGCTCGGGGATGGACGATGGTGTCTACTTGGAGCCAGCTCCCATGGAGCCGGCCGGGTCGTGTGAGGCCGATCCCCTCAAAGACCCGGTGATTAGCTACATCTCCGACATGCTCATGGACGAGGACACAGACGAGAGGACGTGCATGTTTATCGATTGCTCCGGGTATAAGTCCATGGCCAACGAGCTCACGCAGATCATCTCCGATTCTTCCTCGTCGGGTGCTTCGGAGTCAGAGAACACAAACAAGGGAGCAGTCGATTCGTGGATCCATGGTGTCTTGAACAACGACGAAGTGGTCGACTCGGATGTGAGAGTCGAGGGTCGGACCATGTCCGACGAAGAGTACGAGAACACCGTGCACAAGATGATGAACGAGATTCAGGCTTTGACGGCTGCCTCTACGCCCGGTGGCGAAGGTGGTGGCCATGAAGGTGGTGGTCATCGGAAGGTGGTGGAGGAAGAAGAGTCTGTGAATATTGTGGAGCGGGATGCACTGTCCTTGCAGTCGCTGCTCCGGGAGTGCTCCGAGTTTCTCAAAGATGCGCCAGGGAAGGATGCTGTTCATGACCACGATCCATGGTCGGGGGATTTATTCGCGACGCACGACCAGCTCGTGGCTGGGCATGTGAGGACTCCTGCAGTGCTTGACAACGACGCCATTGAAACCGAGAAGGCCATCCGACAGGAGCTGCACGGCAAACTCATCGAGTGTGCGCAGGCGGTGGCTGCGGATGATGTATCCAAGGCTTACGGGATTGTCAACGGGATCAGGGACAAAGCCTCGCCGCGTGGAAGCGGCACGGAGAGAATGGCGTTCTACTTTGCCGAGGCTTTAGTTGCACGTATAACCGGTACTGGCACGCTACTCTACAGTGCTCTCTCCAGCAACAAGCCGGCGTTTCACGAGATGCTGAAAGCGTATCGGCTCTTTACTCGCTACTCTCCGAACGTGAGGATATCGCACTACGTCTGCAACCAGACTATTCTTGATGCTACAGTGGGGGCCGGCAGGGTGCACATTGTCGACTATGGTATCCTCTACGGGTTCATGTGGCCCTGCCTCATCAAGGCCTTCTCCGAGCGCGAAGGTGGTCCTCCGCACTTGCGTATAACAGGAATAGATTTTCCTCAGCCTGGGTTCAAGCCGGCGGAGAGAGTTGAGGAAAGCGGGCGGAAGCTGTCGGAATACGCCAAGCAAGTTGGAGTTCCTTTCGAGTTCCACGCTATAGCAACAACCAAATGGGAGGGCGTGCAGCCATCAACCTTATTTCTCAGGCACGACGAGGTGTTGATCGTGAGCTCGCATTTCCGTCTGAGACACTTGCTAGACGAGTCGGTGATGGTGGACAGTCCAAGAAAGCTGGTACTCTCCAGGATACGAAGCATGAAACCGAAGGTCTTTATACAGGCGGTGGTGAATGCCAACTACAACGCTCCATTTTTCATCAGTCGGTTCCGCGAAGCTCTCGCATTATATGCAGCGTTCTTCGATGCGATCGACACTGCAATCCCTCCTGAGTATCCGGAAAGGCTCCTCATTGAGCAGAGCATTTTGGGACGCGAGATCCTCAACATTGTGGCGTGCGAAGGCCAGGAAAGAGTAGAAAGAGCGGAAACGTACAAGCAGTGGCAGTCAAGGACTGTGAAAGCCGGATTCGAGCAGCTTCCTTTGCGTCCAGACATTTATGCAAAGGCGAGAACGATGCTCGGGACATATCACAAGAGCTTTGGGATTGGCCATGATGGAAACTGGCTGCTCATAGGATGGAAGGAGACGGTACTGCATGCCGTGTGCTCGTGGAGAGTACGCTGAAACTAGGAAAGAAGCAACAATCATAGCTGGTAATTGCTAAGGTACGACACAAAATTCTAGCTTTGTATTGACAGCTTGTCGTGTTGCAAGGCGAACAGTTGCTGCGCTACGTGAATACATTCAGCTACTGATGCGTTGGTTTTGAGCGAGTTTGGCTCGATTTGCGACCGGCTCACTACGTATCCTTCCTGCAAAAAAAAAAGAGAGAAGAGATTCACAGCAGCAGCACGAGTGACCGGATGTACCTTTTGTAGTCGCCTTGTCAAGGTATCTCTTCTGGGAGTTGGGATCTTTCCTCTGCTTGCAATCTAAAAGTATATATGTTCATATCTTGTTTTGAATCCAGGTTGTAAGTACCTCGTGAAGCCCAATGTAACCGCATGGCAAAGTTGGATTGCTTTCCTCCAGCATTACATCTAGCACCTCGGTCAATTTTGAAGTTTCAGGATCGAGTTTCTTCATATCAAATCCAGGTGAGGCAATCCAGTTTAATTCCTTGGCTAACCGTGACATTGTTTGTACATATGCTATGTTGTGCAGAGGGCCGATCCATATTGGACCCGTATACGTGTTCTGTCGCAATGTAACCATGGTCGCAAGCAAGCCGGAAGGAAAAGGTTCGTTCCACATACCTTCTTGGAGCAACTGCAAGCTGATGTTTGGCCGAGTTCGTCCCAAGAAACGCTCTGGAATGCCCCACATTCGCTGCAGTGCGCTATGAATCCGTAGTTACTGCCAGAACACAAAGATGGATGAACGTCAGACAACAAGATCAACCTGGAAATTACGTGCGGAGATCAAGTTCGCCGTGCTCCATCCGGAGCATGATTCTAAACACTGGTCCGTGGGCAGAATAGTGCGAGAAAAGGGGACGCATCCTCAAGTTTCGGGTGGCAGCTTCGCGCACGACGCCAGCAATGACCATTCGCAGCCCGATCTCGTTGATAAACGGCAGGCGCCTGGTGAAAGTTCCGTATGATGCAAGTGCACTGAAAGAGAAGGAGAAAAATCAAAACAGCCATCGAAGGGCGCGTGAGTACTCACTTATAAGGCCGCTTGCTGCAAGAGAAGCCGTCGGTGGAGGTGACATAGACGAGGCCACCACGTTTGAGGGCAGCCAGAGCAGAGCCAAAGAAGACGGAGTTACTCCCGTGAGAATCGACGTCGATGAGGTCGTAGTAATCGTCGGCAAGGTAGCAGCCGAGAAGGAGCTTGTTGGCGTCTTGAGTGCTGACTTTCCACCTTTCGGTAGGACAAGAAGAACAGGAAGGAGGAGCTACAGCTCGCAGGTTGTCAAGAATGCCGGGACGAAGATGGTCGCAGGCATCGTTGGCCCAGACAAAGTCAGCACTAGCCTGCACAAGGTACCGCATTGCTCTCACTCCGCACCCACACAGAGCATCCAGTGCTCGGAGCTGACCGTGCTCTCTCTTGTAGGCTATGGCCGCTAGAACACTCAGGTCTCTCCCTACCGCACTCTCGCGCCTGTAGAAAGCGTTCCCGGTTGTGAAGCTGAGCCCGCGCTCCATTTTCGGTAGTTCTTTCGTGGGTTGCTGCGGCTGGGGGAGTCTGGACAGCCCATCTGGGGGGACCGGCAGCGCCATCGAAACAAGCATATGCCCAGGCCGGGTATAGGGCAGAGATGAGGAAGGATGGCTAGAGCTCCTTCTCGACCAAGAAGGAATGTGGTGGTGCTCGTCAGACTCAAGAGATGGATGAGCAGTAGTTGTCCACAGCAGAAAGGATCGTCGTCGGTGACGGAGAGCGAGCTAGTTCAGGTTGGTCTTCAGGGAGACCCGGAAGGATTCGTTGGGCTTCTGCGTGTGTGCGCAGAGGAGAGGTCACTAGAAGATGGCAGGCTTGTCCACGAGCAGATTCTCAAGTGTGGATACGGCAGTCATGCGTTTCTCGGTAATCTGCTCGTGGACATGTATGGGAAATGCGGGGATATGGAGAGTGCCCGTGCTGCCTTCCAGGCCATCCAGGCAAAGAACATCTACTCGTGGACCATCTTGCTTACGGCCTACAGCAAGGGTGGCCACGGGAGAGCAGTACTCAGGCTCGTCCAGGAGATGGACTTGGAGGGGTTTAAGGCCGAGAAGGTGACGTACTTGGCAGTCGTGGATGCCTGTGCGAAGCTGTTCGACTTGAACAGAGCCAAGCAGGCACACTCGAGGATTGTGGAGAGCGGGTGGCATGCAAATCTCAACGTGGGAAACGCGCTTGTGGGCATGTATGGGAGGTGCGGGGACTGCCAGACGGCCAGGATGGTTTTCGAAGGTTTGCCTGAGAAGACCGTCGTGTCCTGGAACACTGTGATAGGAGCCTATGCTCGGAATGGACTGGCCAAGGATGCTCTCCGACTGATGAAGGCGATGGATCTGGAAGGCATGAAAGCGGACAGGATCACATTCCTGAGTCTGGTCGAAGCTTGCACGGGCCTGGGGTGCCTGGCCGAGTCGAGGCTGGCTTATGCTCGAATTGTTTCGAGTGGACTCGGCTCCGACGTCGCAGTGGCTGCCTCGCTTGTCAACATGTTTGGGAAGAGCAGCAGCTTGGCGGATGCCAAACTCGCCTTCGATACCATACCGGAGAAGAATGTCATCTCGTGGAATGTCATGATGGCAGCTTACAACCAGAACGGGTGTCCGACAGAAGCTCTTCGGTTGTTTTACGAGATGACTGAACCGGACAAGGTCAGCTTTTTATATGCTCTCGACGCTTGCGTGAGCCTGAAAGCTCTGTCAGATGGCCGGGACGTTCATGCGAGTGTCACAAGGCATGGTTTCGGCTCCGATCTTGTCCTGGGGAATGCACTCATCAACATGTACAGCAAATGCTCGAGTCCAGCTGATGCCAGAAACGTTTTCGACGGGATGACGGTCAGGGACTCCGTGTCGTGGAACACGATGATTGCAACTTACGCCAGGAATGGTTTTGGAGAGGAGGCAGTGGAGGTGTTTCACGAGATGGCTCTGGTGGGGATTCCTCCTGACAAGTACACGCTCATCAGCGCTCTCGACGGTTGCTGTGGATTGTCGTGCCCCGACAGAGGCCTGAAAAAAGGCAGAGAGATTCACAGACGAATCCAGAGTATCGGCTTCATGTCCGACGTAGCGTTACAGACAGGACTGATCAAAATGTATGGGAAGTTTGGAGAGGTGATCGAGGCCAGGAGATTGTTCGATGGAATGAGTAGGAGAGTTGCTCTCACCTGGGCCAGGATGATCACTGCATACGGACAGAACGGTTTCGGAAACGAAGCCATCGAGCTCTACAAGCAGATCGACGTGGTTCCTGACAAGGTGATATTCGCGAGCGTTCTTGACGCGTGCTCGAGCGCCATGAACCTCGAAGAAGGCAAGCGAATCCACGCAAGGATAGTGGAAGGCAAGTTTGAGATAGACACGGTGGTGAACAACACCCTGCTCGACTTATACGGGATGTGCGGGTGTCTGGAGGAAGCCAAAGCCGTGTTCCACAGCATGCAAGAGCAAGGCAGGGACGTGGTCTCGTGGAATTCCATCATTAGAGCTCATCTCCACAACGATCAGCCGAAGGAAGCCTTGGGCCTCTTCTTCGAGATGCAAGAGGCTTGCGGTCCCAGGCAAGACCGAGTGAGCTACGTGAGTGCTCTCGACGCCTGCTCGGCCATGGGGAGTGACGGCCTCGTCCATGGCAAAACTCTGCACGGTTTGATCCTCGCCAACCGGATCCACATCGACGTCTACGTTGGCACTGCGCTGGTTACCATGTATGGGAGGTGCGGCGACGTGGTGGAAGCCAAGCAGGTGTTCGACGTGATGCCGAGCAAAAACGCGGTCACTTGGACGTCCATGATACGGGGATACTCGACGAACGGTTTCGCGAGAGAAGCCGTGGAGGTGTTCCAGAAGATGGAACAGGAGGGCTGCCGTGCTGACAAGATCGTCTACGTCGCGGTGATGGAGGCAAGCAGGGGCGTCGAGGACGTGAAGATGGCGGCGAAGATCCACAGCCGGCTTTCGGAGCTGGGGTGGTGCTCGGACTCGGCCATCCAGTCGTCGCTCATCGCCATGCACGGCAAATGCGGCAGTGTGGAGGCGGCGAGGCGGGTGTTCGACGCCATGGAGGAGAAGTCACGGGGATCTCCGGCTTGGAATGCCATGATCGCAGCTTACTCGAGGCGAGGCGACAAGGAGGCGGTGCTGGAGCTGTTCCAGGCGATGCAAGCCGCATCGGTGAGGCCGGATCGAGCAACTTTCCTGGGACTTCTAGCAGTCGGCGGCAGCTTCTCCCCGAGCGAGGCCAGCGCCGTGCAGCACGCCATCCTTTCCACCGGCATGGAGACGGACTCCCTCGTCGGCACCGCGCTGCTCAACACGCTGACGAGATCCGGCAAAGTTGGCGAGGCCCGGCGGGTGTTCGATCGCCTGGACAAGCGCGACGTGGTGTCGTGGACGTCGATGATGGTGGCGTATGCCTCGCACGGGTCGAGCCTGGAAGCCATCGATCTCTTCCAGGAGATGCAGCTCCAGGGGATGGAGCCCGACGAGGTGGCGTTCCTGGCCGTGCTCTTCGCTTGCAACCACGCCGGGTTCTTCCGCCGGGGATGGGACTACTTCGCGAGCATGCGCGGAGACTATGATCTGGAAGCTGGGGCCGATCACTACTGCTGCGTGGTGGATCTTTTGGGCCGAGCTGGAAGGCTGGCGGACGCCGAGGACTTGATCGTTAGCATGCCGTTCAAGCCCGACGAGGCCACGTGGTCAGCGCTGGTTGGCGCTTGTAACACGCACGGTGACGTGGAACGGGCCGCCAGGATCTCGCGGGCGATGGAGGCGGAGGAGCGGGCCGCCACACACGTGTCGCTGTGTAACACGTTCGTGGCTGCCTGAATGGACCGGTTCAACAGCGACCGTTTTGCGCTGATTAGCGTTTGGACGGGCCGGTCAACATAGCATTGACTATGAATGGATGTACCGGTCAACAGCGACAGTTTGCGCTGACTAGCATTGACTAGCATCAAAAAGGAAGATTTTAACTTTAGCTGAACATCCGCAAGATAGAACAAGAAAAAATGGAGTTTCCTACAAGCAAGCCTATAGGAGCATGGCGATGATCCAGCAAGCGCCAATGCTTGGAGCTAGCAGCGCGGGGAGAGATCCAGTAGCGGCGCTGGTCGGGGATGGAGCCGGGGCGTGGGATCCAGCGGCGGCGGCGCCTCTGGTGTGCGCGAACGGTCCAGAGTGGGAGCTTGGCGAGGACGGCGTGGGCGATGGAGCCTGCGGCGTGGATGGCGAGGATCGCGAGCCTGGCGAGGCGGGCGTGACCATGATGCCGAACTTCTGGCCCTGCTCGCAGTGGCCGGGGACTCCCGAGATGAACCAGTGGGGACCCGGGCGAGAGATGCGGATGAGCGTCTTGCCGTCGCTGTGATGGTTGATCGGGTTGGTCTTGATGCAGTTCATGAAATCCGCCCTGTTCACCTCAAGAACGCTGTCGCCTTGCTGCTGGTAGTTAAACACTGCCAAGAAAGATCACCCATCCACACAAGAAAGAGTGAGACACCGATCGATCGATCGGGCAAAGGCCGAAATATCGAAGAAAGAAAGGAAAGTTGCGAGGGGAAGAGAAAGATCGATCAAGAAACCGATGAGCCGGAAGGAAGACGAAAGATCGATTGCTACTTACAGAGAGTGTCGCCAGGATGATAGTTGTGCTTGAGCGCCCAGGCCGAGTAGTTCACGGCGGCGGACGGGATCATCCATCCCGCCGATTCTCCCACAACGTACTCGGCCGACTCCACGGATCGAAGCGTCGCCAATGCCGCCGCGAGCAGCAGAGGAAAGATCGCGAGCTTGAATGCCGCCATCGATCGATCGGAACAAAAGAAAGAATACCCTAGCTCGTGCTCGTTCTTGGAAAATATCAAGAACGCTAGACAGTTCCTCGAGGGACTATATAGCAAGAAAACTTGGAACGAGGAACGACCCAGACCGTTGGATGGACACGAAGCAACGACGCCACGTAGGACCGTATCGGGCCGTTGCCCCCAAATGGCGACACGTGTGACCTAGGTTTTTGTAAATTGGCGGCAAATGACGTGACACGAACGGCGGAGATTTGTGCCAGCTGGGCAACCCAATCCAGTTTAAAAAGATAAAGGTCGTTAAAATGGTACTTGTGTTCTTGTGGTCTTTATTTCCAAGAAAAAAAACAGAGGCTCGATCGAAAAAAAACGAAGAAAAGTTTCATACCAGCTTGAGCTTCTCGCACCAATACTGGAGTTGTTCCTTCACGCAGCTCGCTCCAGTGGATCCATAGGACTGGAAGCGTTTCACTGCGTTCTCCACGCCCAAGTATTCGTAGACATCGTCCTCAAACACCGGATTGATGCTCCGGAGCTCCTCCAGCGTGAGCTTGGAGAGCTCCACATCTTTGGAGATGGCCACCGCTACGGCCTTGCCGACGATATCATGCGAAGTTCGAAATGGTATCCCCTGGAAAAGATTTGAGATAGAAAAGTTGGAGGTGCCTGTGATGATGCAAGTGAAATGGAACGCTACCTTGTTCACCAAGTAGTCGGCCATGGTTGTGGCGTCCAAGTGTCCAGCCGAAAGAGACGCCGAGATTCTCTTCCTGTTGAACGTTACGTTCTGGGAAAACTCCGTTGTCACCTCCAAGACTGTGCCGATCGTCTCCACGCTATCGAACAATGGTTCCTTGTCCTCCTGCACAAGTAAGGTGAGACCATCTTTCACAGAAAGAAGGAAAAACTTACCTGGAGGTCGCGATTGTAAGCTTGAGGGAGACCCTTGCAAAGCACCAGCACGGTCATGAGATCGCCAATAACTCTCGCAGATTTGCCTCGGACAAGCTCCATAGGATCTGGATTTTTCTTTTGAGGCATGATGCTGCTTCCGGTTGAGACAGCATCACTCGGTATCAGGAAACCAAACTCTTCGGAGGCCCAAAGGACCCACTCCTCACCGATGCGTGAGAGATGGACAGCGATTATAGAGTTCGCGGCGAGGAACTCAATGAGAAAATCCCGGTCCGATACTGCATCCACACTAGAAATGCAGAGTTTCAGCAAAGAAATAAACAAAGAGAAAAAAACTCTTTCACGTTACCTGTTACGAAGAGGAGCAGTGAATCCCAAAGCCTCAGCTGTCATAAATCGATCGATTGGAAGGCCAGTCCCAGCGAGAGCGCAGGATCCCAGAGGCGAAAAGTTGATTCGGCAGCGACAGTCCTTGAGACGGCCGGCATCTCGCTCCAACTAAACACACAAAGGCTTTGTTAGTGTGAGTGTTTAGAAGCGAAGATGTGAGACAAACTTACTTGTTCTACGTAAGCAAGCAAAAGGTGCTGTAGAAGAATCGGTTGAGCTCGTTGTAAGTGCGTATAGCCTGGCACCACCAATCCCTCGTTATCAAGAGCAAGCTGGACAAGAGCAATCTGGAAGAACAAAAAAGAGTGAAAACACGATGGAAGGAAGAGAAAAATCTACCTGGAGAGCTATGATCTTCTTCACGAGATTATCAATGGCGTTGCGGCACCAAAGCCTTACGTCCGTGGCAACTTGATCGTTGCGGCTCCTGGCAGTGTGGAGTTTCTTTGCCGGCTCTCCAATCAAATCCGTGAGAGCAGCCTCCACATTCATGTGGACGTCCTCTCGATCGGATCTCCAAGTGAAGTTGCCACTCTCGATCCTAGCCTCGATCTCAGCAATCCCTTTCAAGATCGCATCCCGATCCTCTTCCGACATGAGACCCTGGCGAATCAAATCATGCATGGAAAAAGCTTGAGAGTAAGAAGAAAAATGGAGAGAAGAGAACTTACTTGCTTGGCGAGCATCACAGCGTGCGCACAGCTCCCAGCGAGATCTTCCTTGTAGAGCTTCTTATCGTAGGACACGGACTCGCTAAAGGATTCCACGGCATTGGTTGTGCGCTGCTGGAATCGTCCACCCCATAGCTTTACCTCGGCAGCCGCAGAAGAAGAAGAAGCCGAACCCATCGCCATCGCCATCGCCACAATGTGGACGCTCCTCCGCTTCCTCCTCCGCCCCGCGATCCAGGAGAGATCGGCGATGGCGCCCAGTGATGGACTGGCGCACTGCATGTTTGATTTTAGGGCTCTTATTTTCCCCTTTCTCCTTCCCAGAGATTTAGGGTTTATGGATGTTTGCGAGGGCAGCCAAGCTCGCGAGGGAGAAGGCGCGGCACCCGCATTGCCCTCCTGACCAGGCCAAGGCGTGGGCGCTGGCACTGGTGGAATTCCTGGGCGATTTCAAGGGCCACACGGTGGATGATCTGTGGGCGCGCGCCGAGGAGCGGGGCATCCGGAGCCGATCACACATGAGGCAGCTGCTCTACTGGATGCGGCAGGAGAGATTGGTGAGCGTGGAGGCGCCGGTGGCCGGATCGCGCGTGAGGTACTTTAGGCTGCTGCGGGATCCGGAGAGGGCGGAGAGAGAGCTGGAGGTGATCCGGCGGAGGGATACCGAGTTTCTGTCCATGAGCAGGCAAGAGCAGGCACAGAAGGAGTATGACGAGCGCGAGCCTCTTCGCCGGCGGCTCACGTACTGGGATCTTTGAAGCAATCTAGTGTTCTTGGTTCGCTAAGATCAAACATCTCCAAGTTCCGGAATGGATCCAGCCTCTTCGCCGGCGGATCACGTAGTGTTCTTGCTCGAGTTTCTAGTTCGCTAAGATCAAACATCTCCAAATTCCGGAATGGATCCAGCCTCTTCTATCTGTGAAGCGATCTAGTGTCTTGCTCGAGTTTCTAGTCGGCTAAGATCAAACATTTCCAAGTTCCGGTATGGATCCAGCTAGAACACAATCATAAAAAAGATTTGGTGGAGATAGTAAGCCCCGTTCTGTTGTACACGCGTGTGTAAGCGCATTACTGGGACTATAGCCAGCTAACCCGGCCATGGCGAGACACCACAGTGGCCTCAACCGGGCTTCTCCTCTTTCGAGGTGGCACTCTCTGCCATTTGGTGTCACAAAGCACCAAGCTCGGGGACTTTCACTCAGCCCTAATGGACCGAAGCGCTCCTTTCTCCACCAAACACAAGTCCTCCCTCAAGGACTTTATATATTCGAGGTTTTACTTTCTCTTGGGCTTATGGGATAGGGCTCTTATACCCTAAACCCTAACCCTAAAACCCTAAACCCTAATCTATAACACTGACAACTTGGATTGATAGTTTGTGCCAGGAGAGACACACACACACACACACGCGCATTTGGTAGTAGAGTACTAAATTCGCTTCTTCCAATGTTGAATCCACTCACCTTTTTTTTGGTTTTTTCTTTTTTTTTGCTCTTTCGCGCACAGCACTTTGCTTGCTCGCACGAGTCCCCCCGACGATCGATCGCTGGGACGCAAGGCAAAAAAAATAAGGCACAGAAAAGAGCCCCCCTTTATTCCAAAGCTCCCAAGACATGGGCTCGCGCTTTAGTACTTAAGTACCGCCGCTTAAACTCGTGCTTAGCGGGCAACTCGACGGCCGCGATTCGCCGCCAGCGGCCGGCCCCAGCCGTCCGATCCATCCTCAACGGTTGGGATTGGACAAAAGCGCGAGCGCGATTTACATGAGGCCCCCCGCCACGTGCGCCGCATGCTCGGCCCTCCTCGCCAACCGGCAGTGCCGGTCTCTTTACCGGTACGGAAGGCCAGTGACCGGTTCCAGCCGGTAATCCCCGTGACAATATTTCTGGCTTGTTTTGTTGCCCTATTTTACACACAAGAGGGAAAAAAGGAATTTTTTTTTCTCTCTCGCGCTTTTGTTTGTCGTGTGAGTCGGAGCTCAAGAGCTCGTCAGCTTCGTGTTTCCAGGGCTATACGCGATTCTCCGAAATATAGATAATAGATATCTCGAGTGTGTGTGCTTGTGTGCGTGTGTGTGTGGTTCTTCCACTGGAGGAAGGATTCTCTCTCTCTCTCTCTCTCGCATTTTACCAAGCGGGATTGATTGGGCGATTGGATTAGCTTGCATCTCGCTCGCGTGAATCCATCGGTTTCGATTCGAGAGAAAATGGGAAGAGCGCCGTGTTGCGAGAAGGATAGTGTCAAGAGGGGGCCGTGGACGCCCGAGGAGGACGCCAAGCTGCTCGCCTGCATTGCGCAGCACGGCACTGGAAGCTGGAGGACACTCCCCAAGAAAGCTGGTTTGTGTTTTTGCCAGATTCTCTCTCGATCACTCCAAATTTCTCTCCATTCTCTGCTTCTTCTTCTTCTTCTTCTTTCTCTAGCTCGATCGTTCAAGCTCGGGTCTAAATTTTTCCGCGGCTACTCTAATTCGTGTGAGGATTTCTCTCTCTCTCTCGCAGGGCTCCAGAGATGCGGCAAGAGCTGCCGGCTGCGCTGGACGAATTACCTCCGCCCCGATCTCAAGCACGGCCGATTCACCGATCACGAGGAGCAATTGATCGTCAAGCTCCACGCCGCTCTGGGCAGCAGGTAAATGATCCTCTCCTCTCCTCCTCATCCTTTCTCGAAAGTTTCCATCGTTTTCCTTGTTTCCTTCGATTTCCATAGCGATCGAGCGATCGATGGTACTCCTTTCCTTTCGTTTGTCTGTCTGGCAACCGCATTGAGAGTGGATCACTTCCTCTCTCGCGAGCTCGCGAATAATTTCGCGGCGCACAGTCCCCAGTCCACCCCAGTCCACGCATGCTGACGTCATCGGCTAACGCAATTAGCCAGGATTAGCGAGCGTGATTATTCTCCCCGGTTTTTAGTCCACTGCCCCAGTCTGGAGTGTTTTGACCAGCCTGTTTTGCGGAGCCTTGACCGCTCTGACCGTGTTTTTCCTCTGGGCGATCAACTAACCATGTCTTTCTGCCTGTCTTTACCTTTGGTTTAGTCGGTTAGAAAGAGCTTTGTGCGTGCTGGCCTGGCCAGTCAGCAAAAGTCAAGTCAAGTCAGCGTATGGTCAGAGCGGGAGGGAAGACTGTACCGTCGCCCACGCATGATGAGATGCGTACTCTACGCGTACTTGAGAGTACTCTCGCCATTGTTCTCTTTCTTCTTTCATTGTTTGTCTAAAGCTATGGTAGTGTTCTTGGAGTTCTTCCATTCCAGTTGGGCATTTCCATTTGGTCTTGATCGATCGATCCATGGGTCGATTTGATTAATCCATCGCTCGCCCAGTCCAGGAGTGATTGATTCTCGATCTCTTTCTCTCGTGCTGGAGCGGAGGCAGTGGAGTAGCAAAACGTTTTTTCTTGTCATTCCTGCCTCGTTTCCCTGTCGTGATTCGTCGTCGCTTGCGTGCTGCGATTCTACGTGATCTCGGCTGCAAAGCGCGGGCTCATGTGGAGCATATGGAACAAAGAAATGGATTTTCTTCTTTGTTTCCTTTTGGTCTCATCCCTTGCGCTCGCTTTTCTCCCGTGTGCCTGTTTGTTTGCGTGCGCGAGCGTGCGTGAATTCATGAATGAGTGACACCACACTCGCGAGATCTCGCTCTCTCGCGACAGAGCTTCCATTTAATGCCGAGAGATCGAGGCCGCGAGGAATCCATGGATCATATCTCTAACACACGGCGACGTGTCTCTCCTTCTATCCAGATGGTCGCTCATCGCGGCCCAGCTCCCGGGAAGAACAGACAACGACGTCAAGAACTACTGGAACACGCGGCTCAAGAAGAAGCTGTGCGAGATGGGCATCGATCCAATCACCCACAAGCCAATCTCGCAGCTCCTCGCCGATCTCGCGGGCAGCATCGCCATCCCCAAAGGCGGCCAGATCGCCGAGGCCGCGCTGGGCTGCTTCAAGGACGACATGCTCAACGTCCTCATGAGAAAGAGGCCTGACTGGCAGCAGTTAGATCAAACCTCCACTCCATCTCCATCTCCATCTCTCTCCAATCCCCTCCTCCGTCCCACCACTGTCCAAGGATCCCGCCAGAGCTGGCCGGGACCTTCCTCCAAGTCGATCAATCCAATCGACCCAGTCGTCCACAAAATCAAGCAGGGGCTCTCCACCGCTGTCCAGTCCAAGCTCCCACTACCACCATCCTCGTCTCCTCTGGATCACCACCACCACCACCACCCCCACGATCGAGCTCACGAGAACTCCTCCATGGCTCCCGACGTGCTGCTCATGCGAGGTGGCGGGCCTGGAATGTGTGCCTTCACGTCCAGCCCGGCTCCCTTCTCGGCCAGCGACGTCCAGCTCTCGTCCTTCTTCGACACCAGCACCAGCTCCGGCGGCTCCATGAAAACTTCGAGCTTTGCGGCCGGAGCTTTCAAGCCGGCTCCTCCGGGGAGCTGGAACGAGGACGGAAGCATGCTCGTCTCGGCCACACCGAGCACGTCTCTGGGGCTTCACGTCGCTGGACTGGCTTCATCTCAGCAGCAAGACTTCTTCCAGCACCAGCAGCAGCAGCAAATGGTGGTGACGGTGAAAGAGTCGAGCCCGGCTAGTCACGTCCAGAGGCCCGAGTCTGGCGAAGCCCAAGTTCCGTGGAGCCCGAGTGGAAGCGGGAGCAGCTGTAGCAGCACCACTCTGGCCGACGTCTCCGTCCTCGAGGGAGTGTTGAGCTCGGACGTTCCGCTATGGGATTTCTCCGAGTTGAGTTCTATCATCTCTTGAGCCTCGAACTCGGCGGGACGAACTTAGCTTCCTTGGTAGTTTTCTGTCATCATTTTTTTACTTCTTCTGCAAGGTAAAACTCGACGTTGCTTACGATTCTTATCAGCAGCAGCAGCAGCATTTAGCTTTCAAGTTTTAGGATGCATCGATCGGTTTCGAGTCGAGCAGCCGTGGGTGTGTCCCGGATGATGGTATACGCTCACTCGGTTGCTGCTCAACTATGTGTCTTTGTTGCCCAAATAATCTGGAATTCGTTTCCCAAAAGTTTGGTCATGAGTAAGGAGAAGCTGGCAAAGGCTGTCCAGAGATGAACTTCTGGAACAAGAGTAAGGCCCTGGCTGGCTGTGCGAGTGGAACCATATGGGCAGCACCGCGGACCGTAGCAAACGTGAGGTTTCCAAACGACTCTGCCCATCCTCCAACCTGAGAAAAGAATGCATGTTTGATCATCGCAAGCTCGAATAGTTCTATCGTTCTCATACCTGTGTGCGCAAAAACCAAGCTTTGTAAGACGCAGTTGTGCGTAGCTTGAGCTCCTGCGCAAGGCTATTGACGTTAACTCGTGTGCCAAGAAACGGAACCACGGCGTCCTCATCACCGCTGATACGATGGAAAATGTAACAAGCTTGTGAATCTGGCAACCGTAGTGTCTTACCTGAAAACCCAAACTCGAAGACCATTCTTGAGAAGATCTCGAAGAACTGGCACGATGTCTAGTCTCATGTCGTTTATGTCGTATTGAACAGGCCTGCCCAAAACATCAAAATCGCTCGACACCACGGAACTTTGCATTACTTACCCGTCACAGTTCGTCCAAGGATACGGAAGCCCGGTCGTGTTTGCGTGAAGAGCCTTTTGAACCTCGGGCAAGTTGAAGTAGTAGTATCGCTCGTAGGACATACACACGTCGACTCCAATGCTCCGGTGGCCCATCTAGAAACGAGAGAGTCAAGAAAAAAAGCCAACATCTCCAAAGTGATCACCAAAGCTTACTCGCTTCTTTAGTCGAAACTCTTGCTCCACAATGGAAGGGACGCACACGTCCAGGATTATGTCGTACGGGTTGACGTGATCTCCCATCTCTAGTGCCGAGTTGGATATGAACTGGTTGCATTCGGCGGAGACGTTGTTATTCCCAGAGCCGTGATCGTAATCACTCCAGTAGCAGCTTCTTCCAAGGCCCTCGTACGTCTTGTCCGAGATGAGGCCATGGGACCACAGGAAATCATAAGTGGAGGCTGTGTCGATTGCTAGATTCAAAGCTGGGTTGCCGATCTGGAGGAAAGAATCCACGTATTGCCATGGAAGAAGAGAAACCATAAAATAGTCGCAAACTTACTGCGACTCCTTTAACGTTGAAAACTGAGTGTCCAGCAGCTTTATTGTAATCGAGCAATGCAGCGGCCAGCTGGGGTACATAATGCCCTGTAGAAACGTACATGAACATACATCTTGAAGATCATGATTCTCAAAAGAAAAAGGAATAAAACGATAAAAACAGGCACGAACCTGCATAGCTTTCTCCAGTGATGTAGAATTCCCGGCTTTTATACTCCGGGAATGCGTCAAACCAGCGAAGCATGAAGGTAACCGAGTCTTTAGCTGCAAGTTTGGAGACGAGTAAAGCTCTAGAACTTTGACAATGAGAGAGCGTATCTCTATGAGACTCACCTGTTTTTGCGTCGTTGTAGATGCTATAATCTTCGCTCCTGTTTGAGTATGACCAGCCGACACCAGCGGGTGATTCCAGGAACAAGATGTTCGCAGCTAGAGAACAAGGAGTAAAAGTCCGAGCTACGAGAAAAAAAAATAGAGAGGTCTGAGAAGAGATGATGATACCTTTGTTCCAGGAATTGGAGTTTTTAACAAGGCCTCTCCCTGTTCCATTCGGATAAAACGGGCCAAGCTCGGTGAACGCGCCGCCGCCGATAGAGGAGCATCCCGGTCCTGCAAGATGATATCAAACAAGAAAAACAAAAACACAGAGAGCGAGAGAGAGAGAGTGAGAGAGAGCTTTGTTCCATATTTTTTCTCTCCCTACTCGGAAGAAAGAAGCCGTTACCTCCATTGAGCCACAATGCCAGAGGCCTGGAGCTCGCGTGGCTGTGAGCCTCCACGAAGTAGTAAAACAGTGCTCGCCCTGCATGACTGTCCACAGTCACATAGCCCGCGTATTGCTTGAATGGAACAGCCGGCTGTCCTGGAAGATTGGTCACCAAATCGTGCTCAGGGGCTCCAAGCGCTCCTTTGCCTTGAATTCCAAGCAGCAGCAGCAACGCGACGATCAGCAGCAGCTTGGTTCGGACAGAATCCATTCCAAAACAGCGCTGGAACAAAAGCAAACAAGTTAGTGAGATGAGAGCGCTGCTAAGTTACATGAATGCGAATCCTGGCTACAGCATCACACGAACTAATCCAAGGCAGACCTTCAAGATTGCGCATCGTCTCCACATGCTCAACTTTAAGACCAGCCACGGGATGAATGAATGGAAGAAATCTTGCGTCTTTCTTTCTCGCTCTTCCAATCTCTAGAGTGCAAGGTTTTGCGAGAAGACAGCAACAGCCAGTGAGCAGCAGCAAACATAAAAACATTGACAACTCACGGAGAAAGTGACACAGACAGCCAAAGTGTGCGCCAAGAAAAAGAAAGAAAACAACAAAGAAAGGAAGTTCTTTCAAGTCAACCTGTGATTGGTTCACCTGTGTACTATGAGGCCCTTGATGAGCGCCGGACAGGAACCACAGTAGACCCTCATTCTCTGCGAAATGGTACTGGAAAAACGTTCATGCTTTCCCTGTCACCGCTAAGTTAGAACATAAACAAACACGACCTCTGATCAGAGAGACAAAACCTTTAGCGACAAAGCCAAGCTCTGATGATTAGCTCGACTGGCTCGTACTCGCCTCAAACAATCCAATCAATCAGTCAAGCATGAAGTATAATGAGAGCCTCGAACTCTTCTAAATCCAGCCTGAAGCTTGCGTCTTCCCTGTCTAGAGTTTAGAACAGGCACAAGGAAGCAGAGAAAAGAGGCCTTGAAACTCGCACGGCTAGAGTACCGTCAAAAGCCCAACAAGCATCGAGGCAAGGAGAAGGAAGGCCAAGGAAAAAGAAGGAAGCAAATCCAACGAGCACCGAATTACACGCTAAACAAACAGAGCTTTCGCCCTCGCACCAAACAAGAAAACGGCTCTGATAGACTTGAAGTTGGAGCCTTTCACGCAGCAAGGACCAGGCGAAGGATAGATAGAGAAGTTTTATATTCCATTCTAATTGTCGGTGCTTTCGGCTCACATTATTGCTAGAGCCAAAGCAAACCAGAGGAAGAATAGGAAAAACGATTGATCAATCCCGAGGCAAGCGAGAAAAGAAAAAAATGAAAAAAAAGAAATTCTAAAGCCCGCTAAGAGAAATGGAAGAAAAATGCTTACACTCTTTGTGTCGAACTATTTGCTGTCGCTGTAGATCATCTTCCTGAGAACTATAAAGACAGGATCACTTTTGATACGCTTCAAGGAAATGAATTGCCTGTTCTCTTTTAAGGCAAAAAAAAAAAAAAAAGTACCGTCAATGCAATGCTGATTTGATCATCAGGTCTGCAACAATCTGGCAAATTCCCAGTATTACCTTAGAACCCTAGCATTATCTATGCTAGGGTTCTAAATGATAAAGATTCGGGAAGGCTTGTGGCTGGGTAACATATGGGATATAGAGAGTCTGAATCAGACAAGGATTGCACAACATGGTATTACACATATTCTGTCAATGGTGGAAGTTGGAGGCTTTGACAGCACCAAGTTTGGAATAGTGAGAAAGGAAGTGGCGATTGATGATGTTGAGAGTGAAAACCTCCTTATCCATCTTGAAGATTGTTTGGAATTCATTGACAATGCGATTGTGGTATGCAAGGGTGTGGTGCTTGTCCACTGCCGCATGGGTTTGTCAAGGAGTGTTTCAGTGATTGTGGCGCACTTGATGAGGAGTGAAGGGCTAAGTTTTGCAAAGGGTCTCGCGGAGGTGGAAAAGGTTAGTCCTACTGCCATTAACCATGGGTTCCGGAAACAGCTTAAAATCTTTGGAACAATGGGGTGTGTGGTGGATAAACAACATGTTAAGTGGGAAGAAGATGAGTTCTTCAAAAGATAGAATAAAACAAAGCAAAATTTCAGATAGGATCCGCAAAAAATTAAAAAAACTAAAAATAAAAAAACTTGATAAGTATTCTTGTCTCTTAATTAAAAAATATACAAATGAAGTAAATAAAAGTGATCCTTTTCAGAACTAGCAGAGCACTCGCCACAATCGAAGTGGTGAGTGCTCTACGTGAGATCGTCATTTTCTCCAATACCATACTAGTTTCAGCAGAAGATATACTCTAGAACTACCGCTTTGTATTTTCACAATATAAATATATAGAAGTCTTGTGTCCGCTCTCACAGCATTGATGTAAACCGCACGCTCAGGAGCACGCGTAAAGCCATCAAAAACCTAGCGCTTCGAAAACTTTCTTTCGTAGCTTGTTCCTTTGCAAGATGTCGAGTGTGCAAGCTCCGCGAGAGATTTACGAGGAGCTGAGGGGGATCGACGGGGTGATCCGCGAGAGAGGCTACGTCCCGGATATCAAGGCTGTGTTGCATAGGCGATTGCGTTTGGGATGATAGTGAGCTCAGGATTATGAAGAAGTTGCGTGTCTGCCCCGACTGTCACTCGGCTACCAAGATCATCTCCAAGTTTTCCGGCAGGAACATCATCGTGAGCGACGCAAATCGCTTCCACGAGCTCCAGACTGGATCTTGGATCAAGAATCATTAGCATATAAAATAATCATAATTATATAAATAATTAGAATAAACAAGCAAGACAACATGAGAATTGCTTGAAGTGTATTAAAACTAATCTTCTCATTATGGTTTCCCCAAACAATAGTGTCAAAATTTATGGAGAATGTCTGGACCAAGGTACACTGAAAGATTGCAAAGACAGTTCTTCATGAATAGATTTAATGATTCTTGAGGTGTGTTCTACCAGAAAAGAGACACTTACCAATAATCTTCACACGAGCAGGAACCATTCCGGAACTCGTGGAAGCGATTTGCGTCCCTGACGATGATTTTCCTGCCCGAAAACTTGGAGATGATCTTGGTAGCCGAGTGACAGTCGGGGCAGACACGCAAGTTCTTCATGATCCGGAGCTCAGTCCCACCCGGGCTCGAGATCATCCCAAACGCAATCGCCAGCCTCTCGCTGTGGAAGCAGCACATCTTCTCCTTGGCCTCTCTCGCCGCGTTGTGCAACACAGCCTTGATATCCGGGACGTAGCCTCTCTCGCGGATCACCCCCTCGATCCTCCGCAGCTCCTCGTAAATCTCACGCTTCCGCGGGTGCGAGGTGTCCCCAGCGATGAACTCGTGCAGCACTCCACCAATCTCGATGGAGCTCTTCCCGGCCATCTTGAAGACTCCACGCTGGTCCATGAGCTTTCTCATCCTGGCCATGTCGTCCCACCTCTCCGCGAGAGCGTACAAGTTGGAGAGCGCGACATAGGATCCCGAGTCCGTGGGCCTCAGCGCCATGATCCGGTCCGCCGCTCGAGCTGCTCGCTCCACGTCCGCGTGAGTGATGCAAGCTCCCAGGAGTATCGTCCAGATGGTGTGATCCGGATGGTATGGCATGGAGTTGATGAACTCCTCGGCTTCGTCCAGCCACCCGGCTCGTCCCAGGAGATCGATGAGACAGCCGCACTGGAGAGACGTCGGCTTGAAGCCGTAGTCGCCGATCATGGAGCTGTAGAGCTTGCAGCTATCCTTGACGAGCCCGGCATGGCTGCAAGCGAAGAGCACCCCGATGAAAGTGATGTCGTCGTGTGTGATCCCGAGGATGGTCATCTCCGAGAAGAGCTCCAGAGCTTCCCTGAGATGGCTGTTCTGTGCGTAGACCATGATCATCGTGTTCCACGAGACTGCGTTGGTGGATTCAGTCTCGTCGAAAACTTTCCTCGCCAGATCCAGCCTCCCACACTTCCCATACATGTTGATCAGTGCCGAGTTCACGGTTGCCTCTCTCTCACGTCCCGCGGCGATGGCTTGATCGTGGATCGCTTGTCCTCGAGCTAGAAGTGACGAGTTGCAGCAGCAGGCGTCCAAGGCACTGGTGAAAGTCACGCCATCCGGAAGAACTCGGCTCTCTTGCATCCGTTTGTAGATCTCTAGAGCCTGGAAGCCATAGCCGTTCTGTCCGTAGACCGCGATCATCGAGTTCCAGGTGATGATATCCTTCCTCTGCATCGCGTCGAAAACTTTCCTCGCTTCGTCGGGACTGGCGCACTTCCCATACATGTTGATGAGAGCGTTCCCCACGCAAACGTTGGCCTCGCTCCTGGCGTCGATCACCCCGTGAACTTCCCTGCCAATGCCAAACACGGCGATATCGGCACACACATCCACCACCGTGACGAAAGTTACCTCGGTCGGCTCCACGCCGTCGAGCGTCATGAGCAAGAACACCTTGAGCGCGTCGCGGAAGAATCCATTGAGAGCGTAGGCAGCGACGAGGGCGGTCCAGGCGATCACACTCCTGCTCGTGAGGCTCTCAAACACGCTGCAAGCGTCCGCCAAGCTCCTGCATTTGGCATACATGTTGATCAGGCAGTTCGCCACGAAGATATCTGCCAGAAATCCACAACAAGCAATGCGTCTGTGAAGAGCTCTACCTCGATCCAGCCACGACAGTGCCGCCACGGCCCCCAGGAGCTCGATGAAGGTGATGGAATTGGGCGAAATCCCCTCGAGATCCATGATCTCCAGGAGATTGAGCGCATCCATGTAATGCCCATTGTGGGCAAATGCTGCTACCATGATAGTCCACGAGAAAACGTTCCTCCTGGGCGTGATGTGGAAGACGCTCTTGGCCGCCTGGAGACTGCCACACTTGCCATACATCTCTACCAGGAGATTGCAAAGGTATCTGCTGCTCTTGAATCCACACAGCACGATGTGGTAGTGGATGCGCTTGCCCTCGGCGATGGCGGCCTCGCTCCCACAGCGGCGGAGGTACCAGGCCAGCACCTCGGCGCTGGGCGACACGGATCGATCCTCGAGGAGCTGCACGGCGTCGCGGAGATCCAGGCGCTCGAGCCGATCGATCTGCTGCTCCTCTTTCTCGGTGAGAGGGAAGAATCTGGCACTGCTAGTGGAAACCCATCGGAGTGCGCGGATCCGGCATTTCAGCCGAACGAGCATAATCTCTACGTAGTGATCATCTAGTTATCGTTTAATCATTGTTGTGCAGACAATTTCTTTTGAAAGTTTTAATTATTATTTATGTCATTATTATTATTATTATTATTATTATTATTAAATTATTAAATTATTAAACTTAGGTGGTAATATTTTTTAACTTGCTGCTTAACTGTAATGAACATTTTAATTGATAAAAATGATTTACTGTGCTAAACTATTCCTGGCATATTCTACACCATCTTAATGTTACCAGTAGTCCCCACAGGAGCACTCGCCACGATCGAAGTGGTGAAACCGGTTGCTGTCCCGGACCGTGATCCTTCTTCCCTCGACGCCGCTAATGAACTTGATTGCCGAGTGGCAGTCGGAGCACACGCGCAAGTTCTTGACGATGCACAGCGGCGTCCTGGGTGGCGTGCTGGCAATCCCAAACGCCACCGCCAGCTTCTCGCTGTGATAGAACAGCACCTCGTCCTTCTCCTCCTCTTCCATGCTGTGGATCACCACCTTTCGATCCGGCTCGTACCCCTTGATCCTCATCTCCGACATCAGCCTCTGCAGCGTCTTGAAGATGCGAGACTTGTCCGGATGGATCGAGTCCCCGGCCACGAACTCGTGCACCTGTTTGTCGATCTCGATCCAGCTCCGCCCAGCCTGCTTCCTCACCCCGGCTTGCTCCATCCTCTTCCTCACCTTGGCAGCCTCGTCCCACTTCTTGAGCGCCGCGTAGAGGTTGGAGAGCATGATGTAGGCCGCGGCACACCTGGGCTCTCGCTGGAACGCCTCCTCCGCCGCTCGGGCAGCTCGATCTTCGTCCTTGTGCGTCACACAGGCGCAGAGCAGCGATGTCCAGAGCACAGCGTCGGCTGGAACCGGCATGGCTTGTATCAGCTCCTCGGCCTCTTCGAGCTTCCCAGACCGCCCAAGCATGTCGATCAAGCATCCAAAGTGTACCTCCCTGGGAGTGATGCCGAAGTCCTGCCTCATCTCCACGAAGTGGCTCACGGCGTCTTTGAACTTCCCCGAGTGGCTGCAACAGTAGAGGATGGTGACGAAGGTGATGTCGTTCGGCCTCACTCCTTCCAGCTTCATTTGCAGCGCTAGCCGGAGCGATTCCTTGACGAGGCCGTTCTGGGCGTAGCTGGTCATCATCGACGTCCACGAGACGACGTTCTTGGAGTCCATGTAGTCGAAGATCCGCCGAGCTTCTGCCAAGTTGCCGCACTTGCCATACATGTGAACCAGCGCGTTCTGGATGCCAGCGTCCAGTCCCAGAGCCGTGGAGTTCACCGTAGCGTGGATTTGCTTCCCTCGGTCCCCTGCTGCAGCACTGGCACAGGCGTCCAGCACGCTTATAAATGTGATCCTGTCCGGCTTCACGTCCATGCTGTCGAACAAGGCCAGAGCTTCTCTCGATCTTCCGTTCTGGCCGTAAGCTGCTAGCATCGCGTTCCAGGAGACCACATTCTTCTCCACCATGCTGTCAAACACGTCCCTGGCATCGTCGGGGCTTCCACACTTGCCATACATGTTGACGAGTGTGTTGCCAACAACGATGGAAGTGTCCAGCCCCGCGTAAACGATCCTGACGTGAAGAGCTTTGCCGAGCTCCAGAGCTCCCACGCTGGTGTAGGCGTCTAGAACACTGACGTAAGTTATCCTGTCCAGCTCCATCCCTTCCTGTTGCATGAGCTTGAAGAAGAGGAGGGCCTCGTCCGCAAGCTCGTTCTGGCAAAAGGCCGCGATCATCGTGCTCCAGCTGATAACGTTCTTTTCCGGCATCCTCGTAAACACGGCAAAGGCCTCCCCGATGCTTCCACACTTGCCATACATGTTGATGATGGCGTTGGCGGTGACCAAGTCCGAATCCATGCCGCACGAAGCAGCAGCCGAGTGGATCTCTCTCCCCAGCTTGAGAGCTTCCAAGCTGGAGCAAGCGTCTAGAGCAGCGACGAACGTCATGTTGGCCGGAAGCACGCCGCACTGATCCATCTCCTGGAAGAGCTGGATGGCCGATCTCGCGAGGCCACAGTTGACGTAGATGCTCAGCATGGAGTTCCAGCATATCAAGTCCCTCCTCTTCATCTTGTCAAAGATGGCCTTGGCCTCGGCAAAACTTCCACACCTCCCATACATGTTGACGAGAGTTGTCGCGAGAGATCCATCTACATCCAGCCGGAACTCGTTGATCTTGGAGTGGACGTCCCTGCCTCTAGCCAAGCCTTCCTCCTCGTCAAGCCCAGCACAAGCATCCAGCGTGCTGATGAAAGTCACTCTATCCGGCATCACCCCTCCCTGTCTTTCCAGCTCGTCGAAGATCTCCACAGCCTGCCTGTTATACCCATTCTGTGCGTATGCCGCGATCATGGCGTTCCAGGAGACGATGTCGCGCCTTCTCATTGCATCGAAGACGAGCTTCGCCTCTTCTAGCTCCTGGAACTTCCCATACATGCTGATCAAGCTATTGTTGATCATCACGTCCGTCGCAAACTCCGTGTGATCTGAGAGTAGCGAGTGAATACCTCTTCCTTGCGAGAGTGCCTTGGCGGCTCCACACGAATCGATGAACTTGAGCAGCGCTACTCGGTCAGGGAGCTCCCCTTCTTGGCACATCCGGTGGAAGAGCTGGATCGCCTCCACTCCACGCCCGCTCTGCACAAATCCAGCCATGAGCATCGTCCAAGAGAAGACATTCTTGTGCTGCATGGCATCAAACACGCGCTTAGCTTCCACCAAGCTGCCGCATTTGCCATACATGTCCACAAGGAGATTGGAGAGAAATCTAGGCCTGTCCAGCGTACCTGAATCCATCCACCGGTGGATCCTCCGGCCCTCCTCCAGCGCCTTGGCGCCCGCGCAGCGGCGAATGAGCTGCTCTAGATCTCCAGTGCCGCCGGCGGCGCCAGATTGCTCTAGCAGATCCACGGCCTCGCGGATCGCATCGACGCCGCCGCATTCCAGCACCGGGGACAACCACTTCGTGATTGCCCGCCTAACAGAGGAGGCCATAAACCCTAAATCATCAACGTGACGTGGCATTGTCATGACGTGTCACCACTTACATGAGTACACGTCAGTATAACTTCGACGGCTGCGATTGTGTACGGGAAATGGACGGGCAAGATTTGGTGGCACTGACAATTCGAAATCTTAGCGATGGGCGGGAGGAGCAGTGGCGCGCGCTAGGCTAGGGCTCCAGCGCGGGCGGAAGAGAGGGGAGCTCCCGCGGCGATGGATCCTTGTGCTTGGTAGCTGGAGAAAGTTTTCTTTCTACCGGCCGGAGGCTGTGGCGCTTGGAGGTAGGGTTTGCAGGCAGCGGCGATGACTGCTGCTGCTAGTATCATTCCCAGCGACAATGACGATTTCGTGGACGCCATCGTGCTCAGCTCCTCCGATGACGACGACGACGCTAGCGGGAAAGTCTTCTCTCCTCCAGCCGAGCAGCGGAGCGTCGCAACGCGGGTTAAATCCAGGAAGAGGAAACTTGCTACCCCGGCCGTCACCGCTTCCGCTGCTACTGTGTCACCCGAGAGGCCCCAACAGCCATCCAAGCCCAGGAAGCTTAAACGAATCTCTCTGGAGGATGTGAATCGAAGAGCCATGAAAGACATACAAAACGAGCTCCGGGATCCATCCCCAGAAGGCATGGGGTCGAGGGAAGAAACTCCAGCCTCTATGGCCAAGGTTGGCACAGGTAGTGGGAGGTCTAGAAAAAAATCTGGGCGTCGACGAGCAAGTGCCACTTCTTCTGGCACCGTGAAGGAAGAAGATGTTGCTGCGAAGGAAGACCCATGTCCACAACGTCCCAGTGGTGACTGCATTGTGGTTTTGGATTCGTCGGAAGAGGATCAATTGAGTCCTTCGGCAGTGGTGCGTGAAGAAGATATTGGAAAGAAGGTTGACAAGAAGGCTGGAAAGTCTGTCCAACGCAAGGATCCTGGACCAAACCCCAAGCCCAAGCCCAAGCCCAGGAAGAGTTTCGGCCCAAAGAAGCAACCACTTCCATCACCTCCTTCACCGGACGATGACGACTTTGCTCAAGAACCTATCCTTGTGGAGTCCGACGACGATGACGAGGAGGACTCTCCTTCCGCGGCTCTCGTTGCGTGTCCCAGAAAGGGTCATAAGCTCGCTGTCAAGGCCCACTTTGTTGGCAAGCCAATTCCTGCTGCTCGAGCTAAGAGGCAGTGGCCTAATCGGTATGACAAGGTAAAGGCTTTTAAAGTGGTTGCATCTTTGTCTGACCTGCTAGACGCAGCAGAGTGCAGGAGCCGGCTCTCAAAAATGCGTGGAACATTACGAGGAAGCTGTGGTCGACGGGAAGCATTACAAAGTTGGCGATTGCGTTGCTTTAGAGGTACAGTCTTTCATTTGCAGCTTCTTTGTAATCAACCAGTTACAGGGTGACGACACGGAGTACCTTGGGAAGGTCCTTGAGTTTTTCAAAACAGCTAACCAGGAAAACTGGTTTCGGGTTCAATGGTTTTTCCGATTTTCTGATACGGTATGTTTACGTCTCTGCGTATACCCGGATTGTAAATGTTCTCTGCAGGCCATAGGAGATCTCGACGATGTTCACCTTGACAATAAAAGGGTGTTTCTGTCAGACGATGAGGATGACAACATGATAGAGTGTATCATTAAAAAAGTAAAAGTGTCATACGCGCCGGTTATGGTAAGCCTTTACGAGATGCTTGACCGCTGCTAATTGAAGCTTTTACAGGATGCATTTTCGAAAAAAAAGATCAAACAAAATTGCGATTACTATTTTGACATGGGTTATACTGGTGACTTCTCGACGTTTTACAAGGTGCCCTCAGGTAATGTTTTTGTTTTGTCTACGTAAACTGGCAACCTCAGATAGCGATGCTCTTGAAGAAGCGAGTTCCAGTTTTCAGACTGCTGTAACTAGATGCAGCGATACTATCAAGCCGGAATTGATATTGCTGGATTTGTACTGCGGTTGTGGGGCCATGTCAACGGGGCTGTCTATGGGAGCGGCATTGGGAGGTGTCAAGCTTGTAACTGTAAGTCTAGTGGATTGTATCGCGACTTCTGGTAATATCTGTTTGTGCATGTAGAAATGGGCCGTAGATTACAATGAACACGCATGCAACAGCATGAAGTATAATCATCCAGAAACCGAGGTGCATTTTACTGAAAATGAAGGTAATTACTTCACTCAGTTTTCTTCCTTGTATAGGTCCGCAACGAGGACGCCGAATGTTTTCTCCTTTTACTGAAAGAGTGGCAAAAGCTCTGTACGAAATACGAAGGGCATGTAGCGGATGACAATTCAAACGCGAGTAGCCCTGATAGCACCACGCTTGGCGCAGATGAATATGCCGCTGATGAATACGAAGTTCAGCAGGTAGTTGATATTCGCATGGCAGGGATTCAGAAGCCAAAAAAGCCAGACACCTCGTCCAAAATGCCTGAGAAGCCAATCAAAAGACGACTTGAGTTCAAGGTGGGCAAAGGTTTTCTGTCGGATGTAACGAACACTTCGTCATGCAGGTACGCTGGAAAGGCTATACTAGTGATCACGATACCTGGGAACCTGTAGATCACCTTGAGTAAGTAGTATGTTTTTTCGGTGGCGCACTATCATAGGCCGCTTCTTGCAGCTCCTGCCAAGAACGTATTCGTGACTTTGTACTGGAAGGAAGGAGACGTCGTATCTTGCCTTTGCCGGTAAAGTGGATATTTTATCGCTTGCAGTTTGTAAGGTTTTGTCACGACCAGGGAGACGTTGACATGGTGTGCGGAGGCCCTCCTTGCCAAGGGGCCAGTGGATACAATCGTTTTCGAAACACTGAGGCTCCTCTTACTTGCCCTCGTAATCGTCAGATGGTTATTTTCATGGACATCGTAGGTTTCTTGAGGCCGAAGTTCGTTTTGATGGAGAACGTTGTCGATATATTGAAATTTCAGCAAGGCCTTCTTGGCAGGTATGCCATGTTCCGCCTAGTGGATATGCGTTACCAGGTTCGTTTTCCTTTGTTTTCTTGTGGGGCTTGTTAATTCTTTGATTCTCCAGGCAAAACTTGGTATGATGGCTGCTGGGTCGTATGGACTACCACAGTTTAGGATGCGTGTGTTTCTCTGGGGCGCGGCTCCGTCGGAAGTATGCTTTACTTTATCTAGTTTTGCGGGTTGATAACGTCTTTTCACAGATGCTACCAGCATTTCCTCTTCCAACGCACGATGCAATTTACAAAGGAAATGTTCCCAACCAATTTTCAGTAAGGGGCCTTGGCTTGTTGTTGAAACACCTTTTTTACTAATGTGACGTGGTTGTGCAGCGGAACGTTGTAAAGCACATTGGCGAGCGGCAACTTGAGAAAGCACTGTTTCTAGGAGATTCCATATCTGATCTGCCTCCTGTAAGTCTTTGTCAAAAACTTCTACGTTTTCTGAAAGTCTTTCTTGCTCCAGGTGAAAAATTGTGAGACAAGGGACGAGATCCCCTATAGAGACGGGCCGAAAACCGAATTCCAAAAACGTATTAGAAGCGCCAGAGATGGTGAGGCTCTATTTCTGAAACTTGCAACAAACGTTTGCTACTTCGAGATTTTGCAGTATTTTACGGTCGGGGACCCCGGGCGATGAATTCAACGGTGCATGATCACCGGCCATTACGACTAAATGACGACGATTACCAACGAGCTTGTAGAATACCAAAACGGAAGGTAATTGATTCGTAATTTCAATTGCTACTTGCTAGACAAATGCGCTGTTCAGGGAGCCAATTTTCGAGATTTAGGTGGACTGAAAATTAAGGACGACAATTCAGTAACGCTGGATTTGACGGTGGAAAGAGAGTATTTGCCGTCTGGAAAACCACTGGTAATTTTAAGTCTGATATTTGCTCTCACCTCTCGTTTCCTTTCCTAGATACCGGACTATGCGATCTCTTTCATTAAAGGGAGATCACTCAAGTAAGTCTTGCAGTGTGTTTGAAACCATACCAATATTTTGAAAACTCTAGGCCATTTGCGAGGATGTGGTGGGACGAGACTGTACCGACAGTAATCACACGAGCTGAGCCGCACAACCATGTGAGCTTTATAAAAAGTTTAGTCTCCTCAATCGAAATGCGCGTGCTTTTCCAGAGAATGTTGCACCCGACGCAGGATAGAGTGCTAACAGTCCGGGAGAACGCTCGCCTGCAAGGCTTTCCCGACTGGTATAAGCTCACAGGAAGTGTAAAGGAGAGGTAAGTGTGATTTTCTCTTGCGGGATCAGTATCACTCTCTTCGACCACAGGTACATCCAAGTTGGAAACGCAGTCGCTGTGCCGGTTGCTCGAGCGCTTGGCTTCTCGCTTGCCTTGACCACGCAACGCCTGTGCAAGGAACCGCGGCTTGAGCTCCCAGCCGGCTTCCCGTGCTTTGAATCGCAAGAGTAAGATCACGGCGAAGAAGAGAACCTGACCCAGGAAAATCTCAAAAGGCAAACACGCTAACGAATTTCTCATTTATTCATTTGGATTAGCTCTATGCACAACAAGCTAGAGCTTCTAGTTACTGTTACCGGTACCATGGTGGCCCCCGTGGTACCCAGCAGTGGTATCGTGACCATGTGACCTTCATGACCGTGCCAGCCGTCTACATTGCCAGTAGTAGAATCGTGACCGTAGCCATGCCAGCCGTCTACGTTACAATCGACATCCATGGCCACCGTGACCATGCCAGTACCAACGTTGGCAGTAGCACAATCGTGAACATTGGGAGCCATCTATGGTACCAGTGGTAGCCACGTTGGCAGTAGCACGATTGTGACCATGACATCCATGGCCACCGTGACCATGCCAGCCATCCACGGTACCAGTTGTAACACCGTTGACCATGACATCCATGACCATGCCATCTACAGTGCCAGTGGTAAAGTCGTGATCAATCGTGACCACCACTGTGGCCATGCCAGCCATCTACGTTGCCCAGTAGTAGAATCGTGACTGGTGACCCCGTGACCACCATGGCCATGCCAGCCAGTTGTAGTATCGTTACCTTGATCCTAGTATCATCACCCATGGTGACACCCGTGATCATGCCAGCCAGTTGTACTATCATCACCATGATCCACATTACCAACACTAGTAGTCGTGTCGTGACCGTGGTAACCCCAGCCTCCATGGTGATAGTGATCAGAGGGATTAAGCTTGTCACCATCTTCCTTTTCCTTGAGCACTCGAGCAAGTGTGGGAGTCGAACTAGTGATCAAGAGGATTCCAAAGAGCGCCAAACTTATGGAGTGATCCCAACGACGAGAAGCCATTGCTACGAAGAGAAGACAGATGGATGGGTGAACGATGGGTTTGAGGCAAAGGAATGCGAGGATCTTTATATATTCTCATGGAAACTTGACGAAAATCGAGCCTTTCTTCCAAATAGAGAGTTCCGTGGTACAATGGTGGTGGTGATCGTGCACAAAACCACAACTCCATGACTTGGATTTGAAGACGCTTAACTTAGATCCAACGGCCGAAGCTCTTATTTAGAGACAAGACAGAGATGCCCACCAGGCTACGTGGCGAGAGTTGACTTAATTGACCATAGTTGACCAAACCTTTTCCCGAGATGGAAATCGACCATCACCCCTCGCTGGAAAGTTCCAGGGCCCTTTAAAACCCCGAGACGCTCCACACTCTTCTCTCTAGCACCAGCCATGGCTTCCTTCTCCTTCGCGCGAATGGGGCTAGCCTTCCTTCTTCTAGTCTTGCTCGTTAGCTCCTCCATCTCCACGCTCGTCAAAGAGGAGAGCTCCAACTCCAAGAGCGCTAGTAGCGCCACCACCGCTACTCGCGAGGAGGCGCGGGACGAGCATGGTGGCAAGACCACCACGCAGTGGGGTGGCGGCGGGTGTGGACATCACGGATGTGGCGGCGGTGGTGGATGGGGTGGTCACGGTGGTGGCGGAGGGTGGGGTGGCGGCCGTGGTGGTGGCGGATGGGGCGGCCACGGCGGCGGCCGTGGCGGTGGTGGCGGTGGCTGGGGAGGAGGCGGCGGTGGCGGTGGCGGTGGTCACCATGGTCATGCCGGCGGTAAGAATGGTAACAACTAGAATCCATAGTTATATGGTTCACTGAAAACACTGTAAATTTTGTTGCTCCTTCCTTTTACCTTTTACATGGATTTTCCTTTTTTTCGCAAATAGTGTAGATTTTGTTGCTCGTTTGCTTTCACCTTTTAGACTTTTCTCTCTCCCCTTTTCTCTTTTTCGCAAATTTTTTAAAATCGGACGGCTGAGATTGCGACACGGTTCGTACTTGGCGCCAAAAAAATATCTCGCTCCTCCACTGTAGCCAGTGAAGTGTGGTGTGGTGTGAGTTTCCCAGGCTAGGGTTTATGGCCGGGAGCTTCCGGGCTATGGCGCATCGCGATCGCGATCTCGTCCCGGCGCGGGTCTAGGCCTGTGAGGTAAGCCGATGGATGTGGATGTGGAATTAGACAGCGACAATAGCAGCAGCTTGGGGAGCTATGGCGACGCCGATGCTGGATTCCAATTCGAGGCACACAACACCACGGCTCCAAATCTATCGTTCTTTGGATTCGACGCGTCGGTGTTCCAGCGCCTGGAAATGCTCGGGCCTTGCAGTGTGGTTGTCACGGATGCGCTGGATGTCGATTTCCCGATAATCTACGTGAACAACATTTTCGAGTTTATCACTGGTTACAAAGCCGAGGAAGTTCTTGGAAGAAACTGGTAAGCTTTTCTCGATTTTTCTTCGTCTCGTGCTCGAAAGAAAACGTTTTGGACTCTTGGCAGCCGGTTTCTCCAGTTTAGAGGTCCTTTCGCGCAAAGAAGGCATCCTCTCGTCGACTCCGCGACTGTGACCGAGATAAGGCGATGCATGAGAGAAGGCATCGAATTCTGGGGGGAGCTTCTCAACTTCCGGAAAGATGGAACCCCGCTGATGAACAAGCTCTGCCTCAAACCGATACGTGGGGAAGATGGAAGGATCACTCACATCATCGGGATACAATCCTTCTCGGAAGTAAAGCTCGACCTCGGCCCGCTTCCGCCACCTCTCTGGAGAAACCAGTCCTCGCAACATTGGCTCGTAAGAAGGCATTTGCTCGACGATGGCTACTCGTACGCCTCGTCGCCAGTCGGCCCGGGACAGTCTTCCAAAGACAGGTGTGGGATCTTGAGACTCAGCGACGAGGTCCTGGTACAGAAAATCCTCGCGCAGCTCACTCCAAGGGACGTCTCCTCGGTCGCTCTGGTGTGCCGGCGATTCAACGAGATGACCAAGAACACGGACTTGTGGAGGCTGGTTTGCCGCAACGCCTGGGGACTAGAAACAACCGCGGTGCTCGAGCGAGTCCACAATCCAAGAAGCATAGACTGGGGAATGCTGGCCAGGGAGCTGACGACGCTGGAAGCCGCAGCGTGGAGGAAGCTCAAAGTTGGCGGCGCGGTGGAGCCATCGCGGTGTAACTTCAGCGCTTGCGCGGTCGGGAACAAGGTGGTGCTGTTCGGAGGCGAAGGCGTCAACATGCAGCCGATGAACGACACCTTCGTGCTCGACTTGAGCGCTGCTTGTCCCGAGTGGCGGCACGTCGACGTTGGCTCGGCTCCTCCGGGGAGATGGGGACACACTCTCTCGTGCCTCAATGGATCCTGGCTGGTGGTCTTCGGCGGATGCGGCAGGCAGGGACTGCTCAATGATGTGTTCGTGCTCGACTTGGACGCCAAGCAGCCGAGCTGGAGAGAAGTAGCCGGAGTCGGGCCCCCGGTTCCTCGTTCGTGGCACAGCTCGTGTACGCTGGATGGCACGCAGCTGGTCGTGTATGGCGGATGTGCCGACTCGGGGGTGCTGCTCAGCGACACTTACATGCTCGACATCTCGAAAGAGAAGCCGATGTGGAGGGAGATCCCGGTGGCTTGGACGCCACCATCGCGGCTCGGACACTCTCTCAGTGCCTACGGTGGTCGGAAGATCCTTCTCTTCGGTGGTCTGGCCAAGAGCGGGCCTCTGAGGTTCCGCTCCAGCGACGCTTTCACGATCGATCTGGGAGAGGAGGAGCCGACTTGGAAGTACGTGACAGGGAGCACTCTACCAGGTGGAGCAAACATCGGAGGAACCACGCCGCCGCCGCGGCTGGATCACGTCGCAGTGACTCTTCCCGGTGGCAGGATCCTCATCTTTGGTGGATCCATCGCGGGGCTCCACTCGGCGTCGCAGATCTATCTGCTGGATCCCAGCGAGGAGAAGCCGACCTGGAGGATGCTCAACGTTCCAGGACAGAAGCCAAAGTTTGCGTGGGGGCATAGCACCTGCTTCGTCGGAGGGACGAGAGCGGTGGTTCTTGGCGGGCACACTGGCGAGGACTGGATTCTCAACGAGCTCCACGAATTGTCGCTGTCGTCGACCTCGCAGTGGATCCGGCGATTGCAGTGAAAGATCTTCGATCAACCGCGAAATCTCTCGTGTAAATTTTTCCTATTGTCTATACTATTGGTCGGATTTTAGGGTTCTTCGATCCGTGGCGCGATCCATCGCCGCGAGGCGCGTGCCCGCCACATGGAATCTCTCACGGCTAAGCACGGCGCTAAGCTAATCCGGAGCGATTTGGGCAACGAGTGGAGCGGAGGGGAGGATCATCGCAGCTATGGCGGTGTTGAGCGGCGGCTCGCTACTCTTGGTGCTTCCTCCTCGCGGGCTGGGGCGATGTCCACGGCGGGGGATTCAATGCAGGTATGGCGGCAGCGGGAATGTGGGGCAGGGGATTGATCGTGCCGATCGCCAAGAACGCCAAGAACACAACAAGGATTTGTTCTCAAATGGACGATGCTGGTGGTCGATCGTCTCGTCGGCCGCGACCGCTGCTCCCGTGCTCTTCCTTCCAGAGGTAAGAATTCCTTGGAAGTTCTCGAGAGATTAGTCTTCCATCTTTGTTCTTGGTTCGTTCTAACTTCGAGAACTTTTTTGCTTCCTAGGCTGCTTTGGCTGTGGATGGACAATTTGGCATCCTGGAAGGACGCTCTTTCGCTCTGCTTCACCCGATCGTCATGGGAGGATTGTTTGCCTACACGATCTGGGCCGGCTACTTGGGATGGCAATGGAGACAAGTGAGAACCATCCAAGCGGAGGTCACGGAGCTCAAGAAGCAAGTCAAACCTCGAGAGGAGAACTCTCCGCCCTCGGAGATCGAGCGAAAGATCGAGAAACTCACCGAGGTACGTAACAGTGACATCAAGCCTTGGATTTCTATGGTTGTCGCTTTTTTTCTTTCTGACTTGGTTGGTTTCTTGTTGTTGCTTTCCAATTCCAGGTAAGGAAAGAACTCGTCAAGGGTGGATTTCGCGACAGGCATTTCAACGCTGGATCCATCCTCCTGGGATTTGGAGTGACCGAAGCCGTGGGTGGCTGCGTCAATACGTGGTTTCGCACTGGGAAGCTCTTCCCGGGGCCTCATTTGTTTAGCGGCGCTGGTAAGCTTCTCTCGTCTAAGCACACTGCCATTTGATTGATGGATTTTCCTTCCTCGTTTTCTCTTCGCAGCGATCACTGTGCTGTGGGCTCTCGCCGCCTCGCTCGTCCCGGCGATGCAAAAGGGCAACGATACCGCCAGAAATCTTCACATCGCCCTCAACGTTGCAAATCTCCTCCTCTTTGTGTCGCAAATCCCCACAGGACTCGAGATCGTCGCCAAAGTTTTCGAGTTTACAACGTGGCCTTAAAAGGTGGCGGACGTGGTCCCTTGTACGACAAGAATATGCACTCACATTCTCTTGTACGAGATGAATATTCCCCCATTGCTAGATCCTTCGAATCTTCCCTGGTTGGACTGGCACCGTCACTCTTTTCTTTTACGAGCACATTGTACGGCAAAGCTAGACGCAGTTCAACTGTTTGGCGATGGTCTTCTCGACAAACTCTTCCACCGACACTCCCGCATCGGGCAATCCGGGCCGTCGATCCAGCTTTCCACGCTTTAGATGCTCCCAAAAAGAATTTCCTGGATTAAAGTGGGCGCAGTGCTGTGCTGCACAGCCTGGACGGAGATTCAACCATTTAAATCAGAATATTCGCCGCTTGATGCCTTGAGTTTTACCCAACCATAGGATTCTGGTAAAATTTATGGAATGCTGTCCGACTGCATGGTTGGTGGAGAGGCAATTGTTCGCTGGCGGACGCCACGCCACTTTTTACAAACCGGTGTGGAGTAAATGTGTTTTTTTTCTTGAATCCGGTCCTGGCACGAAGCGTTGCAGAGGATTCATGTGGACTGTAAGAGCCGCAAGGTGAAAATTTTGGAGCAAGTTGGGGACGAGATTTTTACCGCGTGGGGATGAAATTTTTTGGTGTTTTTGCCGCGAAACAGAAAGAGTTGCTTACGCGCCACAATTTTTACATTTCTTACTTAACGATATTAACAGCCGTCCAGGCTGGCAGGATCTAGTCCGTCGGATGGGAGTAAGCGGCCAGCTGGACGAAAGCGTGTGCGTGGGTTTGACGGCTATGATTTGGCCACCAGAGCAGATGCATCGATCTTGACCCTTGGCTTGAAACGAAAGGTCCCCCGCACCAGCCGGAATCGAACCTTCACGGCCGGCAACGGCTGCGATGGGCCCACGTGGCAGATCGGACAGACGGCAACTGTTAATGAGACGGAGCTAGAGACGTCAAGTATAGAGGTAGTATAGGCGCGCCATCGACGAGCAAGGCAGGGCAAGGTGGAGCACCTCACGCATAGATTTCGATAGATCGGCAGTACTCAGCCATGGATTGGCGATTGTTCTTGCTTCTGTGGATGATCACGACTCCAGCATTGCGCGCGGCGCCAGCAATCCCATCGCGCGCCGTGCACGATCGCGAGATTTCGTCGCGGAATACGCACAAGAAGCAGGCCAGCCCAGATCTAGGCCCAAGATCGCCGTTGAATCGTCCGCGAGCAGGTCCTAGCACGGTAATCTCGTCCTCCATTCCACATTCCTCCTCCTCCGGGGATTCTTTGCCCAAAATCTCGTCCAAGGGTTCCAGCTCCAGCTCCGTCCTGGCGGCGCTCATGGAATCCCAGTACACGGAGCTCATGGAGCTCATGGGGCACGCAGGGATGCTGGAGCCGCTGGAGAAAGTCGTAGGGAAGGGCAGCATCACAATCTTCGCTCCCAGGAACGCTTACATGGAGCAACAGGTGGACAGCGAATTCAAGCATTTCCTCCTCGAGCCAGGGAACATCAAGCACTTGCGCCAGGTTCTCAAGCACCACATCGTCCCCGGGAAGATAATGTCGGAAGATTGGAGCAACCGGACGGTGAGAACGCTCTCCACGGAGACCGTGCGCATCCATTCCCACCGCGGGATCAACCGGGTGGAGCTATCCGAGGTGACCAGCCCCAATGATATCAACAAGAAGGATGGAGTCGTCCACGGGGTGAATGGATTGCTGGTGCCCAGATCGGTCCAGGAGGCGTTCTCGGTGAAGAAGCTGGGCAGCAGCGCGAATGCACTACTGCCACAGGCATCGCCAGAGTTTGATCCACTGGGGGCGAGTCTGGCGGAGATGAGCAAGGAGTTCCAGGATTTCCTCGAGGCCGCCGAGTCGCCACTACCACTCGAGTTTGCTTACGCCCCCGAGGTCGCCCCGGCCCCAGCCCCGGGACCATCTTCCGGCAAGCACCGGGTCTACACTTGGGAAGACGTGGACGACTTCGTATCGACATTGGCGAATTTTGGGGGTTACAACGAGATGGCGGAGCTGCTGGTGAATTTGACATCGTTCGCCTGGGACATGGCCAAGCTGGTGAACGAGGGGCACAGATTGACGCTCCTGGCACCCAACGATCATGCCATGGACCATCTCACCACCGAGCAGCTCAACGCCCCCGGGGGATTGGAGGCGATTCTCATGTACCATGTCCTCACGGAGTACCAGACCGAGGAGAGTCTCTACAACGCGGTGAGAAGGTTTGAGAAGGTGAAGTTCCTCACGCTATGGCAGCCGCATACGATCCACGCCAAGGAAACAGATGGAACTGTCCAGTTTGGTGAGGGGGAAAGTGGCGCGCTACTTTACGATCACGATATCTTCACAGATGGCCACATCTCCATACAAGGCATCAGCAAAGTTCTGACGATACCACCAGCAGAGACCAAGGATCCCAAGGAGGTTGTACGCGGTGCTGGCAGCCCGAAGAGCAAGCGTGGGAGAGGGCTGTTTGAGACGAGATCAAAACAAAGCGGTAAGTTCTAAAAGCTTTCCTGTGAACTTTCGATGTGGAGTTTTGATTTTATTTTCGGTCTGGTGGCTGCAGGATTTGGCATCACGCAAAGCATTCGCCAGTTGCTACATTTTTAGTCAGGGGACCTGGGGTAAGGTAAGTTGGTGGTTAGCTCTTTTTGACAATGCAGCATTTCAACTTTAATCACTTCGCTGGGCTTCTTTGCAGGACACAACAGCAACTGGTCCGCAAATTTTAGTGGAGAATCTCCAATTAAATGCATTGGTTGGTAGTACGTGTCATCCTTGAGCGGGGGGAGTGAGCAACATCATCAAGGTCACTTCGTTTTGGAATCTGGAGTTCTCGAGCTCGTCCAGCAGAGTTGGAACCGGGGTTGGATTTTGCTCTTCTCAAGGTTGCAGTTGCAGTTTACAATGATCTTGCAATTCTTCCGATCGACCGACGCTGCGAAGACACAGATGGTGGTGATCACTCCTTTGAAGTCCGCAGGCTCCTCTTCTCACTACTCAAGTGATGGTTCATCGCAAATGTAATTACAGGTGCACAAGCGCTAGGCCGCTTCATATTTTTTTAGAGGGCTGTAGAAGAGCAGGCAGGAGTTACTCCTCAGCGATTCTTCCCCGGGATTTGCAGCAGGAGAAGAAGAAAAAGAACCAGGAAAACATAAAAAGAAGCAGGGAAAGATCTGGAGAAAGATGGTGGATCGGCACTCTGGGAAAAAAAAAAAAAAAAAAAAAAGGATGGACAGTGGACAGACATCACTCTGGCATAAGCGGAAGAGTTCCTTTGGTAGCATTCTCAGGAACTCAAGCAGCAGCAGCAGGACGCGTGTGTAGAAGATGCTATCTATCTTCATGGATAGACAGGAGAAACGCTGGGGGTATGCCACAAAATAAGACTGGATTCCTGCTCTCGGTATCCTGTATTTTTTCGAGGCTCAAGTTGTAAAAAGTTTGCCAAGAGGAGAGAGCGTTGCTTGCTACTCCCCCTTTCTTGGAGAAAAAAAAACTCTCTCTCTCAGTGGCCAGTGGTTTGTGAATAATCTCATTGCGTTTTAGTTGCTCTCTCTGGATTTGCTTTTACTCTCCTCGACTAACGCGGTTCTAACGCTCTGCAAAGCTCTCTGAGCTTATGCGATTGTTTTTGTTGTGGTGTTTTCTTCCAGGCATGATGATGCGATGGAAAAGTATCTGAAAATGTACGCGCTAGCTACCAGACTGTGACTGCGAGAGCAAGAACTTAAATTCGAAGGCACTGCTGGTGCTGCTCTTGCTGGTGAGATGTCAAAGAGCTCGAGTTTTGTGTTGTCCTCTTCTTTTATGGAGGACGCGAGACGAGGAGGTAGGCCATTTCTTTCGAGCTACTTCGAACTCACTACACTTAGCATTGTTGCCACGATTCCTGGTGATCAAGGAGAGGAGGCCCACAGCTGGAGCTACGTCTTAACTTCCACTCTTGTCGCGGTAAGCGCACCATTTGTCTACGCTAACTAGTTCTTCTCGATCCGACTTCTCATATACGTTTTTTTCTTTTGTTGGTGGATGGTAGGAAAGCGAGAAACTTTCACGAGTTTTTCTTCTTTTCTTCGCTGAGGGAGAAGCGAGATTTTTGCCATAGGAAGCATGCGGTGCTTTCCAGGGTGTTGCTGTTTTCTTTTCGGAAGGGGGGTCCCTCCTCGCTTGTTACGCACACGTCTTTGTTTAGAATCAAAACAGTGAAGCCAGCCGATCGAAAGCGAATCCGAGGAGGCATCGCTCCCATCAACGACGATCGATCGTGCAGTGGTGAGCACTACATACTACAAAAGCTGGACAGATTCGTTTGGTAAGCTTTGAAGTTTTTGAACAGTTCAAAGCGTTTTGGTTAGGACTCCTTTTTTCAATGCAGCACTGCCGCACTAATCCCGCTGGCAGATCACAAAACAAAGTGCAACTTGGTAAAGCTTCGTCTTTTTTTTTATCCTGGTGTCTTCACTCTCCCTTTGCGATTTTAATAAGGGTGTTTGTTGCACAGGCTGGTTGGCAAGCTGTTTGCGTCTGGCTGGTTCTTGGACACATCTGGGAAAATGGAAGCTACTGCCTTAACTCAGGTATTGTTTTTCTTCCTAAGCTTCAGATTAGTCCACTGGAGGAAAGAGCTACAGGAAGTTCTGGACCACCACGACACATAAACTACCATTTGTGGATGGTGAAATCTAGAATTTCTTAAGCTTTAGATCTAGTGGTGGTTGCGGGCTTGAGTGTAGGCTGGTTGACTGTCTATGCATTTTGGTAAAGTTTTCAGAGAGTTGTATGCCTCCCTCGCTCTTTGCTTTCTCGGCCCACCTAGTCCCACTATATGCTTCTGTCTGACAACTGAGCTCACGCAATTGACATTCTCTCGCTTCGCTCGCTCGCTCGCAAATTTCTCCATCCTAGCGTTCGGCTATAGATTGCAACAGCACACTAGCGTGATTTCGATTGATTGACTGATTTGTGTCTCAACACTAAAGTAAAAGGAAAATGATTTTGTTGCTGCATGACAAGTGGAATCATTTTCGAGAGAGCAATCCACACAACCCGTGCACAATCTGTGATGCTGGTACGACCATTTCGCTTTTCTTTGTTTTTTATATTCCCGTGACATCTCGACTCATCGAGAGCTCGCTTTTTGTGCAGAGGCTGCACAGACAGAAGATGATCAGTGTAAGAGAAGGTTAAGTTATATATCAGTCATGCAACGTGAATGCATTGTCGTGGCAATGCTCGAGGATGATAGCGATCGATTGGAGCACACCTGTCATTCATCCATTATCAATACATCACCATAAAACCATCAGACGAAACAAATCAGACAGCGAGGAGTTTATGCCGCCTGATCTAAGGTCTGATGATCATCCTTTTCGCAAACTTATGGTGCCTCACATGCTCATGGTCAGCCATTTGAAGGCGTCGATAAAGAGGGAGAGAATAAACAAAGACTTTCCGGCACGACAGACCAGCTCTTCCATTAAACTTCTGGCTACTGTTATTACGTCGACCAGAGCTTGTTCAAACGAGACATCTTTCAACCAGGTCGTGCCGGACAGCCAAGCCGGATCGACCGACTCAAATTCCCTCAAAAGAATCGTGCTACACTACGAAAAGAAAAACCAAAAAGAGAACTTGGACCCGAGACCGGACCAGCTCAACCCACCGAAGAAAACTCTGGGAAAAAGCCAGCAGCCGGCTGTGCAAGGAATAATTTTGTACACTACACACCATGGGAGCTGACTTGCTGTTCATCCGTTCGCCCCGTCCACCGAGTTGATGACAAGCTTAACAAACAAGTTCGTCGTCATCGCTCCCTTGACAGGTAAAACTCGTTTTGTTTTTGTTCTTTCTCTCCACTGTGCTCGTTTTGTTTGCAGCAAGAGCTCATCTCACCGGACGCACTCGAAACCCCGGCAAATTCCCAGCCAGATGACAAACAAAAGAATGCACACCGCTACGTCCACCAGCAGCACCAACTTGACAGTCCTCCACCATTTGTTCTCGGCCTCCCGGATGCTAAAGCTCTTGCTGTGGGGATACAAGTCGCCGGCCTCGTTGTTCCTCGCATTGCCAGCCGGAGCGGTCACATTAAAGCTGCTGTTACCCGGTTGATCCACCACCACCTCGATCCGGCCACCCCGATCATCGCCACCATCCTCGTCGTCACCTCCGATACCATTCGCTAGCAAATGCTGGACTTGGATGGGCTCCTCCTGCTGCTGCTGGTGAAGGTTTCCATTCATCCTCTTGTGCCGTGACGAGCGGACAGCTCGGCTACCCGACCTCCCCATCTCGGGCCCGCCGTCGGACCGCTCGCTACCGCTGTACAACGGGTCGGTCATCGCGCTGCCCTCATCCGCGCGGTATGGTACGGAGGGCGCCGCTGGTGGTACGGACGAGCCGCGCGGACTGGCCTGAGCTCTCAAGCTATCGATCTCCTTCTGCGGCACTCCAATGAGGGGCAGCGTGAGAACCTTGATGGTGGCGCCGAATTCCTTGTTGATGGCCGACGCGAAGGACTCCAGTCCCTCGCCGTCGCTGCGGAGGCCCCGCGAGTCGAGAAACGCGACGAATTCGTCACGCATGGCTTCCAGGAACGCGAAAGCGTCGCTCTTGCCCAGCGCCTCGTCCACGATGCAGCAGTACGTGAAGGCGCCCTCCATGAGGCACGAGAAGATCCGGCGCTTGATGGTGAGCGTGAATCGGCTGTGGAGTGGCGGCATCTGCTCGAGGCATTCCACGACGACGGGCGCGAGGTCGCGCGAGGAGGAGCGGTTCTTGTACTCCGCGAGCGCCCGCCCGCCCGATCGCGAGACCGAGGCGTAGTAGACGAGCACCGGCAAGAGACCCATCTAGCAGATCATCCGAGATTGGGGGAATGTGCGACTTGGGTCGGCGGATCGAGGGATTTGGCGACGTGGGTCGCAACGAATCGATCCTATCTCGCGAGCCCAGATGGGAATTCGTAGAGTGGCCCCCTGTTCTAGCTTCCCTGCCTGTTCGAGTAAGAACTAGATCTTGATTGATTGATTGATTGGCGATGGGTGTGTGTGTGTGTGTGTGTGTGTGTCTTTCCTTTTCGCTCCTTTTCACCTTCCCAGCTCGCAATCCTCTACCTAATTTTCCAACCCCTAGAAAGAGAGACGATCTGCAAAGCCTGCGGTGGAGAAATTTTGCTGCTCGCGAGTCCACCCTATAAATCCACGCATCCAAATCCACATTTGAGCTCTCCTCGCCCTTTGTGTCAAATTCCCATCGCGAGTAGTGACGCTTTACTTACATGAGAGAGAGCCGAGCCGAGCCCAAAGACGCGGTTTCGGAGCATCTCGCGCGTAATCCACATTGACGGCCAAAGGGATTTTCACCCGTGCGCGTATGTGTGTGTGTATGTGTTTTTTGTGGGCTCGTCAATCTCTAGCTTTTGAAAAGTCCAGTCTATCAATAGCTATTCTATCAAACACCGCATAGACAAAACCAAGACTAGCTGGCAAACATGTGAAACTTCTACCGCGGCTTTGCCCTAAACTAAGCAACATGGAGGCCGAATATTCGCACAAACTTGGGAAGAGCGGCTTGTTCGATCACTCCGGTGGATCTGTGAGGTTTTCGATATTCCTCAGCGTCTCCAGTTCTGGGATAGTGGCCAGAGGAATATGGCTTTGATCTTCTCGCTCACGCAACGTGAATGTGCGTTCCAGACGCTCGTCGCTGCCCTCATGGCTTGTGCCGAGCAGAAAGAATTATCACAAGAAAGGCCGACGCTCTCCAGGAAGTCCACTTCGGAGTCTGTGAAGTGTGGCTTTCTCTCGGACAAGGTGGTGGCAAATTCCCTGGTAGACCCGCTGCGAAAGTATGGTGGAAGCTCGAAAAGTTTTCGACAAGATGCCGAGCTGAGAAGTGGTTTCGCGGAATTCACTGCTGCTGGGATACGTTGTCAACTGGGAGAGTGAAGTAAGCTTAGGATGGTGAAATCTGGTGGGCCGAATTGGAAGCAGACTGGCTTCGCTTGAATCCCACGCTATACAGATTGCAGAGCAACGTAACCCTGCTGCATGCAAAAAGTCTCGTGGATTGCAGGGACTCCTTTTGTAACCAGTCGTGACTTGAAACGAGTGGTGCCATCAGGGTGTGCTTTCGAAGCAAACACCCAGCAGGAATAGACGAAACCAGCACGAGAGTGCTATTCTTCCTCCGCGAACGCATCTCATCCGAATTTTTCTTCTGGAGAATCCCATGGCTTGACCGTAAGAGCTGGGATAGGACGCTCTCCAACAGTGGAAACGAATGAGGCGAATTGGTCTTCCTCTAGCGGTCAGAGCGGCGTAGAGTCTGCGTCAACCCTAGCACGACCCGGAGGAACGGGATCCAGGGGAGGAATAGGGGCGGCATTTACCACCGGAGGAACCAGGGCAGCGAGGATGATGGAGACAGAAGGTCGTCAGGAGGATCTCCCACAGTTTCTGGAGGACGTAGGCTGCGAGACTGAGCTGAGCAAAGCTCACCAGCTTCAAGCACCTGCACTTGATCATCTTTGGCCTTGGCCACCTTGGTGAACATGGAAAGGATGGTCAACCCAATGACATTCTGCACCTCTCGTGGCCTGTTCAAGTTGAAGTATCCATTGTCTGTAGGAATGGAAAGTGAAAACACTAAAGACAATGCTCCGTTGTGGTAGTGAGAAGATGGAGCTTGTACACACCAATGATATGTGTGGTCCCATGCAGACGCTTGGACGAGGTTGGTTATCGATATTTTCCTGACATTTGTCAATGATTTTTCTCGCTATACGGTGGTGTATTTTCTACGCCTCAAATCTGAAGCGGTACAGCATTTTCTCAAGTTCACAGCTGTAGGCAAGACAAACTGGGCAGGGTTTGAAACGGCTGAGGTGTGACAGGGGTGGCGAGTACACATCAGGTGAATTCGATCCAGTTTGCCAAGAGGCTGAGCTATATTCTTCGAGAATTTCACAGCGGCGTATACTCCGGTTGTGCTGAGAGGAAGAATCGCAACAGGTGAGTGGCTTACCCAATTCTTTTTGGATCAGCCTGGCTAACTATGTCCAAAATTGCGCCTGAACTGGACGGAAGCCCTATGTGACACACTTGCGCATCTTCGGCTGCGAGGCTTGGGCTCACGTCCCTGGTCAGATGAGAAGAAAGCTTGATGCCAAGAGCGTTGAGTGCAAATTTCTGGGTTACAGCTTGGAATGCAGCCTGGCACCGAGTGGATCACAAGCGTAACGTTGTCTAGGAGCAAGAGTGTATAGAACTAGCTTTGGCGCGGTAGACTTTAAAATAATATCCAACATCCCAGTTGAATCATTGTCATGGATTCATTTACTAGTTCTCAGCACCAGACTGGCGGTGGAAATCTTTCTCTTCCCCCAAACTTAGCAGCTTTCTATGGGTTTCCATGTATCATCTCCTACGATGTGCTTTGTGGAGCAAATCACTAGTGAAACGAGGGCAAAACTTGGTGGTGGGAGACCTACTCGCGACAAAACATTTTTGTTAAGAGTTATTAAACCACGCCCTTTTTTTGAAGCGCCAATTAAGAGCTTATGGTGACGAGGGGAGAGCGCTTCTACTCTCAACCAGGCTGCTTTGGGCCACAAGTGCACCACGATGGCATCGTCTTTGCTCGAGTAGATAAACCTGAGGCGTCTTCATCTTGTAAGTTTTTTCTTGTGCTCTGCTTAAATTCCAATTTTTGGCCTTGTAGACTCTGTTTCAAAAGGTACTAGTTAATGGCGAGCCGATCCACTTCATCGTGTCAGAAGGCCATCGAGGGACCAGGCATTCATGTAAGTTATCTCTTGTTTGACCCGCACAAGGCTGATCGAAGCGCGAGATTCATGCAGGGGCCCCAGATCTTGCGTTGTATCGGTTGGAGATGTTCAACAACTATTACGAAAAAACTCTTACAAGTGGCATCACTGTTGCACAAGGCATAGAGACTCTTTTTAGCAGGTAGTATTGTGTTTGGTATTGTGTTTGTGGGTTGCAGAGTTAAGCTGGGTATTCAAGCAAGAACTCATTCAAGTTGAGGAAGAGGAGAAAAGATTGAAAGAGGAACGAAAAATTGAGGGAGACTCAGACTCAGACGATGAAGATGAAAGTATTGGCACAATTCAGGTAAATAATTTTCTAGAAAAAAAAAAGGAATTTTGGTGATCATGTATTGGTGTTTGACAGGATAATGAGTGGCTTCCAGAGTTGCACTCAAATGTAATAGTACTCAAGGGAAGTCACATAGCCGTGAGTGGACCTGCTTTTCTGGTAGCGCTTGTTGGAGGCAGTCACTTCAGGGTATGGTAGAACACAGTTGATTATGTCTTATTCTTATTTTCTTTGGCAGCGGCTTACATCTCAAAAACTGGAGGTGGTGGAGGCCGAGATCCAACCTGAGGATCTCCTCCTAGTGTCCAGTTTATCGCTGGAAGAGTTGGGCGTCCCTAAGATTAAGCAAATCGTTATGAGGGAAAGGGACAACAACATTGTAAGTGCGGCAGCGGCCTTGTTGGCCGCGGACCCAGATGAGGAGTCGACCGTCCTTGTTGCTGACATGAAGGGTGTATACCATGAGAAAATGTGAGAAACTGTCCGGCAGCGGCTGCTAGAAGTTCGAAAAATTCTATTGTTTGCTCCATTCGAAACTAAATGAAGGGCTCTTGTTTGTGCAAGCATTCGAAGCAAACCACCCACAAAGGGCAAAGCAAACCAAGCAAACGCGCTAGAAAAGCAAGCGATTCGTGTCCTCGGCAAGGAACCTGTTCCTCCATCATGGAACATCAAGGTGGCGAGATGACAGGAATTATTTCCTGTGATAAGAGCAGGCCATTTCACCGAGGTGGGCGAGGTAAAAGATGACTAAACTTGGTTGTGCAGTGCTCGAAGCTGGAGTCAAGCGCACTGAAATGACGGAGATACGGAGCCAGGACAATTGGATGGATTATAACGTTTTCTAGTAGCATTGTGTTAGCGGCAATGCATGTGTTTGTTGGTAGGACTAGAAAGATGGGAGCTTTAGACTTCAAAGTAATATCAAACATCTGGATCATTGTCATGAACTGATCTACTAGCTGCCGCGTTGGAAATCGTTCTCTTCCTTCAAACTTAACACAGTTTGCCATGGCCCAAGAGCAAGGGAAGACAGCTTTCTGTGTTACAAAGTTTGCCGTGACGCCTATTATGGCTGCATGATTCATGTCGACGACGCAGTGGCTATGATGGGAAACATGCCTGTGCAAACCATTGGCGACGATGCAAGGGGCAGCATTGAGGTGGACTCCCAATCCCGCTGCCACTCAACATGACATTTGAGAAGGGATACAAGCTGGCTGAGCTGGGAGCTCTGAAATCGGCCGCAGACTATGGCGAAGGATTGTGCAAACACTCCCCAAAAAACCACACAAGCAAATATATTCTTCATCCGAAAAAGCATTTTGTCTCATTTGGTTTTACAGAAGGAATGCTTGGAAGTTGAAGGCATGTTTCAGTTCAACCGCTGCTCGGCCTCTTACAACCGCATGCACAACTGCTTGCAAAAACTTTGCGAGCGAGCTTAGCTGTTTAGCTGTGGAGCTGTGCAGTATAGAGATATAAGATAAATCAAAATGGGAGAAAGAATGTCTAGAAATCGAGCTCGGCTTGCTGCTTTGCCTGCCTCGCCGTCCAGTAGTTTTGAGCTCGTATCACCCTCTCGAGTAGCTCCTGAGGGACGGGCTCGCCCCTGCGTTGGTGCGGCGCAATCCGTGCCGTGTGAACTAGAGTCTTCCACTTGTCCTGGAGAATGAAAATCCATGAAACTTTGTAGCACAGACTCAAAAACTTCGAAATCCACGAGAGTTTTTTCGTGTTCACCTTCAAGTCGACGTAAGTCCGGTGCTTGGCTTGATCGAAAGCCCACAGCTTCACGTCACGCCATCTAGAAACAAGAGCTTACACCACCACCTATGACGAAGAAAAAGTTTACCTTCCAAGGCCGAGCTTTTCCACGGCGTAGACAAGAGCTTCCACCTCAGAGATTGTAAAGGGCCTTCGTATCCTGCGCTTGGTGCCTTCGATGGTGAGCTGCTTCTGCCGCAACGAAACCATAGCCAGGCTCTGCGACGAGTTGTCCCCTCCCAGTGTCGGATGCTGGACGATGGCTCCTGCTTGCTCGACATCTGGAAGAAGAAGAAGATGGAGAGAACGATCCGTCACTCTCACGAGAGAAACAAAGAAAAGAGCCTGTGAATTGTTATCCTTTCTTGGTTTTTGTTCGTTCTTTTGTTCCTTGTTCTTGTGTGCTGTAAATGAAAGATCATACCCCCAGCCGCTGTCACCCGTGTTGCTTTATATGTTCTCAGATTGTTTTTATGGCATCCGTCTAAACAAAGCAGGTGTGTTGTTGTACCAGTCCATTTGGCATTTATCTGTGCCTGTCCATCACCACCACCACCCGAAACCAGCGAGCATGCGAGCCGAGCATCGGTCTCAATCACAGTGTCTTCCATTTTCTCTTGGCCTTCCACCACGGCCCAGCTCCCGTCCAAAGTCGGGTGCCTGGAATGGAAACAAGCGAGGAAGTGATGAGAAGAAGAAACAAAGGATGTCGAGACTTTACCAAGTTCCTGGCTGGCTGGCGGCTTGAGAGAGTGCGAGGAGAGCATCCTCGGAGTTGGAAGAGGATGCTGGCTCCAACATAAATCCCAGAGAGCCGCTCTTTCCAGCCTGAGCGGAAAGCCCGACTTGAGCCAGTGTGGCTTCCTCGTCAGGGACTCTCTTGCCGTGGAGGAAAACACGAATTCTCAAGCCACCACCCAGCAGGTTCATCGTTGCATCCAGCACAGCTTTCTGTGCAAAACAAAGACGGTTTTTATCTTTCGTTTCCTTTCAATCCAACAAGAAACTACCGAAAGAGTGGAGAAAAACTACTTTACCTTGAGGCTGGCTACAGTTGCAGACTCTGGCATGTCGATGAGAAGCTCTGGAACCGTGAAGGATTTGATGCTGAGTTTTACTGCACGAAGAAAGGCCATGGATGAGCATTCCAATACCGAGTGAAAAATCAATGCACCGAGGACCTGACAGCACCTGTTTTTCGAGGAGACGATGATCCACTGGCCGATGATGGTGTTGGCGTTGCCGCCTTGGCTACAAACAAGATCACAGAGATCAAGCAAGAAGAAGATGGCAAGCATACCTTCGAAGTCGATGCTCATCATATTATCCAGAGATCCTTGCGACATATCATCGGCACTTCCAGCGTCATCCGGGGATTTCTTCCGCTTGGACGACGAGCCGCGAGCTCCTCCTCCTCCTTGTCGAGCGGTGAAGGGAGGATCGTTCTGGTACCTTCTCTTGCGAAACGAGCCAGCTGAAAGCCAAGCATTCAGAATGGAAAGAAGAAACACGAATGAAAGAATCACCATGCTTGGCAGCAGCAGCGGCAGCGGCAGCCGCAGCCGCAGCAGTGGTAGCGGGTTTTTTACTCCTGTCTCGCCCGCCACCACCATCGCACTCGGGCTCTCCACTGCTGCTGGCGTCCTGGAGAAACTGTCCGGCAACGGCTGCTAGAAGTTCGAAGAACTCTGTCCCCTGCTTAAGCCCTGGGACTTGCTGGGTTGCGCCACTTCTTTCCTGTAACTACACCACCCAAGTTGTGAGATCCAGAAGCCATACAAACTTCGTGGAAAAAGAATTTGTTTTTGTGCGTCTAAGCCCCGCAGACCAACCTTGAGAGAACGAACGCGGCAGGCTCGCATGGAGCGAGGCCTTGCGAGGCGGCTGTAGCCCAGGAACCTGCTGGCGCTACTAGCTCCTCCTCCGGTTGCTCCTCGGTTCTGGGGATCCATGGAAGCGCTGTGGCATCAAAGTGGCGAGCTCGCGAGAGGAGGGAGAGCGAGCAAAGCGGATGACAACGCAAAACCACCAACAAAAACCCACACCACTGTTGGTGATGACGACGACGATGACGATGATGAAACAGAACCGCTCGCCCAAGATTAACGAAACCGCAAAACCGCTTGGCTACCGAACCTGGCCCAGCCAGCCTCGGTGGTACGGAACGAAGCCCCCAGCCTCGGCAACCATAAACCCTAAACTGGTTGTTTAAACAAAACAAAAAGTGGTGCCACCTTTAAACCTTTAAACCTTTGGGCCAGAGAAGAGACTTTTTTTCGAGCATTCCATGACATGGATTTCTTTGCACTAGCGTTCTTATTTCTTCGTCCTTTCCAAGCGTGCTAGATGGATTTTTCTTTCGTTAGAACTCTCGCCCTTCTCTAGCTTACTCGAACGCTCCTCATGAGAGTGGACGACGCTGGCGATTGCAATGTGTGCGGCTCCGGGACGTTTGTGAAAGTGGAGGTGGTTTTCAGCTGCGGGTTGGCACTGGAGCTCCCTTCTTGCAGCCTGTACACTCTGGTGATCGCTCCGTCCGAGCGCCGCTGCCAGCGAGCCCCGCGACTCCGCGATCTCGTAAAGTTGCTACTGCTACACCACCTCTTGCTTGCCATTGCTGCTGCAAAGCCAGATTGATCCCTGTCCCCCGCAGCAACTAGCAATCTCTCGTCACTGTCACTGTGAATCCCCTCCTTGTTGCTACCAGTGTCCTCTTGTTCCAAACTTATGCTTGGTGTTGTTATTGCTACTTCCCCTTCAAAACTTTCGTCTTGCTCCTCCTGTGTGACTGAGCCTTGTGCTGCTGCTGCCACTTCTTCCTGTAATAAATTTTCTTCCTGGAGCCTTTCTGTCTTTGCCATTTCTAACTCACTATTTTTTACTGTCTCCTCCGCCTGTGGTTTTGCGGGACTGCCTTGCTCTAGACTTTCTGTTGTATCGCCATCACCATCACTCACACCACCTTGGCTTTCCCTCTTCTCGTCTTGATCTTTAGAGCCTGATCCTCCTGTTTGTAAAGAGTTAGTCTCGGATGGAAGAAACGGATGCCACTTTCTGCCCGGGACAAACTCGATTGCAAAAGGATTCATAAGCTTCTTGGCACCAGGTGTGGTGGGAGGAGGATGGTGAGAAGGAGATCCAGGGGCATTGAAAAGGGAGGCTGGAGTTGCAAGAGGTGGCGGTGTGACAACAGAAGGTTGGCAGTCCTGAGTTTTTGAAGGAAGGTGTACCTGCTTTCGAATGGGAGTCATGGCCACTTCAATGGTAGTTTGTTGTGAGTCGGGACGAGGAGCTGGTTTGGGAATACTACTCTTCGCAGGAGTTGTGGCTGCTGCTGATGAAGAACAGCTCGAAGATCCTTCGCAAGACATCAAATCCTCCTCTTCAGCTTGCCCTGTTGTTTTCGTTTCTGTTTTGGTCCCTGCCACTTTCACTGCTGCTTGCTGCAATTGTTGTAACGGCCGTATCATCATCAGTGCCACGTCTTTGTAGGATCTGTTACCCTGTGTTGTGACGCTAGGAACCTGACCTTGTTCAGCCACCCCAGAAGAAACTTCCAGCTTTTCCTGTGTACCACTATCGGAAGGAACGTCCAGCTTCTCTTGCGTACCACTACCACTCTCGGAAGGAGTATCAGGGCGTGTGCCTTTAAATCCCATCCTGCTAGTGCCAGATACGTCCGAACTGCTGAACTTCTTTCTTTGTACCGTTTTCCTTCTTGATGTAGCTTCGAACCATCCTTCATCTTCATTAACCTCTTCCGAAGATATCACTGCTGCGTTGGAAACTTCCGTTGAGCTGGAAATCTTGGCAATGCGATCTTCTGCGTTGGAAGGAGGTTCTCTAACCTGTCCCGAAACTTCTTCTTTAATGATAGGACTCTCCTCTTGGCTCTGAATACTGCTTGAATTCCCTGCTTGTTGTTTTGGAGAATCCGCATTATCTTCTACAGTTAGAATCTGTATAAAAAAAACAAAGTAAGTGGCGCACAATCGAATGGCAGTTTGTACTCTACCTTCAAACGCTTAGGCTTTTTATCCTTCTCACTTGATGTTGATACTTCTTTGTTAATGTAGTCTAGAAGATCAGAGACACTACAATAAAAAGCAGCACAATATGATTTAAGAAGAAATAAAACTAGACATCTACCTAAGATGGCCTTTGCTTGCAACAGAAGGATCAGGCTTAGGTGCCCCTGTCCTTGTGGCTTCTTGCTGCTCAACTGCTTTAGAATCAAAATAATCAAGCCAGGCAGCAGCATCCTGTAAAGAACACATATCATGCATGAGAGACTGTTTCACAATCAAGAGGGAGTCGATCAACCTGTGTGCGGATGTCATCTGGACCAAGCTTTGCTTGCAAAATTTGATACGTAGTTTGTTCGTGATGGACACTGAGTGTATATGCTTCCATCAGTGAGAGTGCTATAGCAATTGCATGGTAGCTTGCTGCAGTCTGTAAAGTACTCCAGATGAAAACTGATTTGTTTTGTTTGAGATAGTATCACCTGAATATGATCTTTGCCGAGAAGCCTCTCGTTGCATTTAAGTGCTTCATGTAGATATCGCAAAGCTACGTGAGCATTTCCAAGAGCCTCCTCCATCATAGCTACATTTATATAAGTAGCAGCTGTATTCGGATGTGAGGGTCCACAGATCAAGTGCAGCAAGTAAAGTGCCCGATTAACGTATCTGACCTCAGAAGTTAATAGAGTACACTACTTAAAAGAGCAACTTTACCTTAATGCCAACTCTGTATGTTGAAGCCTGTAGTAAAAGACAGCCAAGTCACCATAGCTTTTCATTGTATCCGGATGGTCAAGTCCAAGCTCCCTCTCATTTATGTCCAAAGCTTTTTGCTGGTATATCATGGCCTGATCACAAAAAGTCATCAATTAAGTCATCAATTACATTAATACAATATGTAGCTTTTGTGTACCTGATTGAAGTCTCCTGTGTGGTAAAGAACCACTGCAAGCAAACTATATGCTCCAGCAGTCATTCGATGGTAAGGCCCGCAAACAGCTATCAATTTTGTCAGAGCCTACAAACAAACATTAGAGAAAAATGTACGAGAGTGGTAGAGATTTACCTTGCTTCCAAAAGACACGGCCTCCTCTAGCTTTCCTTTATCTAATGCCGCTTTTGACGACTCCAAGAGCGTGCGTCCATCAGCCGACGAGCAAATTGCATGCTTTGGAAGCACAAATGAAAATTCTGTCAAAATGACGGAAGAATGAAACAGGTTTTAAGAACAAACCTTGTACACGGGAACCAAGCTTATTACATCTGCCTTCGAGAAAATTGTGGTACTGTTAAAGTTGTAGCTTCGAGGAGCCATTTCAATGCCAACCTGGTAAAAGAATCGTAAGTAGATGAATATAAATAAGTGAAGAGAACAGACCTTATAGCAAATCCCTCGAAGAAGTGCGTACTTACGCAGGTTTAGCCGCGAATCATAAGCGAGTTTCCATCTAAATCTCGCGGCGACAAACGACTCCAGCCATTTCCAGACATGCTTCTCAACAGGCTCCTCTTTGCCTTCAGCTGGCAGGCTAGCAAAGATGGCGTTCAAAGCAGTCGCGATTGTAGAAGCTAGCTCGGAAGTTTCTTTCACGGAGGCAACTACAGCTCGAAGCAACTGTTTAAAAGCGCGGATAATCATTTCGTGGATGCACAGCGACCTGATGTGCGGAAGTTTTGAGCACAGATCAGCCTGTAAAACACTCAGTATGTAAGAAAAATTATCAGAAAAGTGCTGGATTATTATACCAGTTGTCCCAGTGAGGAAATCCTCAACCCACGTATATGCATAAAATCTGTCAAAGTTCGCCCTTCAACCGGAGAGAGCTCAAGAGCCGAAAAATCTGACACCTGGAAGTTAAGGTATCAAGATGTGAGAAAACTAAGAGGTATAGGATCAGCTTACAAGCTTAGGAAGCGCCACATTATTATAATATTGTTCCGCTGCGTTCATAAGCTCCGCAACAGACTGAAAGTTTGTATAAAAGAAAAAAGTCTGTAACGTCATAAGAAATAAAAGGCTTGCTACCTTTAGGTGAAGGCCTGATTTTGTTCCTTTAAGTCGCTCCAAAGAAGACTCGGGAAGGAGTCCTTTCAGAGGGGAGACATCTTCAGACACAGGTTCCTCGTCCTTGCTCGGTTTCTGGCCACTTTTATCACTTTTCTCACTGCTGTTTGCTTTTGTCATTTCTCCTAAATGTTGGACCCAGCATGCGCCGAGTTCCCACCTGAAATACTGGCTCGGATTAACGGGTCCCTGCGTGCTTACGCTGGAAATTGCCTTGTCTATTGTTTCAGAAAGAAGATCTTTGGCGCGCTTCTCTTCCTCGCCACTACTATCCAGTCTGTGAGACTTCTTATGCAGAAGAATGCGGAGGCTGACAAAAAGATAAAATAAGGTAAGTCACTTATGAAATCTATGCTCTAAGACAAATACCTGTTTGCGTTAAGTGCGTTTGCACCGCCTTCAGGTGGATCCAAGATCTCGAGAATATCCTGAGTGCGCTCCGTCGGGACTGCCTCTACAACTACCTTGTATCCTTGATGTCGAACTAAAACAATACCTAATGTACAAGTGTCCTGCCAACTTAAAACGTTAGTGAACTTTTGACATGAGAGCTCAAACCAAAAAAACTTACATGGACAACGGTGCTTTCGTCAGCCGTAATTCCTTTCAAAACATTCCGTTCCGATATTTCCCTTTGAAACTCCGTTGTTGAGCTCGACTCTATTTTCCATACAACTTTTCTGCCGGGATCTGTGCCATCTCGAGTGACGAAGAACTTGAGAGTACCCCTGGTCTCTACATGTTCTGTCTGGAATGAGCTTGAAGAATCCAATTCCCTTATGACTGCTACAGCATGCGTAGTAGCCACATCGACGAAGTAGTTATGGAGAACAAAAGCTTTATGATCCCGAACCTCTCGTTCCTCCGACGTCTCGCAAGCCATTTTGGCTATGAAAGAGAAGTGCTGTGACCACGGCACGTTGAGGCCTTCGGGATTTCTACCTCGACCACCTCCATTGCCACCACAAGTTTCGTCTTCTGCAGGCAAAGCCGGAAACGTAGACGGCGATTCTGCTACTATGGGTGGAACCACCCACGTATTAGCTCGCAGACCGTACGGAATGTTCGCAAACTGTAGAAAGCAATTACGTAAGCACTAGACTTTCGTGAAAAGCGATACACACCTTATTGCGCGCGCAAAATGCTTTCAACAGTTCTTCGTAGTTCTGCAATCACGGCAAAAAAACCTGTGAGTTTCTAGGAGCATTTCACAAAAACATACCCACGTCGTTAAAAGACTTGCTAAGATGCCTTAACAAATCGACCAGTGCGTGGCACTTCACTTGCTGCTTCCCCGTGTGATAAAATCCGGTGCTACAAGCTGTAACGGAAAGAATTTTCCCGTTGGTCACCTTGACCTGTAAAAAGGGAAGTTCAGATAAATACAATAGTCTATACAATGCAGGAAATACCTCTAGCGAGAAAAAATCTGTTTTAGAGCCTGCCTGACGAGAAATTTTAATGCCTGTCACAATGAGAAAGTGGTTAGTTTAAATATAAACCGCTGGCAGATTTGACAAACCTTGGACAGGTGACTTTAGATGCGCGAAGGAAAAGAACTCGTAAAACTTCCCCAGCTCGGATGGAGGACAGAGTTTTGTTATGTCCTTGATATCCTTGAGATTGATGCTATTCTCTCCACTCTCCGTCCTGCCTGTTTTACCATCTGTTTCTTTGTCTGGCACTAATGCCTTCCCGGAAGGACCAAAACAAGTAATGCTTGAAACCAAGTCCAATAGCCTTCTGACGTGATCCATGGCTGATTCCTCCGTGTATGCTTCTGCAATACATGTAATCTAACGAACTGAAAAACAAAGATGTAAGGCTTTACCTTCGACGACAGTGAGAACACAAGGCTTCAAGTGCATGACCTCTTGAGAGTCATTCAGTCGATCTCCACGAACCTTTTAATGGCACGTCTTGACTATAGCCGCTAAAGAGAAATAAAACGTACCTGGTGGGATAGCGAGAATCTCGTAAGGTGGCATGTCTCAACATTGACCGCCAAAAGCTTGCGCACATCCAGGATACGATCAGTAGAAATCCCCTGGTACCACGAACAATGGAAAGCCTGAGTACGATATCAAGAGAAGGAAAAGCCTTACCTTGAGAATTATTTCGTCGCCACTTGGGAGATTTACCAGAACATCGAGAACGGTAGGAAGCACTGCACGAATGAAAGCAACGAATCAGTAAACGAAGAAGACGAGAAACAAAATATAAAAGAGCTTGGTCAGCTTACGCTTGTCTTCTTTCTTCTTCTTCTCTCCCTTGGATTTGTGATTCTTCGACTTGGAAGTGGCTCTTGGAGCCATCGTAGTTGAAGTTTTTTTCTTTCGCTCTTTTCTATCTAGACCCTCGCATCACTTCGCTATAGACTCTCACTCTATTTCTAAACGATGAGCGCTTCAATCAGATTCTCGAGACAAAACTGCTGACTGCGACTCTAAAATCAAATGCGTGCCCGGACAAGGAAATTATTGATCAAACCACACAGCCACCCGGACTGAATGAATGAATCGAGTCCTACTCTCTCAACGGCGGACACCGCATTGAAAAGCGACTTGGATGATGAAATAAAATCACGAGAAAGCGGGCGCGGCGAGGAAATATTCACAGAAAAAAAGGAAAAAAGAACGAGAAGAACACGCTCTCTCACCAAGCTCGCAGCGGATTCAGCCCCTAGGCTAGAATCGATGGACAAAATCCACAAATCTGGGAGCAAAAACGAGAGATTCTAACCCGCCGCGCGACGCCAAAGAACTGTTGCCGATCGAATCCAGCGCGTCGGAGTCGCCGATGATGAATCGATGATCCAGTCTGGAAGAACAAGGCGGGCGGAGAGGGAGAAGAGAGTGAGGAGAGAGAGAGAGAGAGAGAGAGAGAGAGGAAACGCAAGCAATAGGCAGGCGTGTGCCCTGGTTAATGTGGGCCGTCCATTCAAACCAATGTAAGACGAGGATAGCACAGGGGGAGCGTAGCGATGGTTCCCTTCTCTCTCCACGAACCAGTGGTGGAGAAATTGGGCAGGGGATTTTAGGGGTTTAGCGTCGAGCGAAAACTTATTCTACCCAATAAAATAATCCATTTTGGCAACAAACGGTCTTGGGTATTTGACGACATATTCGCTGCCCTATGGCGGAATATGCTTGCGGGATTGTCCTATTCCCTGGCATTGCACTGCGGGGAGATTCGATGTGATTTCGTGATTTCGTGTGGCAAGTTATACGTTGTCCTACTCTATTGAGGTGCCAAAGAATAATTTAAAGATTCGTGTTACATTTTTTACCCCTTATGAGTTGATGTGCTGTGGGCCATTGGATGAGGAGTTCAAAGACAAACAAAGTAGAGCCGTCAATCCACATCCTACTCTTGATTATAGGTGCAGAAGTTTGAGGAGAATGGTTATCAAGTTTGAGCGTGACATGGTAATATATCAAAAAATAAAGAATACTACTTCAAATGTAAATAAAATGTAGTCTAAATGAAGTTAATATTTAAAAAGCTAAAAAATTACAACTTAAGATATTTCAAAAAGGTGTAAAATATTTTACTGTTTGTTATAAACACTAGATTCTCTAATACATAATGTAATACAAGAATCTGATACAATATAAATAATTATTAAATTTCATAAACACAATTATATTAATACATAATTTTAAAATATTTAAATATATAAATAGTAAATAAAACATTTTCTAAAACATATAATCTGACATATTTATTTTTATGACAGAGAAAGATAATTTTTATAATTGCATATTAATTATGTTCTTAAAATTCTATGATAAATTTTTTGTTGCTTGAACTAGGTAAAATATTAAAGTTCTTCATACTAGCTTACTTTGAAAAAAAATCGATTAGTTATAACACTTAAGAATATGCTTAAATAAAAACTACAAAAATAAGTTTTATAAAAACTTTTATTTTCATAATAATGTAGTAGAGTTTTTAATTATTCCTACTAAGATAGATAATATAATAAAGTGTAATATAAAACAATTGTTTCTTCAAACGTTGAAATTGCTATTGTAAATTTTATTTAACAACTTAATTAACAAAGACATATCCATATAAATCTGAATTAAAATCAATTATTATATTATGTTTAAATTTTTATTCAATCTAACTTATAGTTTGTATTAATTTATTACGCATTATAAGGAAAAAATTGTATAATAAAAATGATCCACGTTTGTAGTTGTTATCATATATTACACTAGAATCTAAATTGAAACTATTTTGGAAATAACATGTGACACTAAGAAACAATATAATTTCTTCTTGAGCAACTCACACTTTTAGTTTTTAATGCAATTTTCATATATGATATATAACACTAGTTTGTCTTTAAATGTATACATTTTAGGATATATAAATGTTAAGCATTATAAAGTCAAACACTTGTTTAGATTGAGGCATATGCATAGTAACAATTCCAATTTATAATCTTCACTCTCTTAAGTTCTTTAGTGTTTAACCATCAATATATTAATCTTCTAAACAATGTTTTAACTATAAATAGGTTAGATTTCATTCAAATGTTCTAAACTTTATAAAGAAACTAAGCTTAATGATAATTTAGCTTTAAGGTTTATATAGCTTTATTTAACACATTACATGCCACTGTAAGTGTTTTTAACTTAGAGGATTATATAGAGTTTTAGATGTAGAAAGTGGGAGTTGTGGCAATTCTTTCTATAGCTTTTTATGTTATATATTATTAAACTCTTTTTCATTAAGGGATATAACTAAACTTAATAAACAAAAGAACTTATTTCCAAGTTTATTCTAACAGTTTTTCTTAAAATTTCTCTAATTAATTTGTAATATTTACTTATCACTAATATAACCATTATAAAAGCTAAAGAAAGCTATGAAGTTATTTGTTTTGCTTCATGGTTAGAACTTCAAAAGTAATAAGTGAAACTACTAAACTATATAAGCATATTTTTAGCAGAATTTTAATTCCCATACTTTGAATGTTCATAAAACCATTAGATAATTTTGCATATTCTTGGTTTGGTTAATAGTAATGTTATTCCTATTTAGTATTATTTGCTGAATGAACATCATTTAATGCCTCTAAACCACCTAAAAAAAGCACACAAAAGAGCAAATGGACAAAGCATGGCTATTAGATGTCCAGGATCATCAAGTCCACAATCCATGAACACCATAGTTCACAGCATTCTTACAATTGATCATTAATTATAATTTATAAACACTTATTGCATATCAACCATAGAATATACTAGAAATTGATGGAGAAAGATTAAATCAGTGTCAGCTATTAAATGATAAAATATTCCAAAATATTCAAGCATATTCTAGATATATCAAAGTAATGAGCTTCTAAGAACCAAAAAGTTAAAATGGTGAAGATGCTAGCACAAGCGTCTAGGGGTGAATAGCACCTAGGAAGAGTTTGAGGTTTGGCAGCAATATCTATCTATTTATTGGGTACTCAAGCAACCACCCCATTTAGATATATGTCACGTCAAGCCGGTAGAAAACAGCTCCCTCAACGCGCAGATAACCTTCCTAAGAAGAGGGGACGCCACCCTAGAGACAACGTGGTCAACGAAGTTGACCTCACTCAGCCTTTTGGCGGCGGACTCGGACAAAGTCATGCCACGGAGCGCCACGAACACGAGCACGTAGAGCAGCGACTCGAGCTCGCTGGAGACGCAGGCACGGCTCCCCGCCGTCAACACCCCGTAAGACGTGAAGTGCCGTGTGACCGATCTATTGTCCGGGCACAAGACATGTCCAAAGTCCACCAGCAGAGCCAACACTGGTGGTGCCGGGAGCGAGAGGCAAGCACCCAAGCCTGGACTGTGCCAGAAGGAGCTTAGGAAAATCCCTGCAGAGCGACATCTCCAAGCGCTGGATGCTCACAAGCTCGGGTTTTCCACGTCTAGAGCATCGTGGGCAAAACCCTCCCAGGCTCTTCATGTCCGCGATGAAACTAAAGGCAAGCTCTCTTTTCGGCTGGTTCGCAAAGATACTGTCTATCCGGCTCCTACTCCGCTGTCAAGCTGACGAGGAATGTCCAAGTCCTCTTCTAGCTCCCCCCCAAGACTCACAAGCTCCCAAGTCACTCCCGAGGCACCGGCTTGTTTCTTCACCAAGTCCGGCGTGTCGCTGGAGAGCCACACTCCCGATCTCGATGTGTCAACCACGCTCCCGGGGGGTAGCATCTTTCCTTGCCCCAACACCCGGCCGATGGCAAGCTGGAGCATGAGTTCTCCGCTATCCACACGTCTGTATTGTTCTTTCGGTGCCTTGGCGGCCTCTAGCTCTGCGTTCCTGTCCCGCATTTCCATCTCCGCCAGCTCCAGCCTCGAAGGTTCGATAGCAAATAGGCGATGGCGCTGCTCGTGTCCACGGCCGCCAACGTTTCCAAGATCTCCTGGCCATGCAAGCCTTGGTCCTACTTTCCATCCTCGCGCAAGCTCGCTCGTAGTACCTTTGCGCTTGAGGAATCTCTGGTAAGCATCATGGAGCACTTCGTCGTGATGGGCTGGTGGGAGGAAGGCCCTGAAGTATGATCGGAGGATCTCCACATTGTCCACCTGGTTGACCACGGCCTCCGCTCCGGCGGACAACCCCCCCTGCCTTGTGGATGGACGCCGGGATTGACTCTAGCTCGCTCTCGGAGATGCCTGGTAGCGCCGAGAACCTCTTCAACCATCCATATACTCCATCCATATACTACAATCGTAGGTATCTTACAAAGTCCTGGTCTTGTCCACAAAGAATGCTCGTTTCTGGCCCCAAAATTGAAGTAGAGAGAATCTGAGGATTAAATTCTTAGCTCAATGCTTTGATCTACACTGTCCTCACTCACTCACTTATTCACATACGTTTCAGGGGCATCAAATTCCACAAAGTAGAGCTTCTCGGGCTCACGGTTGCTTCCAAAGTTGACGCGCCGGGCAGACACTTCGATGGTGCTCCGACCGAAGAACATCGTCACCTCCACCTCACGTCCCGTTCCCATGTGTAGATCCTCGCCAATGTCGAATTCGTAGCTATCAAGCTCTACACACCCTTCGTCGGTCGTGTACATGGGAATGAAGTCGCTGCTGGAGCTGAACAAGGCAATCTTCAGTACCTTCTGATGCCGGAATATCGGAAAATAAGAGTGTGTTACCGACTGATTGACCGAGACAGGCCCCTCTTTCTCCACAAACAGGCTAAAGATGTTGCGACATTTCTCCAACCCATTATCGTCAAAAAACTTGTACGCCGGTGGATCATTCCTATGGAAGTTGCGAGACGAGGAAATGCCATACGAATGTTTGGAGATTCTCGAGAGCACAACGCCTGTTCCATAACCAAGAGCCACGGCACCGCTACAGATTGCACCACCCGGATTCGGATGAGAAACCACTCTCGCCACGCCCTCGAAGCGATTCTTGATCCTGCTCCGCAGATACGGACTCGAGGCAAATCCCCCAACCAGAAATATGTACTTGATGTCGTCAACTTTGTCAAGTTTCTCCTGGATCAAACGGATGGTTTTGTCAACCTCGGTGTCAAAGATTGCTTCCATCTGCTCACAACAGATCTTGATCTCGTCGTAGTAGTCATCGTCCTCAGCAAAACCCCGTACAGTTTTGTCATGCTTCTTCCATGCTTTGGACAACTTCTTCGGTACTTCCAATAACTTTGGACACGATCCATTGAACGTACACTTACCGTCAGGCCCCAGCCACCACATCAAGATGCGGTGGTAGACAATAGATTGCTCCTGCTGGCAAAATCTTCTGAAGCAACCAATCTTTTTCTCAAGGAATTCCATGAAGTTTCTGTCGACATAAGTTCCACCCCCGAGCTCTCCCGAGCTAGCGGACACCTCATGGACCTCGTGCTTCCCTGGAGCGCTGCTCTCCTTCTCGTGCACTACTATATCGATTGTTCCACCACCAATATCCGCCACCAGGAACTTGTCCCCTGGAGCTAGCGAGATGATGCGGCCCAGCTCCATCTGGCACGAAAACGAGGCCGCCTCTGGCTCCAGTATTATCCTCAGGGGATACATGCTCGCTTTGGAGCTGGAGCAAAACTTACCTCTTACGAGCTTGGCCTTCTCGGCATAGACTTGCATCTTATGCTTCGCCTTGTCGCTCCAGATTGCGGGAACTGTGAGGCACCACTGCACATCCCTCGCGCTAAAGCTTTGACCATAAGTTCCCTTGAGATGCTCGACAATGAACTTGGAGATCGAAGCGAGATAATCGACCACAAGCCTCTCAACTTCCAACTTACCAGCAAAAGAGTCTTGGATGGCCTTGTTCCCGTCGCTAAAATCTTCCGCTAGCCTCAGCTTGAATTTGTTGACAAGGAAACCGATCTCATCCTGCGATGAGGGTCTTGACTCCATGAACTTCTTCGTTGCAGCCCAGCCCCAGTCTTCGAGCTTGAACGAATCGTCTTCTCTGCCTGGCGTGTAGAAGAGGCTCGTCTGTGTCTTGCAATAGGGCCTCGGAGAGCACGGCCAATCGTATAAGAGATTGACGTCCTTTGTGTCGATGCGGTGTGCATAAGCAAAACCCGAGTAAGTGGTCCCAAAATCTAGACCCACAACAAACTTTGGCACTGGCGCATCACAAATCGCTAGGGACATATCTACGAACTTGGAATTCCTGGAGTTGAAACGAGCGTTTATATCAAGAACTTAACGCGGAACTTGCGCTCACGCTCACTGACAGCACTAAATTTTGAAATTCTGCGATTTGTACTCTCTTTAAAAAAGCTTAAGACTTTATACATTTTGAAAGATTGATACCCAATCAGCTAGATACCATTGACATGAAGACTGCGAGCCAGAGTGTGATTGGTACCAGGGCTCCAATATACTTTTAAGCAGGATTCTCAGAATTTGTAAGCAAACTAGAATGGCTCTTACCTGAAACAGCAACAGTTCTGCCAACTCTTTTGCAAGTGGCCTTGTGGAGGGACGCAGCTGTTTTAAATATGACAAGTATATAGCAATTAAAACAATAATAATGATATTTGAAATTTCATACCTGGGCAAGAACAACTAAGTTCTGTGCTGATGGCATTGAAGAAAGGACCTGTTAAGAAATACAATGCACAAGTTTAATTTTTTTTAAAAAGAAAAATACCATACCAGTAGAGTGATCTTGCATATGGGATCCATCGTCAAGATCTTCATCCTCTCCGCAATCTAAATTAGAAGAGTTAGCATGCTATTTAGTAGTATACGACTCAACTGATAGAGCTGTAGAGAAGAAAAGTGGAAGCATCAGCCATCTCACGAAACAGATTGCCACAAGTTCTTTGCGTCCGATCAAAGTTGGTGTTGATTCATGGCTGCTACTAGATACACTGGAATCCATCACTGCCAGTGCAGGAGCAAGCGACTTGATCTTCCTCGGTCCCCAGAAATGAGGTAACTTTGCGCTCCGAGACTTCATAACTCCGGCCAATGAGCAAGCCAAGACAATAACTTGGATTGCTGGTGCTGCTGATCCCAGGAATGATCCTGCCTGAAACAAATGGAGACACATGATCAACTTGTTCAGATTATTGTCAAAACTATTGTCATCTATGAAGCTTACATCATAAACTGGATGAAATATTTTCCAGACAAGCGGAACATTTTCAGAGGAGTGGTCAAGAGTCAGGAATTTTGATACAGGGGAGAGGCCAAGTACGGTGCCTAGTAGAACCTGAAAAGAAAATAATAAGTAAAAGAAAACATATATGGTTTTATGGTGATGAAATTAACTTACTCCAAATAATGGAGGATTCAAGAGACGTTTGTACCACCTGATAATACTGTCCACAAAATGTTTCTGTTTCTCTGGAATGTCTTGGCTCTGGACTGAAGAGGATAGAATTTGATACGCTACAGTCCACAGAAATGGAGACCATCCAACAATGAACAATGCGAGATAGCTGAAAGGAAAGAATTGGTTAGAGCTGATAGACATTGAATTCTTACCCTGATGCAAGGCTTGCATCTCGAGGAGACAGAATTCCTCTGATAAAAACCTGTTTTATTACTAAGATCGTGTTGAAAACCTCTTTAAGGAACAGCTCACGAGTGGAAGTGAAAGTGTGTTGCCAAATGCACAAGAAATCGTCACGAGAGCTTCCTTTTTAGCTAGAACTTTGGCTGACAATTGTTTTCTGGTGGTGTTTGGAATATGATACAAAGTAGCGCAAGCAAGTTTGCCAAGCAAAGCTCCAGCCGAAATCTGTGTTGTATTATCATGCATGATTACTCCAAGTTTTTGTAAGAAACATCTTTAAAAGTACCTGGGCAATTGCGATCAAAGGGATCGCAGCTATATTAATTCCTGTATGGTGCATTGCAAGAACTGTAGATACCTAGAGTTACACAAAACAAAGCCTTAAATTTATAAGCACAAAATAACTCTAAAGAGCTGTTAATGAAAATATACCTTCGACATAAGGTAGCAGGGAATCAGAACTCGAAATGCCACCTTTGTTGCAATAGTAAATTAAATATTAGATACAAATAATTAAGATCAAACCTGGCTTAAAACCACTGGTGTCTCTGCAGGAAAAAATTCAGACCTTTGCAGCCATGTTATCAGAGCTGCACTGGGAAATCGCATTAAAGGCAGACTAATTTCTTGGTGGAAAGGATTTACCACAAGAACTGAAGATGCTAGCAGAAGCTCCCAGAGATGTGAACAGCACATCACTGTTGAAAGAGGGAAGATTGGCAGCAAATTCCACCAGTTTGAGAGGAGCAACAGCAGCAATCCTGCAATTGGCTGTGTCGCGATTCAAATACAAGTGATTCTTGGAGAATTTCTGCCTGCCAAAGACATTGCTATCCTTCCACAAGAAACGGACTTTACTAGAAATCAAGAGCTCCATTGTGAATATCACCCACACATTACTATAAACACTATCTATACAGCCCTTAAAAAAGTAAGTATGATCTAGCCCTAAATTTGTTGTATTTGCAACCCTTACAAAAGTAAGTATATTCTCAGTTCGAAAGAGAGAATATGCCTAACCTCTCCAGCCCTAAATTTGTAGCATGAGCCCTAAATTTTACATTTTGGTTGGCTCTCTCTTTCGCGGCGCGTGGAGTGCGCCGCTGGAGCGTGGCGCATTCCAGCCTGGGGCCTCGAATCCTTGCATTGCTTCCACGCTGACGTCGCGACTTCCTCGTCCCTGCCGAGGTATGCAAGAGGGCGGACGATTCTTAGTTTCTTGTTTACATCTCCTTGGATTTGGGAGAAATCGTCGGGTAATCTTTCGACAGGGACAATGCCGTGAGCCTTAATGTAGATTAGGTGTAACTTCGCGATCGCGATCAATTATTCTAGTAGAGAATTGAGAAAAATTCCCTTGGTTTTTTTTTTTGTGGACAGGAGAATCGAGAGAGCAAATATGAGGACTTGGTTTTCGTGATGGCAAGAGCGTCCGCGGAGGGAAACGTGGAAGTGTTTCCTGCAGCACAGTCTAGTGAGTAGAAGAACAGCTTTGGTTTTGTCTAACAGTTCCTTTATGCTTTCTTTTTTCTCGATCCAGCTTTAAAAATTCTCGCGGATGTTGCTCACCACGGGAACTGTCCAGTGGTCCCGAAGGGCCATGCCAGTTTCGAGAACTGGTCCAGGAGCCAGCTCCAGCAGTACTTGAACTATCGGATCGGAGGGATCAACAAATACGCAAATTATTCCAGGCCGAGGCTGATTCAGCGACTGCTGCGGATTGAAACAGGGCCGAAGGAGAAGTGTCCGGTTTCACGTAAAGAGCGAGTTAAAGAAAAATCAAGGCCGGCACCAGCAGTAGAAGACTTACCACGTCCAACCCGAGCGACAGAGACTCCAGTCTTTCAGACTCTGAGAAAGCGATCCAGGAAAGGCGAGAAAGTTCGTCGTTTGCCAGCTCTTGACGAAGGTGGCTTCCAGGATCGTCTTTGCGGGAACGCTGCATGCCGAGCAAAGCTGAGTGGCAAGGAGGAGTTTTGCAGGCGCTGTTCTTGTTGCATTTGCAAGCGTTTCGATGACAACAAGGATCCTTGCCTGTGGATAGAATGCGGTGGAGAGAAATACAGAAGCTGTGGTGCTTCCTGCCACTTGGAGTGCGGCCTCAAGCTGCGAGCTGCTGGAGTCGTGAAGCGGGGAAACACGATTCAGCTGGACGGAAGCTTTTCTTGCGTGAATTGTGGCTTCATCAGTTGCTTGCTTGGGTAAGCTGAACTAATATATATTTTTCAATCGTTCTTTATCTTTTGTTTTGTTTTTTGTTTCCAGATGCTGGAGAAGGCTACTCTCTGTCGCCAAGAATGCACGACGAATCGACGTTTTTACAACTCGACTCTCGTTGGCTTTTCGTCTCTTGGATGGCACTCTGCGATATAAAAACCTTCACGACATGGTTGCCGATGCGGTAAGAGCCTTGGAAAAAGAACTAGGCCCCGGTGGTCTGGCTGCTGCAATGCGCACTCGGGGTTTAGTGACGAGACTATCCTGCGGCGTACACGTCCAGAACCAGATCGAGAATGCCATTAAGAAGGCCTCGTCTTGGCCCGTAGAGCAAGAGACGCAAAGGATTTTCCTGACGAAAGGTGAGACCTTTCTTTTTTGTTTTTGCTCTCGTATTTAATTTTAGCTGGCTACACAGGGGGAGCACTGGAGCGCATCTATAAAACTCACATCGAGCAAGTAACGCCCGAGTCGGCAGTGGTTTCATGGAGTGGCACTGAGAATACACTGGGAGATGAAGTGATCGGTCACAGCGTATGGTGTCGGGCAGCTGGTGCAAGTAAGTTCCCAGAGGGTCCAGTTTGTAGCGTACCAGGTGGGGAAGTGACGAAGGCTGTGGTAACTGGCTTATACCCCGGAGTAGACTACGAGCTAAGGCTTGTTCCATTGACAGGGTCCGGTGAGTTTGGTCGGATTGAGGCTCGGTTTTCCACTCCTAGACTGGATCATGATCTTGAGCCATTTCACAAGTTGCTAGATGGCGGAAAGGGTGATCTAAGTTTCCGGATACGTGAGGTTGGCAAGTTTTTTCATGGTGATGGTACTGCCACGACGATGAGGAACGCACTAGGTTCACAGTTACACAGCCCGGCAAGTGGGGAGTTATTCTCTGTACCCGTGGAAGAAGCGAATGCAACCACCGTTGAGGAAGAGAAGCACGTTATATCAGAGACGGTGGCGTCCTCTCAGAAGAAAAATGACTCTCAAGGCTCGAAGTCGGTTGCAAAGAGGCTGTATTGTTCCGAGGACATGGATGAGGTGCTCAAGGACGTGGAGGATCGAGAGAGGATTGATCTAAACAAGTCTCGGGTACACGAGAAAGAAAGTCTTCCGCTGCAAACCCCGAAACAACGGATAGTGATCGAGAAACTCGAGAAGAGCAGCATGGATTCTCCGGTTGTGGGATGCGCTAACGAGGAAAAGGAGACGATCCAGCAGCAAGGCCATGACGATGTCGTGGATGAAGTGAACCAGAAGGAGATGGATACTCCGACGATAAGTAAAAGCCATAAGTTGGTGGAGCAACAGGATACTATGGTGGCAGAAAACGTTGATGATCAAAAGAAGACGATCCAGGAGCATGACCATGCTGACCATGCTGTCGTGGATGACGTGATCGAGAAACATACTCAGCAAAAGGATGAAGTGGAAAGCACAATACAACTACAAAACCATCTTGTCGAGGATAAAGTGGTCGCAGAAAAGGTCATCGAGCAAATGAAGATGATCCAGCCGCAAATCGGGGATACAGTGCTCGAGTTAAACAACGTGGAGGAGCAGCCTACTCCGGTGTTAGAAAACGAAGCGATAAACCATCTTTTCGGGGATAAAGTGCCCGAGAAAAACAACGTGGAGCAGCAGCCTACTCCGGAAAGAGCCATCGAGCAAAGTGAAGCGATCCAGCCGCAAAACCATCTTTTTGGGGATAAAGTGCCCGAGAAAAACAACGTGGAGCAGCAGCCTACTCCGGAAAAAGCCATCGAGCAAAGTGAAGCGATCCAGCCGCAAAACCATCTTTTCGGGGATGAAGTGCCCGAGAAAAACAACGTGGCTCTGGTGGTCATCGAGCAAAACGAAGCGATAGAGCAGCAAAACTATCTTGTCGGGAATAAAGTGCCCGAGGAAAACACCGTGGAGCAGCAGCCTACTCCGGTGGTAGAAAAAGCCATCGAGACAAACGATGCGATCCAGCAGCAAAAGCAAAACTTGGACGAGGCCATCGAGCAAGAGAAGAACCAGATCCGGGAGCAGCATCAAAGCGGAGTGATCAAGAGCCAGGACCTTCCGAGCCACAGGAGCCAGAGGAATCGAGAGCAACATCGAAATGGAGTGGTACAACATGAAAACGTGAACAAGCTCATACGGCAAAAGAGCAAGAAGACGATCGTTCCTCCACAAAGGCTTGCAAAGGTGATCCCCGAGACTCAAGCGCAGCAGGATCGACCGCGGCAAGCCGAGAAGAAGAGAAAGAAGATCATCGACGATCATCTCTCGCTTGGGGAGCCTCAAAACGACGTTGATACCAGTGGTGACTTCTGGAGCGAGGACTACCTCGACAAGAGCCTCGAGTTTAGCATCAAGGTGATAGTGTGGCTGGAGCGCCAGGGCCATCTCCAGCCGGCCTTCCGGCTCAAGCTCTTGACATGGCTGGGCTTCCGCGCCAGCGTGGAGGAGAAGAAGATGATCTTCGTGTACGTGAGAACGCTGCTCACGGACCCTCACGGCCTGGCTCATCAGCTCGTCGATACATTCGGCGAGATCGTGGCGACGCAACGATTGAGAGCTGAGGAAGCTAGTTCTTGAGCTCTTTTCTCTTGTTTCTCTTCCAAGGAAAAACGATTTTTTTTGGTTACTTCGACTATTCTTCTTACAAGGTTGATTCCCTCTCTCGTTTTCTAGAACTGGATCTCCTTTAGAATGGTTTCTTCTTCTTCCAGGAAAGTAAACGTTCCACGCTCGTATGATCGATCTTCTATTCTTTTTAAAAGGTTGGTTCTCTCCATTTCTCTAGAACTGGATATCCGAGTAGTCCCTCTCCTGGACGATCTCCACCTCCCACAGAAAATTCTCATCGTCGTCGCGATCAAAGTCGTGGGTGATGGTGTTCCTCCACGGCGGAGCTCCACCGTTGGCACGAAGATAAGTTCCGTACCGTGTTCTCAGCTTGATCAGCGTTCCGTGCTTTGCCAGATCCTGGATGGGCTCCCACTCGCACAGATCGTCGGCCTTGGTGGGATTGGTCTGCACAACCTTCTTGCCCGTCCATCCCAGGAGGAAGTTCTGGTGCGAGCCCGTCAAGTAGCCGCCATAGCTGCTCCTCAGCCGGATTTGGGTGGCCTGGCTGTCGCGGAACCTCTTCACCTCCCAGACTGTGGAGGGATCGTCGTGCTTGTTGGAACCCCGGGCCTGGAAGACGGCGCCATTGCTGGAGGAGTCGGCGGCCAGGTATTTGGCGTGATGGGCGGCGCTGCGAAGCCTCACCTTGCCAGCGTAAGTGAAGATATCCATGGGATCGCGGCGATCAAGTTACCTGGCGTCAGAGAAATCGGAGCAATGGGGTGGATTTGATCAAAAGATTCCAGAGGATGAAGACGAGATTAACTCTTGGTTGGCCAGTTGCTTCCGCGTCTTGCGTGACCGCCCCATAGTCAACAAAGACTTGACCGGATAGTCAACAAAGGATAATCTTATTTAAAAAGTAGGGCTTAGGAAAAACAAGACAAAAAGTATATTCTCGTTTCTCAAAATTAGGGTTGAGAAGAAGGAGAAAGCTTGGCTTCATCCAGGTTCGAACTGGAGACCTTCAGTGTGTTAGACTGACGTGATGACCAACTACACCATGAAACCGATGATGTTAAAACCATTTGAGTTTTCAATATTTAAAACATACATTTAGCCCAAAAAGTAAAACCAACTGTTCTTCCAATGGATCGATAGTTTACGACACGCTCGAGAACTCTTTCACAATCTGGTTCTTGCCAACTTTCTTCTTCCAATCGATCGATAGTGTCTCGAGAACTTTCTCTCACGATCTTCGAAACGCGTTCTTGTCCGTGAACTTCTCGCGGTAATGCGACCGCCGGTGCAAAGTATCCGCGACCGAGGAGTTTCCTCCACCTTCGGCACCATAGACACTCCTGTTCGCCTCGTCCAGAAAGTTTCTCGACGACTTGATCGAGTCCTTCTCCGCCTGGATCGCGTCACTCGCCGACGCCTTTTTGATCCGCTGCCATCGCTGCTCCTCGTGAAGCTCCGCGTCCTGCTGCATCTCTCGCAGCCTCGCCATCTTCTCTTCCTCGCTCAGCTCGACTTTCTTTCTCGGCAGCGGTGGCTTTCCAAAAGCTCGGCTTTCCCTGTGCCTGTCTTCGTGCCTGCGCTGCCTATCATCCATGTCTGGACTGTCATGTCTCTCCCTCCGGCTTCTCGTATCATCGTTCTCGGTACTTGGCTTGCTTCTATACCTCTCTTGTTCGTCCCTCTCGAAAGCTCTCCTTGGAACTTGTCGACCACTTTCCGAAGAGCTTGGATCTCGTCGATCATCCTGCGAAGAAGCGATTCTTTTGCTTCTGTGCCTGTCTTCGTCGTCGTCGTCTCTGGCAGATCTTTTTCTTCTACTATACCTGTCATCGTCCTCGGAAGCTCTGCTGCTTCTATGCCTGTCCTCGCCATTCTCCCTGGCATGGCTACGGCTGTCTTCTCCGTCGACCATCTCTGTTTCTGGCTCGCGACCATCGTTGTTCTTCATCATCTTCTTCAACGCCTTCCTCTTCTGCTTCTCCTCGGCTTTGATCTGTGCTTTCAATCGCTTCTTCTCCTCTTTCTTTTCCTCTTTCGCTTTGATCTTAGTCTCTACCTGAAAAAAACAATCAAAACATCTTCGAGTTAGAAAGAGTTGTCAGGCAATTCTAACAAAGAAGAAACGAAACAAAAGAAGCAATCCAAGTGTGTACCTCTTTTCGCAAGGCTTCCATCTTCAAGGGATTGTTCTTGATCCGCTCCCGAGCCGCCAGCTCTTGCTGCTTGATCAAGAGCAAAGGATCCGATCGAATTTTCCTCCACTGGTCATTAGCCGAGATCTTCTCCTCCACGAACAGCGATCCCGGCGTGGCGGCCACCTGCTGGATCACGCTCTCCCCTTTCGATTCCTCCAGAGGTTTTCCAAGCAAATACTCCTCATTCGACGGCTTGCCAACGCCCAGCCCGGATTCGTATAGAAAATCCAAGCGCTCCTGCTTCCTGGAAGAACCAAGCAAAGCTCTCGCATCACTCAATCGCTCGCTCGCTCAGAAAATCTAGCTACAATACTTACGGCACCAGCCCCGCTTGCTCCTGGAGCTTGCGAAACTCCAAATGCTCCTGCTCCTCCTTGATCTGCTTCTGGAGCTCCTCAAGCTTGCGATTCTCCACGTCGCGCTTCTGCTCGGCCTTCCACACCGTCTCGATGTTGCGCAGGCTCCCCGTGTGCCATCCCTTCTTGTTGAGAAACTTGAGCGCCATCGCCAAAAACCCTAAAAGAGAATGCCCAACAACCCTAAAAGAGGTACCCTAAAAAAAGGTCTGGTGCCCAAGAACCCTAAAATGCGATGAAAAAGAGATTTCTTTTTAGTTTCTGGGCAATCCAAACCAGCGCGCGGCCAGTTCTTTGCTGATCCAACGCCGATCGTCTCGGGAATTTCCCAGCAATCCTCTGTTCTCCTCGGCTCTTCGAATGAGGTACTGGATCACTCGAGGCACAGGCCCAAACGGCAAGTACTTGCTCACTTGGAAGCCGGCCTGGACGAGCGAGAGCGAGAGCCCATCCGCCATTCCCTTGAGCTGCGCAAAATGGACCCTCAAATCCCCTCGTCTCATGCCAAGCTCCTCGGATTTGTGCGCCGCAGCTTTGCCTGGAAGGAAGATCACAAGATCCAAGTCTTAGTTCTATGATCCAAAAGAAAAAAATCTCCTGGAAAGTTGGAAGAGGGAGCTTGTACCTGACTCGAAGTTGTGAGTGGCGAGCACGATGGATCCATGGCCCCGGGAAGCCTGCTCCAGCATGAAAGCAGCACAGCGGTCGTAGCAGCGGTGAGTGTCCTGGATGCTCGCGTGGATCGGCGATGGGACACCGAGCACCTTCGCGAGAGCCGTCTCTCGAGAGAGATATGCTCCACGCACCAGCTTCACGCCGAAAGGAATCCCTCGTTTCGTTGTCTCGTGGACCACCATCTCCAATCTCGACAGCGAGTCCTTGAGATAAGCTTGGATGGTGCCGTGGACGAGCGGCTGACTCCCTCGGTTGAACTTGACAGCCGCGGTGTAGGTGATGTAATCGATGGCCGGCTGGACGGACGTGTACTCGGCATCCACCAGCAGTGGAAGGCCTTGGAGCTCGCAGCACTCGCAAAGCTTGGATAGTCTTTCGAGAGCTAGAACCAAGTCGGACTCTTCTTCTCGGGTCAGTGGCTCGGGCTCAGTCTGAGCGTGGTAAGTCGGGCTCTCCGGTGCGAACAGTGGCAATCCATCCTGCTGCTTCCACGGAAGCTCCACCTCTGGGTTTCTGTGCTGCCATCTCAGGAGCAAGCTCAACTTTTCGAGCAGTGACAGTGGGGCGATAGCTGTGATCTTGACACAGGCATAGCTGACCTGCAACGAAAAGGCCAAAGAAATAAGATACTGCCATCAATGACAGGAGAAAACAAAGTGGCCAAAACTTTGAAAGACCTCTCCCTCGCTCACTCGCTCTTGAAAAAACAAACTTACGAGAGGAAGAAGAATTCAAACGTACCGATCCGTGTGGCAGGGCAATGGTTTCCCGGATAGTAGCGAGCAATTGCTGGAGATTTTCGTCGCAGGAGGCGTTGTCTGCCGCATCCTCAAGGCCCGAATCAAGAACTCCCCGGAGTCGCAGCTCCCACAGCTTCTGGAGCGTCTTGGAGGCCTCCGCCGCGTTCTCCCCGGCGCAAAAGTGGGAGTAGATCGTCCTCTTGACGCACCACTCGATGGGCTTCTTGAGAAACCTGTGATTCGCCACGGGCGACTTGAGCACCTTGATCCCCACGTCCACCAGCGGGCCACAGGCCATCACCTGGAGATTGAGCAGCGTCTTGAGGAGCTCGCCCGAGCTCATGCGGGAGAAAAGAAGCTCCGCATTCGGTCTTTCCAGATCCGGCGTCACCGCTGAGCCGCCGCCACTTGCGTCATCCTCAAACGCCGGATGGAAGCTGTCGGCGTCGTCGATGCGAGCGGAGGTGGAGTAGTGGTAGCACAGCGACTGGCGATTCTTTGCGAGATTTCCAAGACGATCAAATACCTCGGCGCGACGATCTTGCGCCGGCAGCAGCACGGCGCGATCGACGACGGCGGCAGCGGCGATGGGGAATCGGTGGCGCTGCAATTTGCGGAGACTCCCAATGCCGATCCTCCTTGCTGCCATAAGCGATCCAAGCGTTACGCGATCGATCGATATTACGGGCCCAGGAAGCGACCGATCGATCGATGCAACCAAAAATATTTGACCTAGAGCGCGAGAACAGGGAAGTGGAGAGAAGAGAAAATTTTATAACACGTACTGCGCGTGTCCTCCCCCCTCGTCTCGTGGAAGATGCGCCACTTCGCCCGATAGTTGCCAGCCAGGAAACCTGCCACGTCATTAGAGCAATCGAGTGCGTTGGCATGGCTGACCCAAGTGACGTGGCATTTTTAAACTGAAAAAATTTAAAGAGATGAAAAATCAAAGTAACTGATAATACTGCCTACGTAAGAACTTTTTCGAAGATACCCAGCGTTTAGCTTAACATGCCTATCAATTAACAATAATACATCCTCTTATACCTTGAAGAAATGCAGCTCCTTCCGTGGCAGAAGAAACATTGCCAGTTTTCTTCCTCTTGTACCATTTTCATCACTCGCAAGTGTTGATGCTGGATGCTGGATCTCGCAGAGCAAATGCAAGTGCCTGTCTGGAATCGATTCCGTCAAGCACCATGGGACTCGCTCTTCTCCTTCGTCCAGGGCGCCCACGCAATGCTGAAAGGGGAGAGAAGCCACGGGCGCTGCCGAGAATGAGAGATGGGAGGCTGAGAGATGAAGCGGGAACTGAGAACCGCTGCGCCCCCTTGCTGCACCACGGCCTCAGCTTCCGCCCCACCTGGTAAACACAAAAGGGATACAGATGAGAGAAGGGCTCTATTTCACCGCCATGCATGTTGGAGTTTGTGAGAAGGGAAGCGGAAAATTGATTAAAATGACCAACCCATGGTTTCACATGTATAACCTTTATTGAGCTTAGAATTCTGGAGCTATCGCTCCTCCCACATCGTTCTACTTTGCTTCCTATTAGATTTATCTATCAAACAATGAATGAACCATAAGGCTTCACCAACCAATAATAACCACAGCAAATGTGTCACATAGGACACGCGCAGTACGTGTTATAAAATTTTCGTGTTTAGGAGCGAGATAAGACGGGGACACCTCTGTCCAAAGCTAAAGCTGAATCTAAGCGCGGCTCGTTGACCACTGACCAGCCCATTTCAGCCGAGACTAAATGGCCATGAGAACTTTCCTTTGTTTCCAGCTCCAATCCTCTTCTGTGCAGCGAAGTATTGAGCTTTCCTTTGTTTCCAGCTCTGTGTGTTGCTTTCTTTTGCGCAGCTACTTTCTGTGTGTTTCTTGATTTCCAGCTCTGATCTCCGATCATGTGACCCTGGAGCTCATCACTAAGCTTTCTTGTTGTGTGTAGGAAATGGATGGTCCACTGATACAACGGCCTTGTTGCATGGTTCTGCTCCTTGCCTATCTTCATCAAATGTTATGAGAAGCCTTCTCTGAAGTGCAATAGAATGTTGTTGGAAACTCTTTGCCTTGGATGATGATGGTGAGAAACTATCAAGGGGCTTAAGTGTGCTTACAACCGAGACAAAGTCTAGTTCCTTCTAGACATGCTTTGGGGGTGAAATCTTTGAGCCCCAAAGTGGACCCAAAAAGGTGCCATGTGGTAGTGGCCGGAACGAAAACCAAATGAACGTAGCATGTTTGGACTAAAATCTCCAACTTGAAAAGTTAAAAGTGAGAGTGGAACTCCTAACAGAGTGTTTAAGGAACGAGTACGAAGCAAGAAATAAGTGAGTCTCTGAAAAAGAGACACCAAAAGGACTAACACATGACACGAGATAGAGTCTAAAATGGACCTAAGATGGACTTAAAATGGAATTTGAGATGGACCCGAGATAAAGTCTTAGATGAAGTCTTGAGATGGACCCAAGATGGAGTCTTGAGATGGACCCAAGATGGAGTCCAAGATGGACCCAAGATATAGTCTGATATAGACCCAAGATGGAGTCTGAGATGAAGTTTGAGATAGACCCTAGATGGAATCCAAGACTAGGCCAAGACTAAAATCAAGATCGAGTTTAAGTCCGAGTCCGAGTCCGAATACTAATGCAGACTATTAGGTGAAAGCCCAAAGCAATCATCCCCTAGAGATCCAAAAGTATAGTAGGGAGAGGGTGGGGGTTAGACTCTAATGGAGCCAGTTTGGCCAAGAAAGGCTAATGTGATCCAAAACAGCTATGCTTGCATGTTGAGTGATAATATATCTATTGAAGAGTCCAAAATTAAAGTGAATACGGATCAACAAACAAGGTAACTTGGTAAAGTATTCAAAAGTCGACTCTAGTTCTCCTGGGAGATCGAAAGGTTAATACTCCCAATCCAAGTGTGGTTGGCACTACCTACTTGGATACCTGTATGGCTTAATAGAACTTCACTCTAGCCCCATGGCTAGAGCACCCAAAGGCAGAAGGTGGGAAGAGTATCTACAAGGCTTACGTAAAGCTGTGGTGTTTCAAAATGCTGTCCTAGAGTCCCAAACTGTGGAAAGGAAGAGGAACAATCCTCTTGTGTGGTAACCAAGGATGTGGTCATGTAGTAAAGAAGTCCTAGTGGCTAATGGGATGTAGTGGTTAGGCCTTTAAGTCCTAACTCAATAGTAGTGTTGGCAAACACGGTTGTGGATGAAAAAGGACTTGATAGGGACCAAAAAAGGGATATTAGGGAAGGTTGTTCCCCATATCTACGGGCATCTTAAGGATGCTTAGGAGTGGATTTGAAATGATCATCCAAGGATGGACAACTTAGTCTTTGAGAGACGGGATTGTGATGTAAGTGGTGTTGGACCACTAGTATGACAAAGGTGAATGCATATTGCCTTAGTGTAACGAGCTGATATGTCAATAGTACTTTTGGGTGTTGGTCATGGGATTAGATGTAAGCAACCAAAGAGAACAACTTGAAAAACAATCCATAGGTTCAAATATAGAGGGAAAGGGCCCATGAATAAGAGTGCACCCCCTTTTCCAATCAGTTAAGGGTCTTAGGATACTTGGGGTTAAGTGTCCTTGGGTTTGAATAGTACTAGGCTGGGTGATCTCCTGGGAAGTCCAAACTCAGGAGCTTACATTAGACACATGGAACACTTAGACCAAATGCAAAGGCTAAATGACATAGATGCTATTTATAAAGCTAGCAAGTCTTTGAGTTCGAAGTAGGACTTATAGAGGTTGTGAGTAAGACTTCTCCAAGTGGTGAAAAATGTG